GTGGCTCTGGCTCGGCGTTCTGCCCAGCATGGACTTAAGGTGGACATCTTAGATAGGCGCTGCTAATACGTAGATAGTGATTGGACAATCATATGTAGTGCTCCCATGCACGGACCTCTTTATGGCAGGCTTCCCCATTCTAGCGGACTTTCAATTTTGCTTCCTTTTTAGTATATAAGGACTCCTCTCGCACCCCCACTCTGCGTGCTCTTTCCCTTCGCACTCAGAGTAAGTCCCTTCGTCGCACTTGCGCAGTATGCACTTATGCTTACGCCCTGTATAGCTAATCCCCCCGTGTGTATTAGGTTAGAACTATACAGCGTGCTCTTTCCCTTCGCACTCAGACTAATCCCCCCGTGTGTATTAGATTGTGCCCGCGTGCCACTCGCCAGTTCGCGCTCGCGCAGCCCAGTCGTCGTATCACGACAATAAGTGTTGCCCTTTTTAGTCTCGGGCGGGCCGACATAGGACGATATCATGTGGTCGGTCGGCCAGGCGCCTGCCCCCGCTGACGTCCGGACAAAAATCAGGCCCGCTTTCGTCGAAGGTTCGACGTCCGTACCACTCACCCGGCCTCAGCGAGGGTTGGGGTCGAAACGTTCGGACAAAATCTGGCATAGAGTTCAAAATCTGGCCAAAAACGTCCGGATTCCGGATAGGCCTCTGGCCCAATTATCAGGGATCTTCTTTTTCTGTGTCGAGTTTTTAGTCCATGACGTGTTTTGGTCGATTAAGGGGTGCCTTCAGGCCCAGAATGACTCGAGTGCCTGAGGCCCTGAGCAAAAGGGTCCGCGCACATCGATCTGTCACGCAGGCACACAAACTGCTCTTCCTAAGAACGGATGCACGTCGTTCACGACGAGGGAGGCTGAAATTTGGCCGCTGTGGCGTACAGCGCACATGGTAGGCCACCACCGCTCTCCGTATTTTCTCTGATGATAGGCTCCTCGGAGGCTGGAATCCCGTTTTGGGAAGCTACAAAACTTTGAAAGGGTGGAGCAAATTTCGCCCCTTATATGCAAACGCAGTAATGAGTAATTCGCCCCTCAGCTGTACCCTTTTTCGATTTTCACCACGCTCGGCTTGTGAGGTCGCAACTTATAAAATGAAGTCATCGCAAAGGCCTCCTGATTCCCCCAAGTATTGTTCTCCCAGTCTCTTCTGCTGAGCAGACTGTCGGCGTGCTTCCTGCGGTAGATATGGCTTTGTCTTCTTCCTTACTCCTTTTGGCTCTCGCCTGTGCCCTGTTCAACGTTTCGTTCGCATGGCGAGGGCTTCATGTTAACGTTGCTGAGGGACCTGCAGGAACCCTGCAGGAGATGACGAACGCGGAGAGGTTGACGAAGGGTCTTCCTCTCAAGAAGCCTCGGTTCAACCGCCGTGGCGGTGCGTATCTAGTCAACCTCGAAGTTCCTGACATTTACACCCAACGCAGGGAACGGACAGCCCACGCCATCCTCTGCATTCACCAGTATCACGGTGCCGACCCCGTCTATTTCGATCATCGTATCTATCCCGTCTACTTCGCCCACCCCGACCGTCACCCCCGGCACCATCGCGTGTGCCCAAGCAACCGGCACGATCAAAGTCACCTCAAAGGACGGCTCACTCAATGGCCACATGAGCCCTGCCAATGAGGAGGGTCTCTATGGCTACACCACCGACGCCTCATCGGCGGTGAAGTTCACGTACAGCTCCTGTGCTTCAGCCCCGTTTGATATCACTGGAGAAGCCACTGAATCAGAGGTCTCTCTCTTCACTTGTTTTGTCCACGCAAAGTCTGATTGACCAATACAGGGCACGACGTTCGATCTCCTCGGCGGCGTCCAGGACTCGCGCAGTGGCTGCTTCCTGATTGGAAACGTCCCGCAGAGTGCGCCTTCTCTCTCAGTATCTGGCGATCTTACGAGGTGTACTCACCTCTGCCGCAGCCGAACCGCAGTCGAGCCCGATGACGCTGCCCAATCCCTTGGCGAGCATCCTCGGCCTCTCGGCCTCCCAGGTCTCCAGCTCGATCTGGAGCGTCGGCGACAGAGCCTTGACCGCCTACCTTCCTAGCGATGGCTCTGACACTGGTGCGTACTTGCTCCAATATCCTCCTCAGTCGTCGCATGTGCTGATTATCTGCCCCGTATAGCCGCCACACCCATCACCTACAACACCGGCACTGGACTCTTCGCGTTCAACCCGGATGGCAAGTGCACCGGTACGGACACGGTGAGTGTCTTTCTCCTCGCAACGTCGGCGCTTGTGCTCATTGTCCGCTCCAGACTTTCACCTTCGTGTCCGCGTAAAAGCCCCAGGCACCTTCGCGCACCGTTATTGACAGCGGGCCATCACGGCCCGCGCAGATATTCGAACGGCTATGAAACTTAGAAGAAGAACGTTGTTTACTTGCTAGACACTCTTGCCTCCTCCAGACGCTGTAGCTCTCTCTGCCCACGCTCTTTATCGATTACCGAGTAGCACCTTGTAGCGATAGCTATCCTGTACTCTTTCTGTCTCTATTCCTACCTATCTTACGAGCTCTCAACCCTTGCCACATCGCATGCGCGAACACTTCAGAGCTCCAGTTTGATCCGGTGGTACAATTCTGCGGCCTTGCGCATCTCCTCCGCGCTCGCCGGCGGCGCCGCAGCGCCGTCAAGGCCGAACGCGCTGAGGCCCGCGTACTCGAACGGTGGGACCTCGGGCGGCACGCAGTGCGCGGGTGCGACACCGTAGTCGTCGAAAGCGTACGGCGCGCCGGGAATTTCTGGTGGCGTGAGCAGGACCGCGTTCACCGAGTCGAGCGAGACGTCCGCGTCGAAGTAGTTGAGCGGCGTGAGGAAGAAGCTCGACGTGGCGACATTCGTACGTGTGTTCGGCGCGTCCTCGGTCTGCGGCTGTAGGGAGCGTGTCAGCGGCGGAGCGCGTGCGTCTTGTGGTTGGCTGGGAAGACTCACTAGGTGGTGCATGCCGACGTTGACCCATGCGACGAGATCCTCTTGTGTGATGTTCTCGCCGTCAAAGAACCGGTGGAAGTCGACCATAGGCTTGCCGGGCAGGTTCAGGTTCCACATGCTGCTCGAGGTGGGCTCGACGTCCTTGCGCTTGGAGACGGCGAGATTATAACGCGCCCAATTGGCATTCTTGAGAAGACGCTTAGAGCCGACGACCGTCTGGGACATTGTTTGGTTAGCGCCATGAAATGGTGACAGACGGAGCAGGGATCTACGTTGTGCACAGGCGAATATCCTGGGTGGATTGCATACCCCCGCGGGGTGGTCCACCGGTTCTTCTTCTCCTGATTGACGAATGAATACCCGCCCTGGAAGTTGCTCGGGTACTTCAGCAGCGCTTGGTTCTCATTCTCTATGATCTCGCGCGTGATCTTCTGTTGAATAGTGGTCTTGCCCCAGTCGTCATCAAACCAATCATGCTCTACCTCCTCAGTGTCGGTGTGCGTAAATAGAAGCGAGTTCTCCGTGCCGACGATATCGAGATCAACCTTGAAGTTGATGACATGATCGTGGAGAGAGCCCACTGGAAGCTACAGTCAGTCGTAGCACAAGGGCTGTGCGGAGGTCTTGACGTACTGGTAGTGTCACGAATTGCTGTGCCATATCCCGTCTGCGCAGGCTCCCAGAAGCCTCCCTGGAGATATCCAGAAGCCGAAACCTTGACCTCAATCGTGCCGTCGATGTGAAAGATGTAATCGAACACTTTAGGCACGTTTCAGATATGCTGAATCGACGAACCAAGGGAGCTTACTGTAGTCATAACTGAAAAACTTAGATCAGCATCGATCCCAACGTGCGAAGTAGTCACCTACTTTCCGATAGTAGAGATGCTGCGAATTGTGAGGATATAACCCCTCACAGCACCGAATTCGCCATCTCTAAATCCCGTGTGCCGCGTGATGGGTCGTCCTGTGTCATGTTCAAAGACACAAATCGCACGTTCGCGCGTGATGCTGCCGATGCCGGTATATGTCGTCGCTGGCAGGTAGACCGCCTCGTAGGGACAATCGTAGCCAGGGAGCATGTCGCGGACGGCGGAGCCCTGCGATGGTACGTTGTCAGTTCCAAACGCATGCGGCTGACGAGTAAGGGCGTACCATGCCGAAGAAACGGTCGAGCCACGCTGTCGTTGTCTGCATAGGATCATTGCCAGCATACTGAGCAAGAGCATCTTGCGGCGAGATCTGCGCCAGCTGTCAGTTATCTATGTATGTAGTAGTGAACCGGGCGAAGCGTACCTCATAGGCAATCCTCTCGCCGAGGAACCTGATATCCCACAGACTCAAGCCCATATCTCTGTCGAAGCCCAGATATACTCCCCAACCGAGCCAGCTGATGTACTGGAGCTCCCTGTCGATTCTGAATCTCAGACCGGCGAATGAAACTTGGCGCGGCCCCGGGAGGTGATCAAGGTCTCGAGGCGGGCCCTTGGGGCGATACCGAGTCGACCAATCAGTATCATTGGTCTGATCAGGCCGAGACGGAAGGCGGCTCAGGGTACCGTTGTGGTAGGCCTGGAGGAATTCGTCAAAGGTAAAAAAGATCTGGCGGTTGTAGACGACCTGGCGGGGCTTGCTGAGTATAGCGTCTAGGATGATGAGAGTAAGTGCGCACCTTTAGCACCTCCCACTGGTTAGAGTCGGTGCCAGAGAAGTCGATATACAGGTAGAAACCTACTGGGTGCAGCCAAGCGCCAGCGACGTTTTTACGCCAGCTAACCCATGTGCGGCGGAAAGTACCGTCGAAGCTGAAGGGACCTGTCAAACCTGCGACGAGGGTGTCGTTTGGAAGACCTAAAGCGACCCCATCGAAAAGTTCCTGCGTGCCTGGTTCAGTCAGACGATAGTTGTATCCGCGGGACATACACACCTTGGTGACCTCGGCTGAGCGAGGCATGTGTTTCATTAACAGAGGTGTAAACTCTGCAGGCAAGGAAAACCCTCTTGCATTGTACGGAATGTCTTCGCGATGGTAGATCTCTGTCAACTCGCGCATGGAAGTGTTCTGGCCGACAGGCAGAGGTCCAACCAAGTAATCCTTGATCACCGGACCACCTTCCTCAGTGGTGCGGGCGGCATGATGAATGGTAACCCTCGCATACTGCTCGGGGAGGTTGACGTCGACGGGAGACTCTAAATAGCGAAGTGCGTCGGCCTTGGATGGACGATACACCTCGATGTGGAAGATGATGTTGTCAGATACGATCGCAGTCTCCGGGGACGTGAGGTTCAGGCCACGGCCAGGGTTGTTCAGCCAGTTGTAGACAGCAACGGTCTCGCTGACTGTCAACGAAGACCAGAGGTTTACCGGTGCGGGAGCCTTAGCGGCCTTCGGGCTAGAAGTAGCACATTGCCCGAGGGGCTTTTCAGGAGCAAGCAGGTCCTCCGCTGCAGGAGTAGGCTGGACCCGGCAGGTGGAGTCATCGAGCAAGCGAACCTTGGGCGCGAATGCGTAGAGCGTGGTAAAGAGGATCGCACCGCAGATCAGTACAATTAAGGCGACGCGACGACTGCTCCGGATCCTTCTGTTAGGCGGAGCAGGCTGCTCGCCGGGATCCTTCAGCAACTCGTAGCCTCCGTGCATGGCCTCAGACGACAAGGATGGCGTAGACAAAGCGCAGCGATATTGCATGTTCTCACCTTATATATTGTGCACGCGCTACGATGCCCACCCAGATGACTCTGTTCGAAGCATGAGAGCGTCTAGATAACTTAGACATATGTATAGGGTGAAAAATCACCCACACTCGAGCACGCTAAGCGATAGACGAGCAAGGAGTGATCATTTGCGGACCGGTTGAAGCGCCTGACAGCGATTATCTGGATACGCTACAGTGGAGAGACAGGTAACAGACTGAGTATGGCCTAGAGAACAGACTGCTCATCGGTGCATCAGTGCGAATATCCACACTAATTAATTACACCAGCCATTTGTACCTCCGCTGAGGAAGGCCGGCCAATCGATGAGAAGGTATCTCAGCCTTCCAACGCACTCGAAAGGTGACGACTGCGTCCCAATTTCAACACGCGAGAATTGGGGGCTATGAATATCAGAGAGACGAGACTCAGAGTAAGACATGGCCTGTGCTGATGCTTTTTTGGAAGGGTTGCCCGACTTCTTGCGAGACAACGGGGAGAGCAAAGCAAAACGAGCGGAGTCACGACAAGCGCCAGCGCTGCTGCATCTCGTCGCTCGGGAGTCGGTAGGACCCTCGGTGCGCCCTCGTTAGAGCGCCGACGATTCGACGACGTCACATCGTGCATCGTCTGCACCAACTGTGGTCTCCGCGATATATGATGCAAGACCTCAGCCTTGCTTTCGTGCCATCAAGCTTTGTCTCTCCTCTCTACATTCTGTGGACCTTTGTGCTGCGCTAGTCTAGTCCTAGGCAGACCCAGACTGGTCAGAGACCATACTCCCGCTAGTGTGCAAACACAGGAGAAACTGACCAATTGTTGTGTATCAACTGAGACTAGATAGGTCTTCTGCGGCGTGCAGACTTTGACACTTGACGAGCTCAGATTTATAAGCGTAAGTTTGACATGCAGAAAGAGCCCAAGAGCACCCACTAAGATGCGACACTCAGCAAGCCCGAACGCTCACAGAGACTTCAAGATGGTCAACACGCAGGCCTCACGGAAGGGCCTCATTCTCTCCGTGAACGCGGGCTCTTCTTCTCTCAAAATCTCTCTTTACCGCCTCAAGTCTCAGACCGCTCCGCCAGACGTGTCCAGCGAGTTGGAGCCTGTAGAGCTTCTGCTCGTCTCCAGCATCTCCAATATCTCTGCTCCCCCGGCTTCTTTCACCTTCTCTCTCGCTGCACACGGATCAGGACGTGAAGCTAAGAAGGAACCGGTCAACTCAATTCACGACCATACAAGCGCATTCGCCCACTTCCTGGACTATCTGAAGAAGGAGGCGAGCATCGACCGCAGCGAGATTGCCCATGTCTGTCACCGTGTCGTGCACGGTGGAGACTACTTCCACCCAGAGGTTATCACGAAGGAGAGCTACAAACATATCGAGAGGCTGTCTGACCTAGCCCCTTTGTAAGTCCCTGGCATATGATGCCCTCATATGGGTCACTGAACGTTTCGCTCAGGCATAACGGCGCAGCTCTCTCTGTGATGAAAGCATGCATTGACGCGCTTCCAAACTCTCAGTCGATCGCATATTTCGATACCTCATTCCACCGTCCAATACCACACCATATTGCAAGCTACGCCATCGACCAGACTATCGCCAAGAAACGTGGCCTGAAGAAATATGGATTTCACGGATTGAGCTGTAAGCATGCCCTTACATTATCTATAGCGTCGCACTGAACGCGTCACTAGATGCCTACATCCTGCGTGCCGTGTCGACACACCTGAAGCGAGTAAGTCGTTGCCTCGCCTCTTCCTCAACGCTTTTCTAATTTTGACCAACTCAGGGTCCCAATACTCTTAACCTTATCGTCATGCATCTCGGTTCTGGAGCTTCTGTCTGTGCAATCAAAGAAGGCAAATCTATGGACACCTCTATGGGCCTCACTCCTCTTACCGGTTTGCCGGGGGCGACCCGATCGGGCGGTGTCGATCCCTCACTCATCTTCCACTACACCAACCTCGCCGGCCGTATGTCGCATGACCGCAGCGCGGCAGTGGACATCCACGTCACTCGCGCAGAAGAGATCCTCAACAAGCAGAGCGGCTGGAAGGCGATCACGGGCACGACGGACTTTGGCGAGGTCGTGAAGAACATGAAGACGAACCAGGAGAAGGTCGATGCGGGGACGGCCAGCGAGGACGAGGCGAAGTGGAAGCTCGCGTACGATCTGTTCGTCGATCGCATCTACGACTTTGTCGGCGGGTATTACCTCAAGCTCGGTGGTAGGGTTAACGCGATCGTCTTCTCGGGTGGTATCGGGGAAAGGAGTGTAGAGCTGAGGCAGACTATTGTCGCGCAGATGGCATGTCTTAGCTTCAAGCTGGACGGAGAGAAGAACGCTTCTGTGGACAAAGAGGATGGCGCAGTGGTCGATATAGGCGTTAGTGATGACGGACATCAGGTATTGGTTTGCCGCACTGATGAACAGGTGCGTACATATTCCTCCTGTCGTCCGCACCTCCGCTGACCTGCCACTCCAGATGGAAATGGCTAGGGAGTGTTCCCTAGAGAAGAAATTCTGGAGCGACGAATCCTAGCCCGACGACTCCCGTGACACTATAAATATTCGATATGTATCATACCATATTCTGAATGGCGAACAAGTAATCAGGACCTCTCGTATTCACTGTATGACATCCGCGCTACATAAATCCGATCGCAGCTCCACGCATCAGGCCGATCGATGCGCGGTCCCCCGCAGACATCCCAATTCTCTTCGTTTGACTCTGCTTCTCCTTGCATGAGGCCTGGGTTGCAGTTCTTCGGGTGTGTGTTCAACTAATGCTCTGACTTAGCCACTGACCCGCATGGGGTACGCCTGGTGTACGACCGAGGACGTCGACTGGGCCGGCGCAATGCGCTATGCGCCTACTCCAACGTAACGTCCGGGACCAACGCCTTTCCATTTGTACCGCCGCCCCAGATCGTTCTTGCAGGACGTCTCGCCGCCCCCTGATCAGTCGATCATGATCAAGATGCGACGTCCGCGGGTCTCACTCACTCTTTCGAAGGTATGTTCTTCATATAGTCGTACAACAAGGCGAGAAGCTCTCCGGGAAAGACCACGCGGTCAGCGACGCACCCCCAATCGAGCGCGCTGACGACCTCGTTGTGCGCATTATGTACGCTGGTCACCGTGTGCTTTCTTGAGCTGCCGGACACGACACAATTCACGAGTGCGCCATCGGCGGAGGTGATTGTGGTGTCCGCCGGGTTGCCTGGCGTGAAGGCGAGGGTTGTCGTCGTCGTCTCCATGTTGTATGGAGTCCAGTAGTGCCACTAAGCTGCCAGACGTGTCTGTGTCATCGCTTCTTTTCTACATAGGCTCGATACTAGCCACCCTGGCCATAGTAATGGTACTCTAGCGTACCGATCACCCACATATACCCTCGGTACGCGTCCCACCAACCACCGAATAGACTGGCCACGAATTTACTCTTTACATGCGTAATGCGTAACGTGCATTTTCATCTGTTGGCAGACAGCGCACGCACAGCTGGCGGCCCGCAGTATTACAGCTATGATCCAGTGGTCTTCGGTTGACATCAAAGTTCCTCGAGATACCCACTATGATTACGATATGTTCTCAACCTATCCGGGTTCTGATGACTGTCTGAGGATTAGGTACGCAGCAGAAGATTGCCGCGTCAGAGGGTTGACAGACAGGTAACTGTGATGAGGTTTGCGTCGCGAGCTTTCATGGACACTTTAAGCGGCATTGATGGTTCTACTACACTATTCCGCCAAACGCATCTCCTACCATCAGGCCCACCATAGCACCCTCGCCCAAACCGCCTTGCTGCAGCCGCCTCTGCTTCTCCTGGAAGAGCAAGGTCTCTACGACCAAGTCCTGGACTTCCTTCGCTCGGGGAATGAGCCTCAGCTCTCCCGGAGTGCGAATTACGCCCGTTCCGCCATCGCCCGAGTCGCTTGGCGCGGGTTTGCGGTAGGACTTAGTGTACCGGGCGATGACGGTCTTGAAGTTGTCGTCCGCACTATGGAGCTGAGGAGAGACACCTTTCTATCACGCTATCAGAGTATGAATGCGCTCGCACCCACCTCAAGATAACGGCCAGTGCCACCCGTGCCCTTCCACTTGTACTTCCGTCCCTGGTCGTCCTTGAACGACACCTCGCTGTGAAAGGCAGCAGTCCTCAGTCAGCTGGCCCTGGTAATTTGAGATTGACACCTACTCCATGAATGGCATGTGGTTCTTCTTCACCCAGTCCGAGAAAGCTACAGGGTCGTGGCCCCACAAAATCACCCTATCTGAATGGACATTCCGCCACTCGAGGGAGGCGATGACTTCGTCGCTCGCGTCGTAGACCTGAGTGACGGGGTCCTTGACCGAGGCGTCGGTTGTGACGCGGTATATGACTTTACCCGAGGACGAAGTGATGGTGGTGTTGCAGGGGTTGTCCGGTGTGAATGTGAGTGTCGTGATCTCTTCTAAAGACGCCATGCTGTGAGGTCATAAGCTAAACGGAAGCGGTATGCCCTGCTCATTTTATACGCACGCCCGCGTCTCTTGGCGAACTTTCCCTGTCACTGAAGCCGTCTGACCGTGCCCAAGATCGCAGCGCTCAGTATAGCCTCAGTTCATTGTGTCTGCCAGTGGCAGTGTGGGGAACATGCCCCGATGGCAGATGCTGCGCCTTGTGATGATGGGGCGCTCCGAGTAAGCTCAGTAGCTCTCGGGGACGGAGGATATGGTTGCTGAACCCGGCACTTGATTATTCTGTAACATAACGAAGTCGCCAAGTCCCATCTTAAGAACATCCGACACTTCCTTACAGGTCTTTCGAGGTGGTGCACACAGCACCAAGCTCTCGCCTTATCCGGTACAGCGTCTGTAACGGACACTTAGCGGCGCAGAACACCCACTGCTAGAGTTCCTGCGAGCTGCGGAACTTGTTTGATTAGCTCTACTTTGCGACATAGAATCATGTACATCGTGCCTACTGTCAGTATGCCTCTCGATTTCAAGCTAATTGTTGAGACAGTAGTCTTGAAGGATGTTGGCAGGCTAGCTAAGCAGAGCATTACGCACCTACAACAAAAAGCGGACAGTCTTGCCCGTCGTCCTCTAATTAGCGGTGGAAGGGTCAACACAAAGATGTAATATTCCAGGCGCACGTAGAAGCTCCTAGAACCTCACGAACTCTACCAGTCAGCAAGCCACAGCGAGCGTTGCCCCCGTTCTCACTCCCACCATCGAGTTGTCGTTCGTGCCGCCATTCTGAAGCCGACGCTGTTTCTCGAGGAACAACAGAGATAAGACGACCAGGTCCTGTATCTCGAGAGCACGGGGAAGTAGAGCAAGCTGTCCGGGCGTGTATACAATGCGGGGTCGAGAGACAGTGTTGATTGAGCTTGCGTCGGTGAGCGTAGGCGTAATTGACTGCACGTCGGTCAATGTGGGCGTCAGGGAGTATTGAGATGCCATGGGTCCTGGACCTGGCTTCTCAGGGTCGCTAGAAGATAAGCTGGAGTCTAGCACCCTTCGAGAACGGTGATATCTTGCGATTGGTACAAAAAAGTTGTCATGATCACTGTAGAGCTAACCGTACGTCAATTAGCAGGCCATATAGGCGGGATCCGCAAACTACGCATGCGCACCTCGAGAGAGCGCCCGGAGCCTATCCCTTTCCACTTGTACTTTCGCCCTTGGTCATCGGTGAAAGATACCTGTCTTCAGAGGAAAGCACTTTGTCAACATCACGGAGTTAGAGATGTAAGGCGGTACTCACTCCTTGAATGGAACAAAGCTCCTCTTCATCCAGTCTGAAAATGAGATGGGCATTCGATCTTTGATAATGACCCTATCTGGCAGCACCTCCTTCCACTCGAGAGAGCCTATGACTTCGTCATTGACATCGCGGACTTGGGTGTATGTCGCCTTCTTCGTGATTTCGGTCATGACGCTGTAAAGCGTCTCACCGGTCGCGGAAGTAATCGTGGTATTGCAAGGGTTATCAGGGCTGAACGTAAAGCTCGTTGTTTCCGCGTTGGGGGACATGTTGTAGACGATGATGGAAGCGAGTCGGGGAGAGTGACGGACAAGCTTTGCATATTACGAATGGCTTAAAGATCTATGGTCGTGGGTTTGCGCAGTGGTACCGGAACAAGAAGCAACAGATGTGACAGGGACCGTTTCGCACGATCCTGTGATTCGACCCGGCCTTAGATGCGCCGTGAGAGTGCGTACTTATAGCAGACACATCAGATGAAAGGAGAGGCAACGGGTCGAGTCTGAGAGGCGTGCAAAGAGAAGACACTCGAGGCATCTTGTATATGGCGCCGCGCCGCCGCCGCCGCGCACATAGACGCCTGCCATCTGTTCAGAGTCTGGCTCGCTATCGCAGTGTTCTCCACAAACGTGGCTTGTCGGATAAACAGAGGGGGGATATATTTCCGAGAAGCAAAGAGAAAGATGTACCATGAAGCAAGGTACGAAACCGACATGGAGCAGAGTTGATTTTCGAAGTAGTCAACAGTACTTCCGTATTGTAGATTACTGGAAGGCCATTGTGCATATATTTACGACACACGAGATAGCTTTGGTGACAGAGACAAGACGAGCTCGTGCCGAACAGACCCTTCAATCAATCAGCCGAGCGGCGCAGATGTATGGGCCGCTGGAAACAACAGGGTCGTATGCAGAGTAAAAGAGTGGTACGGCTTAATTTATCAATATTGGCTGTCGTGCCTAGTGTTGGAGTGTCACTGGCGTTCGATATTCTTATGTGCCGAAATTGTAGGTATCTGCCACACAAAGTAAGGTCTGGTAGACGCAGAATATAACAACCAGAGTGCTCAGCGGAGACAGTGCAGTTGCCACTGCATATGTATTCCGTTTACTTCAGAGAGAAAGCGTGTCAGCTCGTCAAATTCCAGACCCAGATGGTGCACGTACCAGCTTGGCAACATTGTCTAGCTCGTTTCATATAACAGAGCAACGCACGAAGCTCAGTGTTGGTGTCATAAAAAAATTATTGCTGTGCAGCAGCACAAGAGTAGTCTGAATCAAGTTGGCCTGCTACAGCAGACTACCGCGAAGTAAACTGAAGGATAGAGCCAGATCAAGGCATCTTACACCGGCACAGGTTCTCCTCTTTGGTCATGAGCTACTCGCTAGCACATTTACGGAGTGAACTCCGTAAAAGACACCAACAATGCTCCCGCAGCCTGAGCCCTAGACGGCTCGGAGCGCGTTACCACCCGCGAAAGACCCAGATAGAGTGTTAGCGGTGCGGTCCCTCGAACACTACTCACACCCACGACAGTTTCAAGGTTACATCGTCAGCCACCGGCCGGCGCGATGGCTGACAGGTGCCTCCCTAGTTTCTGGTACGTCGTTGACCTTTTAAATTTTAAGACCACACCAGGCAAAGATGCGTCGAAGGGGCATTTGGAACGTTCAGACCTTCCCCGCTCGCAAATATGAACATTCAAAGTGTTCTGTGCGGCGCGAGCATTGCGGTCTTTGGACTGCTGCGAGCCACGTTGAGGAGTGGAAAAAGCAGAAGAGCCAATTCCCCGCACCTGCAATTTCGGGAGAACCTGAGCCAAACGCCCGAGACGCGTTCGCGGTCACGTGGTACAGCTCATTTCGGGCTGGCGCTTGCCCGCTCGCGTTTGAAACTCTGTTCGATACGACCACCACCCCAGTCTCCTTGCCATTCGACTCAGCGAGTTCACATGTCAGCCAGCATGGAACAGGTTGATTTTGAACCCGACGGGTCAGCCATTGTCGACTGCGACGTCCTCGAAGCCGCCAAGGAGAATATCCAGCCTCTGGCCAAAGGCCGACGAGTCACCACTCTTGCAGGCATCCTTGCAACCCCACATGTTCAACGAGAAAGCCGTCTCTCTGCAACAAAGAACCGGCTCCGCATGAACGTACAGCTAGCTCTCGAGAACTCTACGAATGGGGACGAAGACGAAGATGAGGACGAGATGGAAAGTGCAGATCCGCTGGAGGCATATTGCCAGTACGTCTACTGGGTTGTGGAGAACTACCCACAAGGTCACAGTGCGGAGAGCGGACTACTTGAACTCCTCGAGGAGGCAACTCGAGTCCTGAAAGATCACCAGGGCGGAAAGTGGCGCGGAGACCTGCGCTACCTGAAACTTTGGGTGCTTTATGCGAGCTACGTCGAGAAGCCTGCAGTCATCTTCAAATTTTGCATGGTGAATGAGATCGGCACCGCACACTCTCTGCTCTACGAAGAGTTCGCGATAGCTTTAGAGAGGGCCGGCAGGTGAGTATCTTACTGTGTCGTTGTTCTCTGAGTACTCAGCATGCGCAGGAAAGCCCATGCAGATGAGACCTATCAGGTCGGCATTGCGAGGAAGGCTCAGCCCCGTGAACGTTTAGAATCGAAATACAAGGAGTTTCAAAAGCGCATGATGAGCTCGCCCATATTGCCTCCTCAAACCGACTCTAGTGAGGTGGCTGACTCTGCCGTGCCTGTCGCCCAAACAGGACATAAACGAAAAGCACTTACAGAAACGAAATCTACATCTCGCGCCACTACACGCATGACACGGTCTTCCTCCCGGATGGCGTCATCATCGACACCTACGACTACCCCTACGCTTCCGCAGACGTCCCGTCCCCAGTCAAACGCTCGATTGGAAGTTTATGTCGACCGCTCTCCTAGAGAAGCCTCTTCAGGTGCAGCAGACGAGCAAGGGGCACCCTCTGCGTGGTCGGAACTGGGCACTCGCAAATCTCGCGTCAAAGAGAACATCAAGGAGGCTACCAAAGCTGCTGGTACAACTCTGCGCCAGGCAGGCAGAGGCCAGCGAGCTGCTGCTGCCCGTCGTACTCCCAAAATTGATGTCTATAGGGATCCTTCTCCGGAAGCCGCGAACAGCGGCGATTTGCACGCTGACGGCACTGTCTCAGCCGAGCCGGAGGACGCTTCCTCGGCATCACCTCCAGCACCGAAAGCAAAGGCAGGCAAAGCCATAGAAGTGTTTCGGGACGAGACGCATGATGCCCCCTCTGAGACCGTGCCTTCATCAAGTAAGCCGAAGGGATTAAAGAAGAGTGCAATCCCTGTCTTCCGCAATGATCACACCGCCGCATCCTCGTCGTCCCCTGCAGTCGCTCCTCAAACGCAGGGATCAAAATTACGGACAACTGGTCAAAGCGCTATCCCTGTCTTCCGCGACGACGGAGCTGCACCTGACTCCGCGACCAGTGCTGCAAAGGGCAAAGCGAAACCTACTATCTCCATCTTCCGCGACGACCCTGACGGCGATGCAGAAAACGAGCCTGCACCTAAGCGGGTGTGATGAGCTCTGCCTATAGCTTGTATATTACCGGAGGACGACAGTGCCATCGGACCTCGTTAAACGAAGTGTATGGTAGCGAATGAATGAAATGATAGCTTAGAGCGTCCGGAACTTATGTCAGGGGACAGCATTGCGAGCGAGTATCGTTGCATCTACCATGCCTTCCAGACTTTCTTGAGTGTCAGGGCTCAAAAGCGACATCTTGGTTTCTTCAGACACTATACAGACTGTAGCGCATACGTCACACGAGCCCTCATGATTGAATAAATAACGCTAAGTACAGTACCTATACGTATACGCATGACCAACGCTCATGCAGACCTCGAACGAAATCAGGGCTGACCAAGCCTATCAACGGGGCTTAGTCAAGGTCTACTCTTTCACCCTCTGCATAATTCTTCAATGGGTCTCTCCTCAACGCTTCCGCCTCAGAATTCACTTTAGACTCTCCGGCGCCGGCGCCTACGATGCCTAGTCCAACGCCCGCTCCGCTCCGAGTCCTGCTCAGAGCCCGCGCAGACGGCTTCGTAGGCGATGTCGGCTCCTACAACATTGTGCTGTCAGCATGAGGAACAACGTAAGTGAATCATGGAGCGTACCTCCTCATCCTGATACGGCGTGAATGCAGGCGCAGACTCCCCGTCGCGAAACATGGCGATTCTGCTGTTTGACTTCGACGGCGCAGGCTGCCGTGCCTCCTCGTCACGGAAGACGGGGAGCTTACCCTTGGCGTTTGATGACGCACCGTTGGGTTCCGCGGCGTCTTCGTTACGGAAAACTGTGACCTTGCTCTTTGCTCTGGATGTTATCGGTTCCTCGGGCTCGGGATCTACGTTGCGGAAGACTGGAATCTTGCCCTTGCCCTTGTTTTTTGAAACTGGTGGGTCTTGCACATCCTCGTCACGGAAGACGGCAATCCTCGATTTGTTAGGGGCGGATTCCGGGTCACGGAAGACAGGAGTCTTGCCACTGGCTTTGGGAGCGACTCCCGCGCCTCCCTCACGAGAGACAGGAATTTTGCCCTTGCCCTTCAGAGAGCCAGCCGCGGGCTCCTGTCCCACCTAGTATCCATACGGCCTATCAGGCGCATTGTATCCTGACCCAGGTGGCCCCGGAGGGAAAGACGGACCAGACCCGCCGTACGGCTGCGAGCCGGGAAAGCCTGGTCCATCCCTAGGCGCACCCGGAAACCCAGGTCCCCCGTCGGAGGGGCCAGGTGGAGGAGCATACGAGCTTCCACCACCATATCCTCCGTACCCCAGTTCGGGCTGCGGCGGCCCACCATACGACGGTGCATAGCTCGACTGATGGTGAGGCTCTTGAGGCATTGTCGAGTAGGATGATCCGCCGGGGAACGACGACTGGCCGCCAGGGCCGCCAGGGAAGCCAGGCGCAGAGCTACCGGGAAAGGATGGTGCGCCGCTGCCCGGGTACGTTGACTGATTGGGGGCATCTGGGTACGACGCGGCCGGCGCGCTGGGGAAGCTGCCGCCACGGGGCGGCGCACCAGGGTCGGGCATGCCACTTGATCTGTCACCTCCAATTTCGCGTGACCCGAAGAAGGGCGATGCTCCGCCTCCCCCCATGTTGCCCATAACTCCTCCGCCGGGCCCGCCATGATGATGTGCATGGTGTCCGTGGTGTCCGTGCCCATGTCCATGTCCCTGACCGTATCCACCAACGTTACTCATCAGTCCAGCCGGGCTACTCCCACCAGCGGACCCGGAGCCCGCCATAGCCGCCACATTGCCGAGAAAGCCGCTGCTGGAGCCAGTGTTTCCGCTACCGGAGCTTGCAAAATTGCCCATGCTTCCGAGCAGGCCACCACTCGGCTTGCCTCCCTGACCCCCCGGGCCTCCTAAACCTCCGAGGAAGCTGCTTCCGCTCGGCTTGCCACCCTGTGCGCCGGAGGAGCCAAGGTTCTGTACGAAGTTCGCCGCGGAGCCCACGACGGGTATTTGGCTGACGTAGCCCTGTACCTCGTGCTGCGCTTGCACGCCTGCATTCTGCGCGTACGTGCCTTGCGCGGGTGCTGGGCCACCTTGACCAGCGAGCCGAATATTTTGGTGGTTGCGAACGGATTCTTTGGACAGGCGGTTGAGGACTTCATTCTGTCTGTTGCCGAGTCCCTGGACCCATTTCTGCATGTATACTAGCATCTCTCGCTGGATGGTCGATCTAGAGTCGTGGAAGTCAGGATGGAAGCTGTGTTTAATCTTCATTAGCAGATACCAAAAATGTGCGAGAGTGGACGCACAGGGAAGCGAGGATGTCGTCGGTGGCTTGGTGGACGTTGATAGACTGATCGTCCCATGCCTTGACGACCCAGTTGACGGTGTGCTTCTGCAGCGCGAATAAGATCGGGACAATCAATAAGGTCATATGGCGTACCAGGACGATCTTTCCTAAGTTTCCCGCAGGTTCGTTCAATATGAGGTTCTTAGAGTAGTCAGTACATAGCCTGTAAAACACAGTCGTAGATAACGAACAAAATGGTCTTTACTGAGGAAAGAGTGCGTAGGGTCCGACTATATGCACGGTGTCAATATCCTGCTTGTGGATGCCATGAACTGGGGTAACTTACCGCTCGTGGATCGTTGAAGACCTCGTACTGGTCTTGCTTGTTGATCACTTCTCCGGAGGCTACTTGAAGTTGAGAGGTAGCGGTCTTCATGAGTGGCTTCAAGAAAGGCTGTATATGCTGCGATTAGCCGGAGACAGCATAGCTTTCCTGAGGCGTGCTTACTTCGAGCGTTGTAAAGACGAATACGGAGATACTGTCCGTGAGCTTCTCAATCAGCGCCCCAAGACCGGGGATTCTCTCTGTGAGAAGCGTGAGTGCATGGAGTATGTTGGACGACTACTCAGCCTACCAATGGTTTTCTCGATTTTTTTAACAACTATGCGAACGGTCAGCAAACATAGGCAACGAATGAATTTGTACAGTACTGACCAGAATCACGGAACGACAATACCTGCCACAGCACCGCATGAAGCTCTTGGGGGCTCATGGTTTCCGGGTTCATGCTACCTTGTTGGGCACCGGCCCTGATACGCTCAATGCCGTCCATCTCACGAGCCATCTCACCGCCACTGCCATCGGGTAGGTTGAATAAAAGCTTGCGCAAGGTATCCGACACGCCGCCACTGCCATCGCGAGCAGTTGGGCCTGCTTTAGCACGAGCCTTCTCGAGCTCCTTATTCAGGTCGCTGACGGATGCTTGGCTCTGTGAGATGAGATGGTCAAGAAAAGATGCATAAGTAATATCTGGTAAACGTACGATGTGATCAGTGGCCTCTATTAACACAGATAAGAAAGCATATAGTCAGCCACACGCCACAGAATGAGTCTATGCAGCGCACCTCCAAGCAAGCTGTGAATGAAATCCTGCGATCCGAAAGTGCCTACTCCAGCTTAGCCTGCGTCTTATCCAAGTGCAGCCCGAGAACACTTACCGGTTACGAGGGGTGCGACGAGCTTGCCATTTAGGGCTTGAAGACGTACTTGATCTCCTACATGCACGAAGACGCTCTGGTGACCCATGCTGACCAGGGCCAGTTCACAGAAGTTTGAGTGCGCTGAGAAATCTTCGAGGGTATGGAGCTATATTGCTTGTGTTAGACTAGAGGCACCCACAGAAAACGGGCTGTACCCACAGCCTGTCCAAGTAGGCGGTACGCCTCGTACTCGTCCTGTTTTCTCCCCTGAGCACGATGCTGTCTGCCCAAGTTGATGCATCGCTCAAGAGTACGGCGAACGAGCGCTTTAGAAGTATCCCAGGAGCCTTGCTCTGCAGATCGATGAGCGCCTGCAGCCTGAGGAGAATGATTTCGAGCTCACCATTTGCGATATAATTCTTCATGCCGGTGCGAGAGTCAACCTCAAGTTCTTGAGGCTAAAAAGTTCATAAAGTTTCTGAGCTTCCGAGAGACGTCGGAGCGGGATGAGTGCCTACATTGACCGGCGGGCGCAGTCTAGGATCGTATCTCTGAGCATCTTCAGGATATCCTTTCGGGTTATCAATGTGCTCGGTCTCAGTTAAGAAAAGGTATAAATTCGCCTGTTTGAGACTTAGGACTCGAGACAACCCACGGGAAGGTAGACAGCAAGACGTTCAGGAGTGACTTCAAACTCGTGGGTAGCATAGCCATGCGCCTGTTCATTCCGATCGCTTAGCGACAGGATTAAGCATTCGAGTATATAGACTAACCAGGAAGCCAAGGACCATGCAAAGGTTTATGATGGTCTGTACGCGAGCGTAGTCAGGGGATGAGGGTGTCAAGTCAAGTAGAGGCGAACACGAACTTGAAGCGGCAGCTTTGACAGGCCGGCAACATCTACAGCCTGCGACCTCCGTTAGCTCAACTTCGAAGTCGCTGTGTAGACTGAAGATATACCTGACTGTAATCACGCAGCCAGTTTCTGGTAGATGCTTTATCAGTCGCCCGAAGTGATCCCACTCAATGAGCGTGAAAGAAGGGGTCGTTACGCACCCGAAGTACACGCGCTTGATATCGAGACCACCGAACTTTGCACCACCCTTTCCAATGATGGCTCCGAGAGCGAATCCTCCAGCCTTCTTAGCTACTTCACTGAGGGTATCTTCCTGCATTTCACCAGTCAGAGCGATCTAATACTCTGCGGTGTCCGACATACAATGTCACCATGGCGGAAGGCGGACCCTTCCAAGTAGGCAAAGCTACGGCATAGTTTAGATCCTATCGTCATTTTCCGCCGTAGCGTGACTGACCTGGGTATATTTCCGGCACCGAAGGCATACACGCCGTTGCTCGAGATACATACGACTAGTACAAATAACGCTATCAGCAAAACATGCGAATTCATGCCCATGATGAGGAATGTCGTAGAGAGATGATGATAGAAGTAAAATAAGCTCTGTACCTTCGCCGGTTCTTATATACACTACTTGATTTCCTGGGCACAGCTGCAACGGCCCACTGACCTATGACGCCAGCTCCCTAGTACGCAGTCTATTTGCCGAAGCCTGTGCGGCATCGGAGCGCTCGAAAAGGAAAACCACAGCGTCGGAGTGCAAAGTAACCCAAGCTGGCTGGGGCGGCGCCTGGCAAAGTACTGAGCGCCGGTGATTTGTGGGCTTCGACATCGTTCCTCGACGACCCCATCGCCTTTGTGGCCTTCTTCCTCCCCCCGCCAGCACCCTTGTCTGTTAATTTACTCTTCTCGCCTCTGCACGGTACGTATGGCGCAAAGTATACACACTGTGGGGTCTGATGGCATCCAAAAACCCAGCACCATCATGACCAACCAATCCACCGTCAATCCTTCTGAAGTCGGCTGGCAATTCGTTCCCCAATACTACACGTTTGTCAACAAGCAACCTAATCGCTTGCACTGCTTCTACACAAAAGCGTCGACCTTTATTCATGGTACTGAGGGTGAGGACGGGAAGCCTTGCTATGGCCAGCAGGTATGTATTTTACTTTTGCGTGACATAGCGCGACGCGCTCTTGCGAGGCATATTTTCGTTCCTGTCAGGCACCGTACGCGTGTTCGTGAGGCAGTACCCCATTTTCTCGTGCTTTGCACATCTGGAACAAACCCTCGCGGAGGCCGCGCGGCCTTCTGATTTTGCCTCTCACTGGTCATGCTGTGCTAGGCCATTGTCTGACCGACGTTTTACAGGAGATTCACACGAAAATCACTTCAATCGGCTTCCAGGATTGCAAAGTTTTTATCCATTCAGTAGATGCCCAGTCATCTGCGAATGGTGGTATCATCATTCAAGTTATCGGCGAGATGTCCAACAAGGGAGAGCCATGGAAGAAATTCGTCCAGACGTTCTTCCTTGCTGAGCAGCCAAACGGTTACTTCGTTCTGAATGACATCTTCCGCTTTTTGAAAGAGGAGACCGTTGAAGACGAGCCGGCTGACGAGGCGGAGCCGGTCACCGATGTCCCAGCTGTACAGGAACCACCACCCGCCCCCGCCACTCCTGCGCCCGCTCCACCGCCTGTGGCGGAGCCTGAACCCACACCTGAGCCGGCTCGGGAGCCAACTCCCCCGCCGTCTCCCTCACCTGAACCTGAGGAGCCTGAATCTCCCGCTGTCATCGAGCCTGCTGTTGAGCAGCAGCCTAACGGCGAGCCTTCCCAAGACGTAGAGCCCTCCGCACAGCCTCCAGCGCCCTCGATTCAGGAAGCACCTGCTGCCTCCCCTTCTCCTGCCGTGACCCCCTCTCCTGCTCCCACTGCATCTCCTGCACCACCTGCACCTGAATCTGCTGCCCCTTCACCTACGCCGCAACCTGCTGTCGCTGTTGCTGCGCCCGCACCTATCCAGCCAACGCCTGCTACTCCAGTTCGTAAGACCTGGGCCAACTTGGCTGCTGCTGGTAGTAACAGGTGGGGTGCTGCCGTCGCGCAGGAGGCGAAGGGTGTCAGCGAGGCACCTGTTTCTTCTAGCAGCCCCGCTCCCACTACACCCCATTCGCCTGCCCCTCGCGGCCAGAACCGGCCACATCCTTTGTACATCCAAGCCAGCACTGCTCCCACTCCTGAGTGCTTCGTGAAGGTTAGTAACTGGCTGTTCACCACGAAAGTTCCTACTTACGCCAATTGCACAGGGTGTTGTGGATCCCATTACCGACGCTGCTTTGAAGAACACCTTGACTCAACGCTTTGGTCCCATCAAAGAAATCGAGATTGTGCGGAATAAGGCCTGTGCCTTCCTCGAGTTCACTACCCTCGAAGCGGCCCGACGGTGCCTCGTCACGTCGCTTCCACGAAACGCTGGCGGCGAGGGCGGTATCCGCATCGGCGACCCCAACGACAGCCAGACACCGATCATTTACGTCGAGATCCGCAAGGAGCGCGGTGACCGCCCGCCACCTCGCGGACCACCGGTTAACGGCGGCGACCGTGGACGCGGAGGCTTTCGCGGAGGCGGGCGTGGTGCGCCGCGGGGGCGGGGTGTGCCTCAGCAGAAGTGAGGAGTGAGAGTGCTGGGGATGTTGGTAGCCTCGACGTAGGGTGTGTTGCGTGAGCGGGGGTTTGGGCATATGCGGTCCTCCCGGCCTGGGTCGCCTTTCATGAGCCCAGCCGGAGGCGGTGGCTCTGTCCTCCTAAAAGTATCCGATTTTTTGCTGTTACTGTTACTTACAGTCTGACGTGATGTTGTATCCATTCGTTGTCGTCGCTTTGTTATGTCGCACTTGATATGACAGCTTTCTCGCGTTCACTTGTATTGATGCGTGATGTGGCTGCACCGCGGCGGAACCCAGGCTGCTCTGCCATGATATGCCGCGCACCCAGCATCGGTTTGCTTTCAATTTTTGGCTTATGTGTCGCTCGACCGTCAATACGGCGGTGCAGGAGCTGGTGCGAACTGTCACTAGTTGGGTGCACCGGCGTGGTGTCGTGGAATCAGAATCGGCTTCAGCGATCAACAGGATGCACTTAGTGGTTGGGACAGCGAGTGACGGAAGCAGTGTCGCGAGATGATGAACGCCACAAAGGTGACCGTGAGTCGGAGTGGATACCTGACAACGCGACTGTTCCTCGAAGAGCAAGACATCACATATACACAACAGACTGCGGTCAGCTGTTGCGAGCGCAGGGATGCAGATTACTTGACGAGAACTGGTTGGATCTCTGAGCCATCACTGTGCTATACATATGCATGTAGTCTCCCAGCATCTCAAGGACGTCGAAGTTTCGTCAGCTGCGCGAGCACGTTCCCCCGGCCCCAATTCGCTGAAACGGATGCACACTGCGCAAGCAGATGTCCCGATGCACGACAGACAGGCCATCTTTCTCCACGACCATCGCGAAAGACAGATGGAAGGGGACAACGGCCGATGCTGATCCCTAGATATCTCGCGCCTGCGGCAGACCTAGGAACACAGCGACGGATCCAAATGCGACAGTTTTGGGTCCGCATCCAGGACATGCGCTGACCCGGAAGCATACGAGGCGTAGCTCGCTGTGGTATAGGAAGAAGGTACTACAGCGAGCTCACTGGGTGACGCAACGAAGCGCCTTGGCTCGTAGCTTTGTCACCCGTGTCTGGAAATGAAACGCGCCGAGGTATTCGGTCTGTCAGAAGCTCGTTATTGGTCTCTGGGAACGGTCGCCATCGCATCTGTCCACATGAGTACGATTACTGGAGCATAAGATAGGCCATGTATCCCCGCATTACGGACTACAGCAGCTGTGAGGCATCTCGCATTGAGCGCTCGTGTTGGCGTGCAGGGTTGCGTAGGAAACCAACATTGCAAGGACGATGGGCAGTCAATGTTCCTAGTTGCCTTAAGATACGGAACATTCACCTGAGAAAAGAAAGCTGATCCGCAATCGTGTGTACACGCAGGGTTTTGCAGATCAGAACGCGTCTGTGGGCTGTAACCGGCACAAAGCCGAAGAGATGTTGTGTTGCCGGTCAAAACAATTACAGCAGCCTCTTGTCCCCCTCACGACCAGCCTTTCAGCACTTTTCGTTCTCTCCCTGCAATCATCACATGTTCCGTCCGGCAAGAACAACCTTAGCAACTCACCTTCTTTGATCCCGCCGCTCTCTCTTGTTAACCACCACCCTCTCCCTTCCATCGACCCTCAACATTAAGCATGTCAGACAAAGCTGCTGCCGCTGCTCAGGCCAAATCAAAGCACAGTCATGCTGCCTCACAAGCACAGCCGGCGCCGCGCAAGGTGCGCTTCAACGTCGGTGAGTGCCGCTCCATGTCGCAGCGAGAAGGATAGGCTGGGTAAGGGGGTCAAGGATAGCATACGCTTTGGAGTGCCAGCGGCGAAAGGTGTCGGCTAGATCCTGCGACCTCCTCCCTCGCTCTGCGGAAGCATCGTGTGTGTACTGACGACACTTGTGAACAGGCACCAACTACCAGGTGCTCGACGTAGTCGGCGAAGGAGCATACGGTATCGTCTGTTCCGCAGTCCACAAGCCCAGCGGCCGAAAGGTCGCCATTAAGAAGATTGCCCCCTTCGACCACTCAATGTTCTGTCTGCGTACACTACGAGAGCTGAAGCTCCTCAAGTTCCTCAGCGAGGCGGGTGTCTCTGAGAACATCATCTCCATCCTAGACATCATCAAACCACGATCGATAGAAGACTTCAAGGAGGTCTACCGTACGTAAATCCACTTTCTGTAACTCCCAGACAATAGGCCGGCTAACGCGGCGCGTGTTCGCAGTGATCCAAGAGCTCATGGAAACCGACATGCACCGTGTCATCCGGACACAAGACCTCTCTGACGACCACGCTCAATATTTCATTTACCAGACTCTGCGCGCGCTGAAGGCACTTCATTCTGCAGATGTCATTCACCGAGATCTTAAGCCCTCCAACCTGTTGCTAAACGCGAATTGTGACCTGAAGGTCTGCGACTTTGGCTTGGCGCGATCAGTTAAGACCGCTGAGCCGAGCGGCACGGAGACTGGTTTCATGACCGAGTACGTAGCGACACGGTGGTACCGTGCGCCGGAGATTATGTTAACGTTCAAGCAATACACAAAGGTAAATAACCATTCCTGCCTCTTCTGAGTCTGAACAAACTGATGATTGTTTTCGTAGGCAATTGACATCTGGTCGGTTGGTTGTATCTTGGCTGAGATGCTCTCGGGCAAACCACTCTTCCCTGGACGGGACTACCATCACCAGCTCACCCTGATCTTGGACGTGCTCGGCACACCTACCCTAGACGAATTCTACGCGATTACGACACGTCGATCCCGAGATTACATCCGGGCACTGCCGTTCCGGAAGCGGAAGCCCTTCGCGACCATTTTCCCTAACGCTAGCCCTCTGGCTGTGGATTTCCTGACCAGGAGTTTGGTATGTTTCATCAGGGTTAAACTGGCAAGGTTGATTCTGACATATTACAGACATTCGACCCGAAGAAGCGTATCACGGTCGAAGAAGCCCTCGCTCACCCTTACCTTGAGGCATATGTGAGTGTGCTTTCAGCAACGAAGAGAATGCTTCCCTGAGTTACCCTCTCTTGTAGCACGATCCCGATGATGAGCCTTGCGCTCCTCCGCTTGACCCGGAATTCTTCGAATTCGATCGTACGTGCTCATCTCTTCCTCGTCTGAGCTACTCCTAATCTCTTAATCATGTTACAGTCCACAAGGACGATATCAGCCGCGAGCAGCTCAAAGAGCTGCTATACGAGGAAATCATGTCCTTCCGCCCGCCTCCCATTGTGTAAACTTTCTCACTTCTCTGAGTGTAATTTTCGTGTGCTAGTATCTGGTTTTCGTTTTCTCTATCAGCATGTGTGGATCTATACGCTCTTCGGCCGGTAGCTACTCACAGGTTGAGTCGCTTATGACTCGTAAAACACTACATTGGATTTCTATTCGCTTCAATCGTGTGATATTGCCAGCATATCTGTTCAATCATGTAGAAGAGATCACGTTCCTCTGGGGCCCTTTGCATGTGGTAGGATGTTTTGCCGTCCCGTTCTTCTTTGATACTCTCGGGAGAAGGGAGACGGGAACTTGTCTTTAGTCTAGTAGTACAGGTTACGGACGTGGTTTCGGAATATATCCCCTCATTGGACAGTACTTCGCAGAAAATCCACTGCAAGTGCGGGGGGATGGTCTCATTATGGTAACTAGCAGCTTTGGATCCTAACACGAACAAGCAACCCCGACCATCCAATGGCGACATCGCAGGAGTGTCCGTACGCTCCGGAGTCAAATAAAACCTAATTCTCTTCTCCTCTTTTGACCCAAGATATTGTCCGCAATGTCGACGACGCCCCTTCTGACGTCTCACCTATGTTCATTGTCGATGGCCCGCCCGTATTCAGCGGCAACAGAGCACCACTTCCTGAAAGCAGCAGGGAACGGTACGCTCTCCCAGGACCACCTGTCTCTCTGGCTCGCGCAAGATCGCTTGTATGCCGCACACGCATACCCTCGCTTCATCGGTCTCCTGCTCGCGTCTGTCCCCTTCTCATCGCTGCACCCGCTGGAGTCTCCGCAGGAGGAGCTGAACAAGCGTATCGTCGCCACCGCGAACTACGCGCTCTCGAATGTCGTCCGGGAAGTGAATTTCTTTGTAGACACCGCGAAGAGATTCAACTTGAACTTGGAAGGGTGGAAGGAGAGGAAGGAGACAAGGGACTATACAGCCGAGATGATTCGCATTGGCGCGGCGGGTAAAGTCGAGGACACGATTGTCTTCCTCTGGGCAATGGAAAGAGTGCGTTTCATAACGATCTCGAAATTTGCTATTTGTGTCTAATTATGGTTCCTATATTACAGGTATATTTGGATGCCTGGAAATACGTTGGTTCGACGGCATCGTCCGCGGCCAGCGTGAAGTCTTCGCTCACAAACGATGCTGTCCGGATGTTTGTCGACAACTGGACCAGCCCCGAGTTCGAAAAATTTGTGGATGATCTTGCACACCTTGTAGACTCGTAGGTTGTGTGTCTTCACCAAGTCATCACTGCTCTGACGCTTTCGTCCAGGCTGGGCATCAAGCCAGGGTCCGAGGCCTGGCTGCGTGCGGAAGAGATCTGGGGTCGTGTCATAGAGCTGGAAGAGACATTCTGGCCTCAGTGTACAGATGAAGAGTTCACAGTGCTGTCGATACAACAGAAATGACGTGACGTAGCTTCACAGTGATGTAAGTAATCAAATGTACTAAATAGACAATCTTGTGCCCAGATTATATTCCGCGCGAATATCCCGTAAGATCAACCACACACTTCCCATCTGTTATCCCCAATACACCACACCCGACCTTGCTCCTTCCCCCACTCTAACGCGTCCTTGATAGCCCAGTCTCCTACACGTGCCCACCGCTCGTCCCGGCGACGCAGGTGGCTGGTAATCTCCTCCGGGGTCGGACCAGGGGGAGGTCCCGCCTTCTTATGTCTAGGCTTTGTTATGATGTCCCCGATCGCCCCCTCTACAATCTTACACAAGTATGCCGATGTAAGTGGGACATACGCGTCCTCGTCTTCTGGTGGATCGCTCAACTCTCCATCACCGTCGAGTGGATCGCGTGCCTCCTGCGAGGCACTGCTGGCTTGGCTATCTTTGGCCCTCCACAGCTTGTTCTCCTTCTGAGAGTCGTATGTAGACGCCGCCGCCGAGAATGCAGGTGCGGGTATAGGAGCGAGGGGCATCGCCCGCACGGGGCCGTCCCAGAGCACGATGCTCCCCTCGTCGTAGAGCTGCCGGATCGTGTACCGGAAGAGTCGCTTCATCTTCGCCGCCTTTGGCTCGCCAGGCTTGGCCGACGCCACGCTCGCTTTAACGGACGTCGCGCTCGTGCGGTACGACTTCGTTGGCGAGGCGTGTTTGCCCCTTAACGAGGGCTGAGTCTGCTCCTTCACCTTCTTGCGCTCCTCCCGCGTACGTCTCTTGGCCTCGGCGTCGACGACGCGTTTGGCGAGTAGTGCTAGTTCGGGGACACGTCGCAGGTGGGAGAGGGTGAAGCCTCGCAAATCATCATCTACAGTGGAGGCATTGGGGCGAGGGGTCCAGTCTGAGTTCAGCCGTAATCTGTTTGGTCTCGGTGTCGGCTCAGGCAGTCTTTCAGAACTTTCCTGTCCTTTGCGCCGCTGCTTCGTAGGCGTCTCTGGTTCACTGGGGAGCCAAGCCCGAAGCTTCTCGAGATCCTCCTCATCGTTGTCGCTTGCTGTTCGCTGAGTTTGAGGTGTGGGTGAAGACTGTCGTCGGCGCTGTTTCTCTAGAGGAGAATTATCCATGTAGTGCTTAAAGTAGATACGGAAGGTATTTGCGGTGAGGTCGCGTGAATGTAAACGGGAAGGATGGCGCAGCCTAGGAGGGGACTGTTCGCACGCATACAGTCAGTATTCTCGGTCACCATTGTCATACAAGAGCGCTCACGTGGGGACCATGGACGCTTGTCGTGGTGGCGGATGAGGGTGTTGATGGAGCGCTGCTAGCAATGCTCGCTTTCAACGGACTGCTTGGTTCTGAGGGCGCTTGCTGAGATGCTACGCGCGTAGATTTAGAGAATTGTGTGGACTGTGTGGCTGGGGCTACAGGTTTTGGTATAAAAAATAGCTCGGGATTCGGAGGATGATACCACAATTTGTGCAGGTCAGCTACCGCAAGCCAGTGGAGGGGCTCTTCAGTTGGACTTCTGCATACCGCTGCGGGATAGAACGGCTGCATTAGATTACATCTCGCAACGAGTGTGAATCTGGATGCGTACCAATCCTCTCCGCATTCACAATACGAGTCCAGTGTCTGTTCAGGACTCGCCCTACAACTCGGATGATGTCTCCGACTGCCGCCACCGGCTTTGGCGGCTCCGCAGAATTTTTGCTGCTTCCTGCAGCTGATTCTTTCGGAGGCTGATATTTCGACAGCGCATGCGAGGCCGATTTCCGGGGACTAGCAGGAGGTTGAACGAGATTATGCCTCAAATTGCATTCAACCATGCCCGTCCCGTCGTCCACTAGAAGACAGCTATAAGCGAATAATTAGATATGATGCATTGGAGAAGCGTACAGCTGTATAAGGTGCGTTGTTCATATTGTTGCACACCAACAACAACTCCACAGATGGTGACTGAGCGGCAGGGGACGCGGCCCAACCAAAAGAAGTCCGGGTCCATTCCACCTATATAGAAAGACGTCTGGTCAGCATCGACTCCTGGGAAGAATACCCCATTAAGAATTTGCCCGGCACCTTTTGTGCCTTCACACTCCTCCAGCGCAAAAATGTCCTGTACACGACATGGCGCAACGGCGGACGAAGTCAGTGTCCACTTCCACAGTTGCCCATGTGTGTGCAACGACCTTCTCGCGTCCCTACCCACGGCCGCAGCGGACGATTCTGGCGCCGCAACGTGCACTTTCTTCAGCGGGGACTGCTCCCCCTTTGACATCGGCGGTCGTGGTCGAAATTTCGCAGCATTCATGGACATAAGCTTTCAGGCTTTCGAGCTTCAGGATAAACAAAGAGTTCTCTCGCAATCAGTACAAAAATCGTGACGAGTATCTCGGGATTACAAGAACGAAGGTATATGTGAGTAGGTTGTGGTTCGCGTTCAACGAGGCTCGCGCTTATTGTCGCGACGCGCTGGTCAGGTGAAATGGCAGTCTCGTCACGTGCTTCGCCGGTGCGCCCGTTACGGAAAGCGCTGTAGTTTAACAGCAGCAGACAGCGGGCACGCCCAAGAGCAAATTGAGTACATCTAGCTACAGTAATGAACGCCATCAATCAAGCGAGTGTTTCTAGACCACTGACAGTGTCATAAAGTTTAATGATGTAACCAAAACGCACAGCGCACGGGCGGGTGCAAACCGCAGCCTCGCCCTACGAAGAAAGCAGTTCTCGCTCAGTACGGTGGCCGCTTGAAATCCCCGCTGATTTCCGGGTCCTCGATAACTTCGAACGTCTTCTGAGGGCTGATATTGGTGTCCGTGTCCTCCGAGTCCGCCATGGCGAATGTCTCCATCTGTCCGTCAGCGTCAGCGGCACAGGTCTCGCAAGGGGTCCCCGCAGACAGTGTGATGACCGGGCTTGAAGATGAACGTGAATGCTCACCTGGACGTGCACCCCGTCCGACGCCTTGTGGACGTGCGGGTACCGGATGGCTGCTGTGTCCCCTGACGAGATTGTCATCCCAGGCGGGCGATTGAAGGCCATCGGCGCAGAGCGGCTCTGTCCACCGCTGCGACCGGAGCTGGTGATGACCATTAGTGAGGCGGATGGGCCGAGAATCAGAGACAGACGTACTATACTTCGTGCTTTGAGTTTGCCCATTCGCTCAGGCGCCGGACGGCGCGACATGCTACAATCTAAGGTCGATGCGTAAGCGCAAGTAATCACATGCAGATGGCAGGCACACTCACCGTCGACGCGACTGCAGAAGGAACATTGAATACGATGCTCATGACCGCACTCAGGTTAAGCAGCATGAACGTCGTTGCCAGCAAGTTCGAAAGGAAGCTGCAAAAGTTTCAGGACGGCGTGCCACGCGAGCAATGCAACATCACGTACGCAATGACAAAATAGATCAACCCGTCCTTGAACAGCAATTTCATCAGCTGCGAACGCTGGCCTTGGGGGAACGCAAGCTTGGCGGCGGTGAGAACGAGCACGATAAAGTCGAAGCACATGCTATAAATGAATGTCGCCGCGAGCACAGTGTTGTTCGTATGTGTGATAAGGCAGCCTTGGCCTGGCATCCACACAGCCTTCAGCAGCACACCTACAGGAGGTTTAATCAGCGACGATTTCAGCCCAATGCGAAGAGGCCGGCTCGCCTTGAAGAATGAGCGACCAATGGCCAAGGATGACCAAGACGAGTGGAACGACAATGTACAAGTTTTGCGACCAGAGTGCCATTCTGCACACTGTTAACATCGTGTGATAGTAACGACAACCCAGGGGACGTACGTCCGTATAGCAAGGTTGATACTCGCAAGGCCGATGGTCGCTTGTCCGACGAGTTGGTTGAAGGTATACAGCGTCTGGCAATTGACCTCACTTCCAGGCTGATGAGACCTCGTGCTTGTGAAAGGCTGATGGGAGATACTCACGTTGTGACATCAAGTGCTGTAAGACTATACACGGTTCAGCGAGGACCCTTGAGTGTACTCTCATACACTCACATTCCGATCATGGCGAACACGAGAAGGTACCGATCCAAGAAGTAGAAGATCTGGGAAATGTACCGAGAGTCAGCTCTGCTTCACTGTGCATCTGACGATCGACGTACCAAAGGCCAATGAAATCTCTTCTTTCCTGTGATGTATTGCCAGTCAAAGCTAAGCGATGTCGCCACCTCCCAGCTGCACAGCAATCGTCAATGAAACGTCGAGTTTTGAGGGATCGGCACGGGAGGCTTACAAGTACAGGCCGGCGAGGGCGTGCATGAGTTTGGCGAAGGCGGCTACGTTCAATCATTTAGCACTAGCCTCGTCGCAAAGTTGTGTGGGAAACCTCACATGCTTCGAGCGCGAGCTCGGTGGGCGAGTTCCAGTCCGGCATGGCTCCTCAGACGACGTTCAGAAAGATGTCCAGGAAGAGCTGGTCCGTCGCGAGGCGGGGCTGGGACACAACTTGGGTGTCAGGAAGCAGCTCCACCTGCACAGACGGGCCAAGCTAATTATATGAAAACACCTAGTCGGAGACCGAGCTGATGGCGAATGGTCAGTATTAAAACGCGCGAACACGCGGCTCCCCAGAAATGTCGAGATTCGCTAAAGGCCGGAAGAACCTCGAATTGGGTGTCTAGTCCGCCCTTTCCAGGGTCAAAGCTGATGGGTGACGGGAGCTTAAGGCGTCGCGCGCCCAGAAGCGTTGCGCCCCGTCGCTCCGCTACCCAGCGGCCGTAGTCTGGGATACAATCTCTCTGAGCACTAGCCAGAAAGTCAGCGGTGGTGGTCGCACGTTGCTACCAGGACTCACCGTAGTTGGCTACGGGATGGACTGGCGGAGCACATGCCCGGTGAGGGATAGTCTGGTGTGACCAGGCACAGCCGCATAGCAAACTAGCAACGGGCTTCCCCCGAAGCGGCTATGAGTCTGTGACGGAGGAGCGCGCCTTCTCCTCTGCAAGTGATCGGCCTGATGGGATCCCACGCCCTGCCGCGTCACGGCTCCGCTCTTCTCCCAAAAGCAGCGCGCGCTTCGAGCCCGCCGACGCGATCTCGTCTGCGAAAGAGGCGGGCCCGAAGCCGTCGGGCGATTTTGGTCGTGCCTTTGCGTCGGACGCTGCACGTCTCAGGCCTGATCCTTGCCGACCATCGCACTAGTCGCCACCATATCACTCCGTGCCTCTGTTGCACGCCGTCGCGGTCCACGTCGTCGAGAGACAAACGTGCCCAGCATTCGTTATCTATCCAGCGGATAATCCACTGCACTACGACATGTCTTAGACACGGAACGAAAGGTGCAGTGGTGTGATGAACAATATGCGCACGAGGCGTCGGTGAGCACAAGCTCGAAAATCGGAACAGGGTTTCAACAGTCTCTGCATGCTCAAGCTTCAGCATGTAGAGGCAGTTTATCGAACGAGCTTCAGCGGCTGAGAAGTTAGGTGCGGTGCTTCAAGCTTGGGTCAGCCTTTGGCATCAGACTGGTGCTGACAAGTTAACAGCCCTATAAACGAGCAAAAAAAAAGACGAGTTAACAGCACATTCATACTGTACTTTGTCTACAGACGCGATCCTTGGGACGTCCCACCCCATTGACAACAAATGGATCGATGACGGTATGTCTTTGACGCAGCCCGGGTGTCAAGTGCCTGCTGATGTACCGTGCGCATGGACGCTCAGACTTGCGGAAGATGCATATGGTGCAGCCGGCATGCAATGCGTGGTGGTTACTGCAAATCCATGGTGAGATTTGCGTCAAATCTTCCTCTTCGTCTTCTCACAGCGTTCCGCCGTACTAGTGAAACAGGGACCACCCCAAGGTTGCGAACGCCGTAGGCGTCGCGCCAACAGAACCTCCACATACGTCAAATAAGCTATATATATATCGCCTTTTAAGATTTTCTACAACGACAAGGCTTCTTTGAAGGACCATGTCTCGCATCCCTGAGGTCAATTGTGCACCAGGTCCTTGGGGAAACCTTGCTGTAAGCTGCTGCAAGGTGTAGCGAACCGAGTGGGCTCAGTCGCCCGCCTATGTAATGTTTGGGTACGCGCTCGGCTCAACGTTCTTTTTTTTTTTTCAAAGCATCTGCCACGCAGCTCAGCGCTCAATACCGGCCGCCCTACTCGGGAGCCAATCCAGCCTACCTACCACCCTCTCACCCTCGATACGCGCCCCACCAACTAGGGAGTAGACTGGTCACGACGAACAAATTTGGCGAGGGATCGCGTCTCTATTCCCATGTCTGCAAAGCATGATCACAACAGACTGTCACGACCAAACTCAAATCGGCCGGAAGATAGATGTGACATCCGATGTCGTCCATGTGCATGAAGCTTGAAGGCGAGTAGCACTCTTACGAAGTTGGCTAGAGCCGACACTATCTTCGCGCTAATGCCTCGGTAGGCTCCATACCAGCCGCCTTGCACGGAGCACTGGCCGGTGACCATTCCGGCGTACCAACCACCTCGGTATGCACCTGTGCCAGCCACCGGATAGACCGGTGACGAGTCTACACAGCCGGTCATAGCGACAAAGACGAGGACGACAAGGACGATACCGCGGAGCAACGGGTAGCCATTTCCGTTAACCTTTCACGTAAGCGATCACAACGTGGCAGCAGCCGGCGTGTTGATGTGCGTCCGGATTTGGCGCATACGAGGCACAGTGGCGGGAGGTTGACTTCCATCTGCGCTCCGAGCAGCGGCCAATCGTGGGGTCGAGCCGTACCACGTTGTCCAACGCTAGCTTCGCTTTTAGCTCAGATCAGAAACGCCAGTATATGTTGTGAAGGGTGCGTGTCTTTTGTGGTGGCCATTTCTCAGGCGATTGACGTGCGCCGTGTTGCTGCAGAAGACAAATGCGCGCACCCTCGTCTCCGTCGAGCAATTGCATCCACCTGTCGCGATTTCCCGCCTTATCTTATGCCCCCCGACGGAGTTGGAGATGCTCAGTTGTGCCTGGGCTCGCCTCCTCCATGTGATGCCTTTTCAGGTGCCCTCCGCTTGAATTCAGCACGTACGGTGCACCTCGTTTCACGTCTCGAAGAGCTCTACGCTGAAGAACGCTACGATAGTTTTAGGGCTAGATTGCGAGGCTTTGAAGAACCTAAGCCTGAATTCTGCTGTTCCGTGCCCTCTCTGAAGATGCGGCGAAGCTCGACCGTGTGCTCGCTCGGAGTCCCGTGGCGCTTCCCTTTCCAAGAGCAGGCTCGCGGAACATCCCGCTGTTCGGCTCCCCCGCTGATCATGCCCGCCTTTCCAGCCACCGCTTTCCGCATCCAGACTTTCCGTCTTCGTCGATATCCGGACAGCCATCATCGCTCTTCTCGCTCTTCCCGCACTTTTATATTGAAGAGCTCGCGAAGCCGCAGTGGTAATTGAGGCTGAAGTGTGACGGCGAAAAACAGAAGGCGGGATAAGGTTCGGGGTGCCGAAGTCCATGCATCACACAGCGGAATGAAGCAATACCCTATCGAAATGAACGACAGGCGCCCATTCTGCCCCCTTCGACTGTCCCGTTCCAGAACCGAGTGCAACAGCAAGCCCCTTCAGCAAAAGGTAGCTTGACGTCGCTGCATTTATAACCAACCGTTCTCAGAATAGGTCGCGCCACAGGTCGTCTGGGCCCCCCACTTGCGACTCCCGCTCTCAGCCTCTCCCTCGGCTTATTTATCCTGATCTCAGCCGTCGACGACCATGGTCAACTGGCAGTCTCCACAAGAGCTTGCGAACGATGCTAGTGAGTCTCTAGAGATGCATTCCTGGGACAGAGCCAAAACTAATGTTGACCTGCGATCTAGATGCGTTCGACAGGCTCATGCACACACTCCTTGGTCTCTATATGTAAGTATCGATATCCTTCAGAACCGTCTGAGGAGATTTTTATTGACTTGGATAATCCTTTCAGATGGGAATTCGTGACGTCGTTGAGCTTTGACTGGGATTTTGTCGTTGGTCGCAAGAAGTTTCGTTGGCCTATGGTGGGTACACCCCTCGACCGCCATGCTATCTGCGTTCCGACGCGTGCACCTAGGTCTTCTATTTCGCGAATCGGTACTTCCTACTATTCGCACTGATAGGAATGTACGTATGATATGTCTCCTTATTGTATGCTCGCGCTGATCCCCACACTATTTTCAGCGCCGTCGCGTTGAATGTGACGGAGCCGGTCAACTGCCAGGCGCTTTACACCTATAACCAGGTGCCTAACTTTCTTTGTGGTCGTACCTCGCAGTCCAACCTGAGTCTATGTAGGTTTTCGGCAACGCTGCCATTGGCTTGGCGAGCATCAACTTGTCGCTGCGCACGTGAGCGTCTTGCTATTATTATATTCACCCGACGTCTTATACTATCGTCTTAGGGTCGCTGTGTGGTCACAGTCGAGATACCTGATTGTTGGCCTTGTTCTGGTCATCATGGGCCACTGGTCACTCCTTTTACACGGTCGGTATCTCGTATATGCGTCCAGATCTACGGCTTATCTGTGTCTCGATCAGGCCTTCTCATTAAGGCAGAGTGGATCCCTGGGTCAGGTTGCGCCATCACTAACACGAACAACACCTTGCTTGCGGCGACGTTCATTTACTCCATGTGCTTCGACTTCATCGTCCTCGTCTTGACGGCCTGGAAGTTGGCTTGGCCGACGAAGCGATCGGAGCGGACGAAGCTTGTCAGTCTTATCTTCGGAGATGGTTTGATTTTCTTCTTCATCGCGTTCATAGCCAACTTAATCGCTACCGTGAGTCGATTTCACATTATGCCTCCCACGAAGTGATGGAAGCTGACGGTATATCAGATCTTCATGTTGCTTAACCTGAATGCGGTAATGTCGATTATCGCCAACGTCCCCGCTGCCATTGCGTCGACGGTGAGCTTCTCCACCTGTCACGGCCAGGGCACACCGTACTCACGTATACATGTGCCAGATTGTTGCCTGCCGGGCTGTTCGCCGATTAACCAACTACACCTCGCAAGGAGCCGAGGTATTCAAGTGAGCTTGCCCCATGTGTGGAACATCGCTCTCAGCGACTGATCGGACTCTCTTCAGCTCCTCCTCAGCATCGACCCTGGCGTTCAGTCCCGCCCGTAACGGCCGTAATGGGCCTAATTTCTCTGTTGGTGAGAAGAAAATGAGCGGCGTCCATGTCCAGGTCCGTCCGTGACGCTGTATGAACCTTACTTGATGTTGAAGAACTTTTGCCCGCGCCAGATGGAGACATTCGCTTCTGTCGCCGAGGATGACGCGACAGCCAAAGCATCCTCTCCTGCCACCCCGCACAGTACTTTGCACGATGGCGCCGAGGAGAGCAACCCCGACCTCTTCAAGCGATCGAATGCCGAGTACTACACTGCAGCGTAAGGTTGGCGTGGATTCCCCGCCTCAACCTGACCACTTCTTCCTGCCTTTTCCCTAATGCCACTTCGGTATCGCTGTCACTCGCTTTCATTCTCGCTGTCGCCTTCACATTCCCTCCCGCTCCTGCCCGTCAGAGCGACCTGCCCCCTTCGCTTCTGTCCGAACATCTCACCGAACACCTGCCCTGGGCGCTTCCCCCAGCGCAGCGTCTCTCCTTCCATTCGTTGTCACAATCATTTTGGTGTCCTACAGTCATTCCAAAGAACTCTTGGGGTTTCGTTCTTGAAGTTGCTGTATCGTCTCGTTATCGATTAGCTCGTTCGTTCGCAATGTCAATGTACTCTATTCGGTTGGAGCTTGGGTCAAAGTTATACTACGTGTGAAACGGAAGGGCGGGCTTCGAGCCTTCGATGATATATTGGCGCGTACGAAGAGGATGACGAGGGTATTGTGGGAACATGCCGTCGCGTGCCAGACCTAACGACGAAGAATGACCTGCATGTAAGCACACGACGCGCTCGTCATCGTTGCCCCTGGCGAGCTAGCCCGCACGGCATCCACTGCTCGCAGAAGGCTCTCAAGGTTATGTCCGTGCGATCGCTGAGCTCTTCCGCCGCAGAAGAGTTCGCAAGTCGCTGTTTCAGAATTTGCTACAGCCGCCCTTATGGCACGCTGGCAGCTTGTAACCATGACGGGGATAATGAGATTATAGAGTGCGTGCGACACTCAACGAGGAAACCATCGAGATGCAGCATGAAGTTGACCGCCGCTGGCCGGTGGGAAGAGTTGTGTAATGTGCAATTACACCTGGGACATGGTGTGGCGATATTTACAACGCACGGCTCGGAAGCACTTCGGAGGCAGACATGGACATTAGAGGGCGTGAGATCCCATCAAGCCGATCACTTTGGGGGGGCCAGACTCCGCGTACCACGTTCAAACATTCATTAACCATCACTGCTTTCGAGAGAGCTTTACGCTTGCTAATACTTTGCTATGGCCATCCAGACTATACGTTAGCGAGTATGTACTCTGCCAGCGCGTCTCGTGCCTAGAGTTCGTGCTGCTTAGCAGCGTGCGGTCGGACCACCGTTGGTTTTCTAGTTGCCAGCTGATGCTTCAAACGGCGACTCTGATCAGAATAGCGGAGCAATAGGGCTGTGAGAGCATGAGATCTCCAGCCTCGGTCACTTCGTCGGCCTTGACCCTTTGCCAGCTGCCAGGCTGATCAGATACCCGTCTCGAGGGTCTTCTGGTCTCCAACGAAGCTCGAAATCTTTCTGTGAGCCCTGGTCGCGCTTCCCGTATTGCGGGCAACTTACCATTCGCTATTCGCTATTCTCCATTTGCCATCAGCTCAGTTTCAGGCTGCGTGCTTTTGGTATAATTATCCTGGCCCGATCGTGCAGGTGAAGCAGCTCCCTAGTACCCACTGCCCAAGCCCTACCTCGCGACAGACCTGCACTTCTTGGGCTTCTTTCCAACTTCTTTCTGCGCGTCGTTTGGAGAGCCATGCCGGCTTGGAACTCGCTCGCAGAGCTCGCGCTCGAAGCATGTGAGGTTTCTCATGCGACACTACGATGACGCTAGTGCTGATTGAGCGCAGCTGCCTTCGCAAGACTCATGCACGCCCTCGCCGGCCTGTACTTGTGAGTCTCTCGCGTTGATTCGCCATGACTGGACGCTACATTAACGACCGCCGCGCAGTTGGGAGGTGGCGACATCACTTGGATTTGATTGGCAATTCATTACAGGGGAGAAGGAATTTCACTGGCCCTTAGTACGTCGATTGTCAGATGCACAGTGAATCAGAGCTGACCCCCGATATATTGCCCAGATCTTCTACTTTTTGGGTCGGTACCTTCTCGTGTTCGCCATGATCGGAATGTAAGTGTAGACAAATACACACAACGGTCCTCGCTAAGTAGTGTGTAGCCTTACAGCACTCGATGTCACGACGTGAGTACCTCCCATAAGCCTTTTCACAAGCACGGGGTCTCATCAGCCGGGAAGTGAGGTCAATTGCCAGGCGCTATATACCTTCAACCAACTCGTCGGACAGGCGACCATCGGCCTTGCGAGTATCAACCTTGCTATACGGACGTATGTCTCCTAGGATGTCGCTACTAATACACGATGCTAATGGCGCGCTCAGAATGGTACTGTGGTCGCAGAACCTGTACATCGTCGTTCCGCTCGTCTTGGTCATCCTCGGCCATTGGTCGCTCATTCTCCAAGGCAAGCCAGCTTCTACATGTTGAGCTGAAGTCATTGCTGATCCAGTGCTCTGCAGGTGTGCTGCTGAAGGCAGAATGGGTACCAGACCAGGGCTGTGTGATCACACACACGAATAACACCGTGCTCGCGGCGACATTCATTTACAGCATGTGCTTCGACCTTATCGTGCTCGTTCTCACAGCCGCCAAGCTTGCGTTCCCCCGAGGTCAGCGCTCGCAGCTGATGAGAATGCTGTTTAGGGACGGGTTGATCTATTTCGTCATTGCGTACGTGAGATTGCACTGTTCAGCTGACATACCGTTCTGAGGCGTTTATAGCTTCCTTTCGAATTTGCTGGCGACTACGTTCATCCTGCTTAATTTGAGTGCAGTCATGAGCGTCATATTTAATGTTCCTTCTGCGATCGCGTCAACGGTGAGTGTGCCTGCCATCAGTATACATCAGGGGAAAAAAAAACCCATGCTACCCGTGGCTGCCTAGGCTAGGTAGCGCTCCGAAGCATTGGGTAGAATGGTGGTTTTTCCTGTTTTGCCATCACTTGCGCTCACACATCCACTTTAGATTGCAGCATGCCGGGCAGTTCGACGCCTGAACGGATGGTCAAGCTCAGGGCCCGAAGTATTGTACGTCTGCCTCTGCCTCTCGACCAACCTGCAGCACTAACAGTCGGCATCAGCTCGAATCACATTGGCAACCAGATTCACTCCGCGCCGGTGGCCGTCAGCCGCCCGTTTGGAATGGCGTGTACGTCAGAGAGCATCCGTTACCCGCACAGCCGCAAGGCGTCGGGCGGTGTGCACATCCAGGTGGGATCTCATTTCCATCTTCAAGCTTGGCGCCGCATCGTGTGCTGGGACCCCTTGCGCGACTTGTGCCACTGACGCTGACGAGCAGATGGAGTCGTTCGCTATCACGGACTTGGAGACCACGCGCACTAATCCGAGCCCCCCGACGTTTGAAACGATCGAGAACCCGGAGATCAGCGGTGATTACAAGCGGCCACCGTTTTAAGCGAGAGGTTCCTTCTTTTGTAGAGGCTGCGATTTGGACGTGCTCGTAAGCTGTGCATTTTGGTTGTAGGAAACCTGCCCTTTAAAATCATCAATAATCTAGATACACTCGCTCTATTTGTGACGTTACTGTAACTAGATATCCTATTGTAATCAAGAAGACACACATACTATCGAGCCACCTATGAAGAGAGGAATAAGCGAAAACCTCGAAGATTCGCTTACTACTGTATGGTGGCAACATCACGCGTCACACACCACTAGACCCGTTTCTTATCTCTACTTATCTGGCTCAATGTCACGCGTCACATTCAGTTGGTTCTGCCCGAATATCTTACCTCCTTTCACTACTCGTCGCAACCATTTTGGTGTCCTACAATCATTCCAAAGAACTCTTGGGTTTCGTTCTTAAAGTTGCTGCGTTGTCCCATTATCGAGTAGCTCGTTCGTTCGCAATAATGTCAATGTACTCTATTCAGCTGGAGCTTGGGTCAAAGCCATACTACGTGTGAAACGAAAGGGTGAGCTTCGAGCCTTCGGATGATATGTAAGTGTGTACGAAGAGAATGACGAGGATATTGTGGGACGTGCCGTCGCGTGTGACGACGAAGAATAATTTGCGCGTAAGCATATGACATGCTCGTCATCGTTGCTCCTGGCGAGCAAGCCCGCACGGCGTCCACTGCTCGCAGAAAGCTCTGAAGGCTATGCCCGCGGCCGTGCGATTACTGTAGCGATACGACCAACAGTTCAGGCCCTGTGACCCGTGACACTTGAAACCTGGTCATTTCAGAGTTCAGAGACCTTTCGTGACCGTGACCTTGATTCGGTGACCCAACCGCGACTAAGGCGGACGCAGGCCGCGTTGGGCAAGGCCGCCGTCAGGAGCACATGTGTATTAGGCCGAACTCTTGGGCTTAAGAAGGGTTCTTGCACCTTCGCCCGCATGAGGACGAAGCGGTATATCCGGATATCTGTGAGTGCCGGAACCACTGCCCCGATGCGAGCATTACCCCATGTATATTTCCAAGGAGCACATTCTAACAGTGTACCTCTCTCTGGATATCCTTGTGCAGTGAATGACACATTGGTTGTCCTTGCCAAGGCCGTCCTAGGTGTTGACTGGCATGATAACACGGGCCGTGCACACGAAACTGACGAGGGGGAGGATATTTCTTGCAATATATGTAGTTCTAGTTGAGTAGTTCATGGGCTAATTGTGTGCTCCGAAGACAACATTAAGCTTGTGCGACGATCAAAATTCGGGAAAAAAAAATGCCGAATATATTGAAAAGCGCCCGAGTCACGCTAATTCGCAGCCGGTTCATCGGCTTATCGTGACTGTGACCACCAGTTCAACCTCGGCCTGTTCAGAGGCCCCGTGACCGTGACCTGAACTTTTGGTCATATCGCCACAGTACTTGATTCTTCCGCAGTAGAAGAGTTCGCAAGTCGCAAGTCTCAGATTTCACCACAGCCGTCCTTAGGACACAGCTTGTAACCATGGCCGGAATAATGAGACTGCAGAGCTCGGAGTACAGCACGCAACCTATGAAACCATCGATGAAGTGGTCCGCGGGAAGAGTTAATGCGCAATTACACCTGGGACACGACGTGGTGAAATTTGGAACGCACGAGGCAGACGCGGACATCAGAGGGCGTGAGAGCATCAGGCCGATCACTTCGAGAGGTCAGACGCGCACCTTCATCACAGGCGTTCCACGTTCATTGTCGCTCTCGAGGGAGATTTGTTGCCGATACTTTGCCATGGTCATCTAGACTATAACTTAGCGGGCATGTACTCTACCGGTGTGTCCCGTAGCCTAGGGTTCGTGCTGCGTAGCGACGTGCGACCATCACCATTCGCCTTCTAGCTGCCAGCTGGTGCTCAGACAATGACTCTGATCAGAGTACTAGCGGAGCGACGGGGCTGTGGGGGCACGGGATCTCCAGCCTCCGTCGCTCCGTCGGCTTTGACCCTTTGCCAGCTGGCATAGGCGGACCAGATGCTTATCTCGAGGCTCTTCTGGTCTCCAACGAAGCTCGATTATTTTCTGTGAGCCCTGTTCGCGCTTTCAATGTTGCGGGCAGCTGGCCATTCGCTATTCGCCATCAGCTCGGTTTCAGACTGCGTGCTTTTGGTATAATTAGCCTGGCTCGGCTGTGCAGTGAAGCAGTTCCCTGGTGGCCAAGCACTGCCCAAGCCCCGCCTCGCGAGCACTTAAGTTCCTGGGCTTCTGGCCAACTTCTTTCCGCACGTCGTCTGAAGAGCCATGCCAGACTGGAACTCGCCCGCTGAGCTCGCGCTCGAAGCATGTGAGATTTCCCATGCAACTCTACGATGAGGCCAGTACTGATTGAGCGCAGCTGCCTTCGCAAAACTCATGCACGCCCTCGCCGGCCTGTACTTGTGAGTCTCGGCATTAATTCGTCAGAACTTGGCGCTACATTGACGATCGCTGTGCAGCTGGGAGGTTGCGACATCGTTCAGCTTTGATTGGCAATTCATTACAGGGAAGAAGAAATTTCATTGGCCCTTAGTACGTCGATTGTCAGAGTCGGCGATGCACGGTGAATCAGAGCTGACCCCGATACATTGTCTAGATCTTCTACTTTTTGGGTCGGTACCTTCTCGTGTTCGCCATGATCGGAATGTGAGTGTATAAGAGTACACTCAAGGGTCCTCGCTGAACCGCGTATAGTCTTACAGCACTTGATGTCACAATGTGAGTACCTCCAATCAGCCTTTTCAAAAACACGGGGTCTCATCAGCCGGGAAGTGAGGTCAATTGCCAGGCGCTATATACCTTCAACCAACTCGTCGGACAAGCGACCATCGGCCTTGCGAGTATCAACCTTGCTATACGGACGTATGTCTCCTAGGATATCGCTACTAATACACGATGCTAACAGTGCGCTCAGAATGATACTGTGGGCACAGAACCTGTACATCGTCGTTCCGCTCGTCTTGGTCATCCTTGGCCATTGGTCGCTCATTCTCCAAGGCAAGCCAGCCCCCACATGTTGAGCTGAAGTCATTGCTGATCCAGTGCTCTGCAGGTGTGCTGCTGAAGGCAGAATGGGTACCAGGCCAGGGCTGTGTGATTACAAAGACGAATAACACCATACTCGCGGCGACATTCATCTACACTATGTGCTTCGACCTTATCGTGCTCGTTCTCACCGCCGCCAAGCTTGCGTTCCCCCGTGACCAGCGCTCGCAGCTGATGAATATGCTATTCAGGGACGGACTTATCTATTTCGTCATTGCGTACGTGGAATTGCACTATTCAGCTAGCATACCGTCCTGAATCGCTCGCAGTTTCCTTTCGAACTTACTGGCGACGACGTTCATGGAACTTAACCTGAGTGCGGTCATGAGCATCATATTCAATGTTCCTTCTGCGATCGCGTCAACGGTCAGTGCACCTGCCATGAGCATACGACCACTTGCGCTTACACATCAACCTTAGATTGTAGCATGCCGAGCAGTTCGGCGCTTGAGCGGATGGTCGAGCCCAGGGCCCGAAATATTGTACGTTTGCCTCTGGCTCTCTCCCCTTCGACAGCGCTAACGGTCGCCACCAGCGCAGATCGCATTGGCAACCAGGTCCACTCCGCGCCGATGGTTTTCAGCCGCCCGTCCGGGACGACGCGCTCGTCAGAGAACGCAGTAGTCATCCGGTACCCGCATAACCGCAAGGCATCGGACGGTGTGCGCGTCCAGGTGAACTCTCATGTCCAACTTCAAGCTTCAAGCCCGGCGCTGCACCATCTGCCGGGACCTCTCGCGCGACCTGTGCCGCTAACGCTGACGGAGTCGTTCGCTATCACGGACTTGGAGGGCGCACTCATTAATCCGTGGCCCTCGAGGGCGTTCGAAATGATCGAGGACCCGGAAATCAGCAGTGATTTCAAGCGGCCGCCGTATTGAGCGTGAGCTTCCTTCTTTTCTACTAGTAGAGGGTGAGGTTGCGGTTTGGACCCGCCTGTACGCTGTGCGTATCGGTGGCAGGAAACTTGTCCTTTGAAAGCTGTCAGTAGTCTCGATACACTCGCTTTATTTATGATATTCGTTACTACACTTACAGTAACTAGGTGCTCTATTGTATCAAAAAGACATACATACTAACGAGCCATCCATGAAGAGAGGAATAAGCTGCAGCGTCAAGGGCTCAATGATCGATCTCCGCCGTACGAAGTCCTAGGACAACTTATTCAACGATTGTCAGTTATTCTTTATGAAAATGTCTGGATACACAATTGTCAGTGTTTTCTCGAGGCAAGGAGTTATAGACTCACCAACACAGGCGGAATCGCGCGCGGACCGTCATCCAGCGCGTACTAATTGGCAATTGTGGCTGGCAGACACGTAGCATTTTGAACACAACTCGTCACTCGATAACCGTGAGGTTGGTCTCAACCTGACAAAGCTCAGACAGCCTTATGTTTCGTTGTGGCCTACAAGAGTACATGCCAGATACGATAAGTCTAATATTCAGAGCCGCAATTTGGCGGGCTCGACATACAAGCCGGGTCGGAAGCCCTTCCAAGCCAGCACCCGGGCCAGACTAGAGGTTACATGAATTGTGAGCATTAGAGTCCAGCGAAGATCTGATGTAAAAATCGGCAGCGTATGGGCCACCAGACAACACCACTACGGACCAGGTAACCTCAACGGTGTCACCATGTTTACCAAAGACTCTTCTCTAACTTCATGTTTGCGCTTTTGGAGTCGCAAGCGCGAATTGCCACTTACGGCAAGGTCTTTATTTGACCGCCTCTCCCAGAATGAGCGTAACGTTTTGGCAGGCAACACCCATAGTGGCGACGGGCTGATGATCGTGCCTTCCTACTCCATGTAGAGTAGTAGAATGACCACGATCCCCATAAAGCCAATGACGACGCCCATAACCACCTTTGTCGCGAAGCTGCCATTTTCAAAGAAGATGAACATTAAAGCCACTATAAATGCGACCGCACTGTGAGGGGACTAGTTAGTACGCGGCTTTACGAGATGAAGTATCATGATAGAACTACTGACCTCCAAAGAAAGAGAGCAGTCGGAAGGCTGTATATGACGTATGTCAGCGGGAATATGGCCTCGGATCATAAATTGCACATACCTAAATGCAACGGCCACGCCCTCAAGACCAATTAGACGGCTTTCGCCCGCAATGGTGAATTGCAGCTGGAAACAATATCAGACGAGGCCGCATTGCAAAGCGAGCTGCAATGGAGCCTCACCATATCCCGCGGTTGCGGTTGTCTGTTAACAAAAAGCAGATGGCGCCTGCTAAGGATTTGCGCAACGATGAAGATGCCCAGACTAAAGATTGACGAGATGTAGCTCGAAATCTGAGCGGCGCTTTTGTTGGGACTCGTGGTGTCGATGCTATTGATTGCCAAAAAGCCGACGTTTGCCGAGAGCAACACAGTAGCCTGTATAACGTATTGTCACGGTGATTTAGTCCATGCAAAGCGAGCCATCTAATGAACTCACGGGAATGATCGAGCCTTCCCAGTCCCTTTTGAGCGCCTCAACGAACTGAGACCAATAGAGATTGTAGAACGAGCTGTCAACAGATATACCCTCAAGCTTTTCGAGGTACATAGACGGCATGTAGAATAGGAGAGGCAAGATAAAATTGAAAATGATGGATCGAGGGCCTCTGATATCGGCCTTGTAGGCACTGTCCTTGCGATCCAGCCGGGCACCAGCTTCGCCATGGAAGTGTAGGAAACGCTCCTTATCTGTAGCGCATGTTGAATATAGTACCCAGATAACAGATACGCTACGTACATATTGAATATAGCAGCCTAGCTGCTGCCGCCGTGTTAACGGGGTTGATTTCATCCTCTAGAGCAAGATGAAGACAAGATTAACACGTGATCGCTCTTCTAATGATAAAAAAATATATGCCTCTCATGCCCTCCATGCATTTGCTCAGCTTCTCGATAGTGTCAGGGTCATAGGCAAACATTGATGTTTGCAACGTGACGTGATCTGGGGCAAATATGTAAGCTAATAACGCATGGGGAAATGGGATTAGACGTGGGCGCACCACACAGGCCATATGCAAATGCATCTTTGAGCTCACGTATCGCAACTCCTAGCAAGCCACGATGGTTCGGGAACATCTCTACGTGTTGCCTTCCTCACCATTAGTGTCCGCCAAGTGACACAAACAATATGTGACGCACCAAAACTGCTCTCGTACGGCCTTCTCTACATCAAGCCATGTCATGAGGCAGTTTCCAGGCTTCGCACGGAGAGCGTCTTACCAAGATGCATCTCAGACACAACCGCCCGCTCGCCATTCGTGACGTACGACACCTCGACTTCTTTGAACCAAAAGATACGTTGGTGCGACATACTCGCCACATAATACCCGATGGCTTCCTCCTCCCCATGGTGGGTTTTCATCAAGGTTATCTCTGCATCATCCGGAGCATCCATACTTGCCAGTTGAGACAACAGGTCATCACCAGCTCGTTCAATTTGCCGGCGATTCTGATCGTTTTCAATGTCGATCATCGTCAACAGACGCTACGCAAGATGTGAGCTGGTAATCTTTCAAACGATCAGGATGTCGTACTCGAGATTTATAGTAGAAGTATAATTTTCCCTCTGGGCATTCGTGGGCCTTCCAGCCGAGTGGGATACCTGGCCTAAAGTCCAGTCAATCAGTCTGGTACCATCGGCGCCGTAAAGCCATAAGCCTACCGCTTGAACTCCCATACGCCAGGCTGAAGTGTAAGGATTTTTGATCTCGATGAGTCCGGAGGACTGATGTTCTATCGGTAGAAGTATACGTGGGACGAGCATTACCACGTACTAGAAGACATCTCGGAGGTATTTCATGCAATTTACGTCGAAGGGAGCGATGCATATGATTGGCAAAGCCGGCTCAGCGTTGCCGCCGTCTGTATCTCGTCTCGTAGCTTGAGGGGTATTGGAACCAGCAGTGGGAATATTGCAGCTATCCACCATTGACGCAAGGCCCCCATTGTAAGGTACACTAGCATTGTCACCTGGCAGGCTCGGCACGGGGATCGGGGCCTCATCAAGGCCTGATGAGCGTCCGAAGGGCAATGAAGAAGAAGAGCCAAGGACAGCGTGATCAGAGATAGGACTCTCTGCCACGGGTCCCAAGTCGTATCCTGGACTAGGAACTCTTGGTATCTTGCCTCCAGAGCCTCCAGCAGGCAGAGGGACAGTCGACATTGTGTGGCTGGAGTCTAGTCAGTATTCTCTGTGAGTGGAGGAGCGAAGGCTACCATCTTGCGCAGAACTGTCGTTTTTAAGTCCTGTGCTCCATACATAGCCCAATCGACATGAGGCGGATCCTAGCGCTGACATCTCGCATGTGGGCGCGCGCATCATTCATAGAATTTTCCTGTGGACTTTTAGGCCGCATGTAGAGCGTGTACAACGCACATCAAAGAAGGAAGAGTTTGAGTACATCTGGCTGCAAGTCTAGGACATGATGTGGCTATTGAAGCGCACGCCCGATAGAGTCCAGACGCAGACAGCCTAGACTTGAACCAGTCAGTATGACGAGTCTCGATTATACTACTCGGTGAGATATACTTATGAGAAGGCAGGTATAGTTTTGATCTCATCGGCGGAGTCTGGAGTGGTTGTCAAGATTGAGCACTATTGAGTGGCTAGTATGACTGGAAGCACGCCTTCCGCTTCGTGCCCGGGGGGGGAGGAGGCGGCGGCGGTGGCGGCGGCGGCGTATGAAAGGCCACAGAGGCCAATCACGGGAGACGCGCACTGGCACCTCCATCATAGGTGTTCCACGTTCACTGTAGTGGAGCTTGTTGCTAGTGGTCACCCGGACTAAGTCTCGACCTCCAGCGAAGCCCGATATTTTTCTGTGAGCCCTGGTCGCGCTCCACATATTGCAGGCAACTGACCATTCGCCATTCGCCATCAGCTCGGTCTCAGACTGTGTACTTGGGTATAATTACCCTGGCATAGCTGTACAGGTGAAGTGACTCCCTGGTACACGAGCACTGCGCCTGAGCGTATGGGCCACAAGACAGCACTACTACGGACCAGATAAGCTCGATAGTGCTACCGTGCTTGCCAAAGACTCGTTTCTAACATTTTGGCGCCTTCTGAGTCACAAGCGCGGACAGCTGGGGTCTTTGTTTGACCACCTCTTGTATAGTGAGCACAGCGTTTCGGCGAGCAGCGCCCAAACATGGGAAAATGGCGACCGCTCGGCGATCGTGCCTTCGCCTTCCAGGTAGAGTAGTAGAATGACCACGACCCCCATAAAGCCAACGACAGCGCCCATGGCCACCTTTGTCGCGACGCTGCTGTTTTCAAAGAAGACGAACATCAACGCCACCAGGAATGTGACCATACTGTGATGGATTAGTTAGTGTGCGGTAGTACAGCGTCAAATATCGTGACGGGCTACTAACCTCCAAAGAAAGAGAGCAGTCGGAAGACTGTACTCACCTATGTCAGCGAGAATCTGGCTTCTGGATAGATATTGAACACACCTAAATGCAATGGCCACACCCTCAATACCCATTATGCGATTCTCGCGCTTGAGGATGTATAGAAAAAACTGGAAACGATATCAGACGGGACCGCACTGCAAAGCGAGTTGCAATGGTGCCTCACGGCATCGTGCGCCTGTCCATTGTTGTGATGCCAACGGTGCCTGCTAAGAATTTGCACAACGACGTAGATGAACAAACTAAAGATCGACGAGATGTAGCTCGAAATCTGAGCAGCGCTTTTGTTGGGACTCGTGGTGTCGATGCTATTGATTGCTAAGAAACCGACATTTGCTGAGAGCAAGACGGTGGCCTGTATAGCGTAATGTGATCGATGTTGTGCAAAGCGAGTTATATGATAGACTCACTGGAGTAATCGAGCTCTCCCAGTCCCTTTTAAGCCTGTTGATGAGCTGGAGCAAGAGTAAACGATGGACCGAGTTGTCGACACATATACGCTCAAGATCCTTGAGGTACACGGGCGGTATGAAGAACAGGAAAGGCGTGACTAAATAAAAAAAGTGGGACCGAGGGCCCTTGATACCGGCCACGAAAGCATTGTCCTCGCGATCCAGCCGGGCACCAGCTTCACCATGGAAGTGTATAAAGCGCTCCTTATCTGTAGCACATGTTGAGTAGAGTACCCAGACAACGGATGTACTGCGTACATATTGTGTTTAGTAGCCTTGCTGCTGCTGCCGTGTTGGCGGGGTTTATTTCGTCCTCTACAGCAAGATGAAGATATATTAACACTTGATCGTTCTGATTAAAGAAGAAAAACCCATGCCTATCATGCCCTCCATGCATCGAGTTAGCTTCTCGATAGTGTCAGGGTCAAAAGCAAACATGGATGTATGCGACGTGACGTAGTCTGGAGCAGTCATGTAAGCTAATAACTCATGGGGAAGGGGCGCAGGCGTGAACATACCGCACAGGCCATATGTAAACGTATCCTTGAGCTCACGTATCGCAACTCCCGGCAAGCCGCGGTGGTTCGGGAACATCTCTACGTGTTGCCTGCCGTGTCATTAGTGTCCGCCAAGTGGCATGAACGATATGTGAAACACACCAAAACTGCTCTCGTATGGCCTTCTCTACAACAAGCCATGTCATGAGGCAGTTCCCGGGTTCCGCACGGAGAGCGACTTACCAAGATGCATCTCAGACACAACCGCCCGCTCGCCGTTCGTGACGAGAGACACGTCGACTGCCTTGAACCAAAAGATACGTTGGTGCGACATACTCGCCACATAATACCCGATGACGTCCTCCCCCTCCTCATTGCTAGTTTTCATCAAGGTCATCTCTGCATCATCCGGAGCATCCATACTTGCCAACTGAGACAGCAGGTCGTCACTAGCTCGCTCAATCTGCCGGCAATTCTGATCGTCTTGTATGTCCGTCATCGTCAACAGACGCTACGCAAGATGTGAGCTGGTAGTCTTTCAAACGATCAGAATGCTGTACTCGAGATTTATGGTGGAAATATAGTTTTCCTTCTGGGCATTCATGGGCCTTCCAGCCGAGTGGGATACCCGGCCTGATGCCCACGCAGTCAGTCTGATACTATCGGCGTTGTAAAGCCATAACCTTACCGCTTGAACTCCCATACGCCACGTCGAATGATCAGGACTTTAGATCTCGATGCGTCTAGAGGGCTGATATTCTGTCAGTGGAAGGATGTAGGGGACGAGCATTACCACGTACTAGAAGACATCTCTGTGGTATTTCACGCCATTCACGTCGAGGGGGGGGACGCATATGATTGGCAAAGCCGGCTCAGCGTTGCCGTCGTCTGTATCTCGTCTCGTAGCTTGAGGAGCATTGGGACCAGCAGTAGGAATATTGCAGCTGTCCACCATTGACGCAAGACCCCCGTTGTCAGGTATATTGTCGCTTGACAGGCTTGGCACGGAGATTGGGGCCTCACCAAGGCCTGATGAGCGTTCGAAGGGAAACAAAGAAGAAGAGCCGAAGACAGCGTGATCAGAGACGGGATACTCGGCCACAGGTCCCAGGTCGTATCTTGTACTGGAAACCCTTGGTATCCTGCCTCCAAAGCCTCCGACAGGAGGGACAGTCGACATTGTGTGGCTGGAGTCTAGTCAGCACTTCTCTGTGAGGGGAGGAGCGAAGGCTACCACCTTGCGCAAGACTGTCGTCTTTAAGTCCCATGCTCCATACACAGCCTAATCGACACGAGGCAGACCCTAGTTCTGACGTCTCGCATGTAGAATTGAATCGATGCACCGCCTGGCGCGCGCATCGCCCATAGAACCTTCCTGTGAACCTTTAGGCCGCGTGTATCGCGGCAATGAGGAAAGGAAGAGTTTGAGTACACCTCAGGCTGGCTGCAAGTGAAGGACATGATGTGGCTATTGAAGCGCATGAGGTAGAGTCCAGACGTGGACAGTCTAGACTCAAAATAGTCAGTATGACGAGTCCCGATTATGCTACTCGGTGAGGTGTACTTATGAGACGGGAGGCAATATTGTTTGGATATCATCGGCGAAGTCCAGAGCGGCTGTCAAGCATGTCAAGATTGCAGAAGATTCGGTGGCTATTATGAAGCACGCCTTCCGCTTCGGGGGGCGGTGTATGTATGAAAGGCCACAGGCCAATCACGGGAGACGTGCACTGGCACCTCCATCACAAGTGTTCCACGTTCACTGCAGTGGAGCTTGTTGCTAATGATCACCCGGATTAGCACGAAATCTCGATACTATAGTCCTTGCACGTGAGTCCTTGCATGGCGCGCATCTCCAATGGCAGCCGAACGTGGTCTCGTGACTCTACGCGACGCCCATTGTTTGGTCAGCTATTTGTTCGGTACCGGAGGCAGTTCTCACGCGTCTGAAGAGACACGCTCTCTCTTCCCGCCTTCCACCTCGCGCATACAAGTCCCCCTCTCCCTCTTTATTTGCAACCGCCGACATAGCTTTTCCCTGCCTTGCAAAGTGCATGGCAGCCTCATTGAGCGGGCACCTCATCGACTCCTTCCTCACCGCCCAGCAGCGGTCCCGCGGACCTTTCGGTCAGAACACACCTGCCAACCCGGCCATCGCCGTATATGGTGCCATGTCCTTTGCTCCTCAGATGCACGGCTCGTTTAGTACAACCCCCCGGCCCCCCATACCTGTAGACCTGGCATGCCAGGACATCTCCGAACAGACCGCAAAACAGATCGCGGCGCTACAGGCGAAGCTGAACAAGAAGCTTGGCCCCGAGTATATCTCACAGCGGCCGGGGCCCGGTGGTGGCCCGAAACTCACGTACGCTGAAGGCTGGAAGGTCATCAACCTCGCAAACGAGGTGTTCGGGTTCAATGGCTGGAGCTCAAGCATTGTCAGCCTTTCGACGGACTACATCGACTTCAACGAGCAGAGCCAACGTTACAACGTTGGTGTGACGGCTGTTGTGCGTGTGACGCTGAGGGACGGCGTATTCCATGAGGACACTGGATATGGCTTGCTGGAGAACTCAAAGAGCAAGGGTGCCGCTCTGGATAAGGTACGTGCCACGCCCGAGAGTATATCTCCAGTACATACTGTGCTCTCAAGTGCCACAAACGTTGACCTCAACCAACTCTCTGTGTGACTACAGTGCAAGAAGGAGGCTGTAACAGACGGCCTGAAGCGAGCTCTCCGAAATTTTGGAAACTTGCTGGGAAATTGTTTGTACGACAAGGCATATACTCAAGAAGTCATTAAGATCAAGGTTGCACCTGTAAGTGGCATACAATATATACAGGCTTGCCCCTCACCCATTGGTTATGTTCGACGAGCAGCCCAAGTTTGATCCAAGTGAGCTGCATAGACGTCCAGAGTGTGACCCCAACAGAAACGATGCTGGTCCTCGAAGTTTAGTCCCCGGCACCTCCAGCTCGACATTCACTCCTGTCGGGGGTCTATCTGGTACGAACAGCTGCTCAGCGACGAATCAATCTGCCGCTCAGTCTACGCCGCCACCGCCACCTGCGCGCTCAACTTCTGGTCTGACGGCATCCTCGAATAATCTAGCGAAGGGCACGTCATCAATGGGTCTCGCTGATCAGAATGTAGCTTCTCGTCCTATGAATGCTTCGACGTCTGGACCCGTAAAGCCACCGACAAATCAAGCGATCCAGACTTCCACGAACCAGCCTCAGCAGCCTCAGAAACCGAAACTCGCGCCCAGAACAGTCTACGAACCGAAGCCACCGCCGCCCCAAACGGTCTCTGCTTCAGCGTCTACATCAGCTATCGAAAAACGAGTCAGCTTCGTACCCGCGCCACAAAGCTCCGTCGTGGGGCTGTCCGTTGTTTCGCCTTCCCAGCCCGAGCCCCCCGCCGCGCAGGCCAAGACGGAGAGCTACGAAGAAGAAGAATCTTTTGGGCTTGACTCGGAGGACGACGCCTTCTTTGCGACTGTCGACCTAGGCGAGGCGGCGGCGGACACCGGGCGTCCGCTCGACCACGACGGGCTTGGAGGGCTTGGAGACTTCGACATGACGAACTGCTCGCTGAGCGATATCGATATCGAGGAGGGACCAAGTGTCCTGGGTGGGCACAAGCCTCCGATCGCTGCTGTAGTAGTGCCACAGCAACAGCAGCAACAGCCCAGCCGACCGAGTGTGCCTCAACAGAGTCGACTGGGACAGCAACAAAGATTCCCTAGGCAGTCCGGCAACTCAGCAAGACATCAGTCCGGATCGTCGTCGAGTAATCAGCCCACACGAACGAGCCAAACGTCGTCCGGTGCTTTCCACTTCCCGGTGGAGTTGGTGCGTACCTTTGACTCAGCCTATCGCGATATCATCCTGAATTGCCCCATGGACTTAGAACAACCAGAGTGGGAAACCCCCATCTGGATTAAGTGCTGGTGTGAAGCGCCCCGCAGACGCGATAAGGTGACTATTGGATTTCAGGGGCGATGCGAGCCTTGCTGAACGCGACATTCCCTAGGGAATCACCGGCGCGAAGGCCGGCGCAAGGCATGGGTCTGTCGCACGTTTCGAGCGGGCGAAGAGAGCCTCTTGCCACGCTTGAGGTCGCGGACGGTGGAGACGTGAAGCGCGTCAGACGATAACAAACGCATAAGATCGCTGGCCGTTGACCGCGTCTCGTTTCTTTTGCGTATCCTCCTTTGTGATGCGCCCTGCCTCCGGAATTCCATCCAATTTGCATGCTCTCATTGTTTTTCTCTCTATTACTTACCTACTCGGCGTCGCAAAACTTCTTGCGATCAATGACTAGCCTTAACTCCTCGCCGTTAGTGCATGACACACGCCGGAGTGTTTTCATTGTTACCCACGGATGGGCGTCGCTTAGTAGGCTAGAAGCGAAGGTCGTGCGCTTTGGAGCATGCATTCCCACTGCAATGCGCCGGATACTCACGTTGCACACCCATGGGCTTCTCGATGGTAACTCTGCACAGCCTTGTACAATTTTCAGCTGTAATACCGACGTGTTTCGAGTCGGTGGCTGACTGCTGCGGTTCATGACGAGTGGATGGTCTCCAAAATGAGCATGATCGACAAAGGCTGCCCCGGGACATGGCGCACGAAGATGTTACAGTGGACGGACGTTTCGGACGACGAGATGACACGACTTTGGCTCGAGTCGGAAAGCTCTCCTCAACTTGGCTCGAACAAACCTTGACAGCCTTTTTCACACATCGTAGTACTGCAAAGCGTGAGTAAGGGCCTGATTGCTGCCTCGGCGTACCGGCTGACTCAACGTTGATAGGTTATGTCCGGGCACCTACGCGAGACGTGGTGCAACGTTGGCGAGAATCTTCGGACGCAAAGATGCTTCCACGGGTCATTATCCCCGTAAGGTCTGTGCATATAAAGCGTGTAGGCTTGTCGGGATCCGACGCGTGCACGGTGGAAAAGGTATAAGAGGTGGGCCGGCATGCACCGGACACTTTACAGACAATCTCCACATAGCACTACCCATGTCCGCTGCGGCTGAGAAGTTCGATAACATCCCTACTGAGGGCATTCCCTATTTCACCCCTGCGCAGATCCCTCCCGCGGGCGTTGCGCTCGACCCCCAGCCGGATGACAAGCCCATTCCGAAGCTGTTCCAGCCCCTGCGCATCCGTGGTATCGAGTTCCATAACAGGATCTGGGTATGTGCCATTGCGCCTCTTCTGTACGCCTCGGTTGACGCGTGTCATGCAGCTTTCACCGCTCTGCCAGTACTCCACAAAGAACGGTGTGCCCAGCCCCTGGCATCTTGCACACCGTGAGCACCTCTCTCTTCGCTACCAGAAATGACAAATGAACTAGCCTTGTTGTCAGTCGGTGGCATTCTCCAGCGCGGCCCCGGTTTGAGCATGGTCGAGGCGTCCGCCGTGCTCCCTGAGGGCCGTATCACGCCTGAGGACGCCGGCATCTGGAACGATGAGCAGATGCAGAAGTGGGTCGAGATCGTCACCTTCGCGCACTCGCAGAACCAGAAAATCGGGATGCAGCTCGCGCACTCCGGCCGCAAAGGATCCATGGTCGCGCCCTGGCTCTCGCTCGGCGCATCCGCGGGCGAAGACCAAGACGGCTGGCCGAACGGTGTCCTTGCGCCAAGCGACGTCACCCACGGCCCTGGCTACAACAAGCCCCACGCACTCACGAAGGAGGGCATTGAGCGCCTCAAGCGGGGCTTCGTCGACGCTGCAAAGCGTGCTGTCAAAGCTGGCTTCGATGTCATCGAGCTCCACAGCGCGCACGGCTACATGCTGCACGAGTTCCTCAGCCCGATCTCAAATAAGCGGACAGACGCGTATGGCGGGAGCTTCGAGAACCGCATCCGCATCCACCTCGAGATCATCGACGCGGTGCGTGCCATCATCCCTGAGGACATGCCCCTGTTCATGAGGTGCGCTCTCTTTGCATCATTCTGAGCGGAACGTGAGTACTGACTCACTATCTCAGGATATCCGGAAGTGATCTTCTCGAGAACACCCTCCCCGACGAGCCGTCGTGGCGTGTGGAGGACTCTGCACGCCTCGCAAGCATCGTAGCCGAGCACGGCGTTGACCTCATTGACGTCTCCTCCGGCGGCATACACCCTCTGCAGGAGCTGCGCCTCGTGCACCAGGAGGACCGCCACGCCGCGTATCAGGCGTACCTCGCGGACCACATTCGCAAGGCAGTCGATGGCAGGATACTCGTCGCCACCGTTGGCGGCATTTGCGACGGCAATGTCGCGGAGGAGGTGCTCGCCAATGGCTGGGCCGACGTTACCTTCGTCGGTCGCCACTTCCAGAAGAACCCCGGCGCGGTGTGGCAGTTTGCCGAGGATCTCGGCGTCGTGATCACCCAGGCACACCAGATCGAGTGGGGCTACGTGGGCCGCGGCATTGGTCGCAGGAAGATGGATGCCGCTAAGTAAAAGCAAGAATGCGTCTATAGTGTCATATAGACTTCTCTCCCAGTTGTAACTTTAGACTCCCGTACTCGTAGAGTAGGTGGTGGTTAATAAGACCGTCACAGCTTGGATAGCGCAAGCATGATAGAAGCTATCCTAATGATGCAATATCCTACTCTAAGTAAAGCATAAAGGGCTGAACAAATGAAAACCGGCTTGGTTCTTCCGCTCACTCCACAACCTCAGTACATAAAATACCGAAAATATATGTGTACAATTACCCTCGTGTGGCCATACTGAATGCTTGGTGCGGTGGGCCATAAGCGAGACCTAGTCGTGTTATTGGATGATACCCGGAATCCTAAGCGACCCAAGCCGGAGCCTCCGCCGAAAGGGTATCAATACATCACGGTCGACCAGCCTACACATCCGAAGACTTGTGCGGACTCCTCTAACGTTTCCTCTTGATTCGCAAGCCAGTCGGTGTAGTCCATGCAACTCCCAAGCTATTAACAGTTGACGCAACACTCCGATCACCCTTGCATTGCCCCCAAAAAGGACAAGGAGTACATCTACTAGAATCGGTGGGGCCGAGCCTTGTACATTCCCTGCCACGCGGCAACTAACCCACTCTCGATGGACCCGAAGGCATCTTTGACATTCCCAAGTTCAACTGAGCTACCTTCTCTTCGCTGCATCTGACCTCTTGGGATACGGGATACGGGAACTGTGTCCAATAGATAAGAAGATTGTATCCCTGTTCATCACAATCCTTCGTTGGCTCTTCTATTTGTCTTACGTGATGCCTGCTCGTTTGCACCTCGTAGATTGGGCTATCCTACCCCTAAAAGTCGTGATTACAGCTCCAAAAAGTCTGCCAGTCGTTTCATGTACAACTCGCGCTCCTCCCAGAACGGGGTATGGCTAGAGTTCGCGAAAGTGATCCACTTTGCCTTCGGATTCTTCTGAAAGAAAGTTTCGACGACAAAGTCCTGCGCAACGTCATCGGCGCCGTTCACCACGAGTGTCGGTACCTCTATGTTGTGCAACCGGTCGATGATCGACCAAGGCAGGAGTTTAGGATACCTAGCAGCGTCTTGTGGGTCAGTACGCTTTCGGATAAAGGGGGAGGACGACGGGGACGCACATCATCGAGGTGACCGTCGGGTCTCCGCTTTCACTGAACGCCACCTCAAAGACACGCAAGTACTCCTTCGGCATGGGGTCTACAGTGCACCCGTGCTTCTTGCAGAACACGAGGAGCGCGTCGTAGTACGCCTTGGGGTCCGCCATGCCCGCTTTGAGCGCGGCCTGGATGTCCGGTGGGAATGTCACTATGAGCTGCGCGTTGCTCTCCTGCCAGAGCGAGTGCGAGGCGAGCGAGTCTGTGAACACGAGGTGCTGCAGGCCGCGCGGCCGGCGCTGCACGGCGAACTCGGCTGCGAGGATCCCACCCCAGCTGTGCCCTCCGAGGTCAAACTCGCCGTCGATGCCCAGGTGTGCGAGTACATTCTCAAGCTCGGCAATGAAAAGTCGATGGACCAGAACTCGGCGGGCTTGTCGCGCAAGTGCGTCGAGAGCCCGTTGCCGAGCTGATCGTACAGCACTACAGGAGTGTCCGCCATCACGGCGAGGTCGCTGAAGGGCAAGAGGTAGTCGTGCACGAACCCCGGACCGCCGTGCAGCACGACGAGAGGCCGACGCTTGCAGTTCTCCAGAGAGCCGAAGAGCTTGTAGAAGGTTTGGTAGGTCTCGCCATCGCGGGTGAACGGGATTGTGCCCGTTATAACAGGGGCTGCAGGATTGGCCATGATGCGAGCCAGCGAGTTTGCGCACCAGAGGAATACGCTGTATAGCAGAATGGTATCCCCAATGTTTGATATCTCTGGGTTGAGACACCTCGGCGTCGGCGTCGATTCTGCCTATACCATTACCGAGAAAGATAAGAGGGCTGGGGAATGTATGAGATCAAGAGCATCTGAAGAGTCTGATGTTGCGCTCATGTTGACCGTCCTGCTTGCAGCAGGTAAGTACCGGTAAGTGTTTAACTTTTAAGGCTTATCAAACTGGTGTATGTAGCTTGATTTGTGGGATGACGACCTCAAATGCGACTTCCGCATATGCGTCGCTGGTCTTGGACATGCTTTGTGTACACTAGCCATCCTTGGCGACGCCCTCTTGCCCGGTGTTGATGCATTGATGAGTGACTTAGAACGAGTGCAGGGTTTCCGAATCGGCAAAACCGCGCGGCGCGGGCCCTGAAACACCCCTGACGAAGGTTCAACAGGTTGTGTCAGATCTGCGTCAGGGCGTTCAGTCAGCCTTGCCTCGTATTGTCTCTCAGATACCGGCCCGCGCGTTCCCTCAGTGCCGTCAGTGGTGCTCAGTAAGCACTGGGGACGGTCAATTCTAAGACTCTGCTTCGGGCATGCTCCCCTCTCGAGCACTAGCTTGACCATGAAAATTGATATTGAACGTTGAGCTTCGTCAGGCCCTCAGCGTAAGACCGTTTTGCTGGTAGTCCTGAGCCACGAAGTCTTCTCGCGTGTACGGTATGCTCCTCCGGTAGACAAAGCGGTACTACAGTCGACATCTCGTTGATGTACATGTTAGCTAGACCAGTGCCATTCGGTAGGTGGGGAGGGGATCACAGTCTCTTGCGTCTGAGGGCTGCAGCACTTGAGCTTGAGGCTCAGATATACTGGCGGCTCAATCCACACGATCGAGGCAGTCCCGTTGTATCTGTCATTGCTTTGGTCTCTAAGCAGCGAGTCACAGCCGATGGCTCGTGGCTAATAGGCGGGAGACAGCATGGTGGGTAGCCCACGGGCATAGCGACGGGTGCAAATGAAGAGCATCGAACGCTAGCGCTGTGCTTGGAATATGTTGTCGGAAGTGGATCGAAGGGTTCCATGTACAGCCTCTGCCCATGCAAATTCAACGTAAATTGAAGGTCGCGACAGACGACAGTGAGCAAAGCGTGATATATAGTCGGCAATACATATACTCCGGATATGAGGCAGAAATGTACCGGTATCACGATGTAGAAATTAATGAGCATGCGACCCTGCCGCTGCCGTCTAGTATCATGATCATACAACCCTAAGCGCTACCTGGTCCGGGTAAGGTGGAGGAGCTGGCATGTTTATGCTTGTAATATCGCCTTATAGACCACTCGGAGAGCTTCAAGCTCTCATCGGGTGGCGAGTGGCCGAAGATACGAGCCCACCACTGACGGCAAGATGAAAGGCTGTCACGGGCTGTTTTCGTCAGGAGTGATCGTGAATTTGCGAATGGAGATAGCTCTGAGATAGTACCCTCCCCTTCGAAGTAAAGGAGCAGGAGCACAGTCACGAACAAGAAGCCTAGGACCGTGGCCATCGGCAATTTTGTCGATAGGCCGGTACGTTCGAAAAATACGAACATGAGTGCCATGAGGAACGTGAGCATGCTATGATCGCCAACTACATCAGTATTGCCACGCTGGGAGAGACATCCCGCCAAGACAACTTACCTCCACAGAAAAAGAGCCACGGGGAGGCTGTCCGGTGTCGCGTCAGTAACGAGACTACGAGCCCATCTGCGCCGCTCACCTGAACGCGATAGCCACGCCTTGCAGACCGATGAGGCGATTTTCTCGCTTGAGGATGTAGTCCAACTGTAACAAATTCAGCGTTCTCAGCTAGTGTGGATGTTACAGGAAACACACTGCTTTATCAGCCTGTCCGTAAGCATGATGTCGATGGTGTCGGCTCAAGATTTGCGAGACAATGTAGATGAATAGACTCAGAAGCGACGAAATGTAGCTCATAATCTGTGCAGCAGACTTGTTCGGGGTATTCGTGACGTCTACCGTGTTGATCGACAGGAATCCGACGTTGGCGGAGAGCAGAACGGTGGCCTGTGGCAATTTTAGCGAAGCGTAGTCGCGCAGCGCGCGGATATACTGACTGGTGTGATCGAGTTCTCCCAGTCCCTCTTGAGCCCGGAAATGAACTGGCGCCAGAAGAAATAGTGGACAGAGTTGTCCACATACGTACGCTCCAGCTCCTTCAAGTAAATGAAGGGCATGAAGAATAGCCAAGGGGAAATTATGTTAAATGCCAAGCTGCGAGGTCGTTTCGGAGTGTCGAGGGCACTGTCCTCTCGATCTAGCCTGGCTCCTGGTTCGCCGAAGAACTGCAAAAAACGTTCTTTATCTGATGAAGGTCAGAGAGAGTTCGATGTGGTATGCAGACGGACCTACAGATAGTGTTGAGGAGGCGAGCCGCCACAGCAGTGTTATGAGGGTTATTAACGTTTTCTATGTGACGGTGGCATTCGGTACCATGGCTCTCAGAGAACACTCGTGTGAACGCACCTTGCATCGATGAGAAGCATTTGGATAGCTGCTCGATAGTGCCGGAATCATACGGGAACATTGATGACTGAGAGGTGATATAGTCTGTGGCGGGAGTTAGATTTGAGTTTATGCTCGTTTAGACAGGTCAGGAGCAGCATACCACAGAGTCCGTGCATAAACGTGTCTTTGAGTTCCCGAATGACAGCTCCCGGCAAGCCGCGATGATTGGGAAACATTTCGACGTGTTGCCTGTAAGGATCAACTTTCGCAAATATTGGGGAGACTCTACATGGATGCATCAGCCACAGGCCTAACATCCGTGTGCCTCAGGATACTCACTCGATTAGCAAGCGTACCAGAACTGAGCACGAATGGCTTTCTCTATAACAATAATATAAGGCACATCATCAAGCACAACGTATTTGCTCACCAAGATGAGACTGCGACACAACGGCTCTTCCGCTGTCTGTCACCAGAGTCACAGGGACCTCTTCGAACCAGAAAATGCACTGCTTCGACATGCTGGCGGCGTAATAAAGAATCTTGTCTCCGTCACCTTTCGAGATGACGATTTCTGAGTCTGGTGCTGCACTTTTCATCAGTCTAAGCTGTTCTAGTAACAAGTCCCCAGCGATGTTGATATGCCGAATGTTCGTAGGTTCGTAGAGATTTGTCATTGTTAATAGGCTCTATAGAGCTGTTAGATATAGCAGCTCGAAAATTGTACAATTCACGTACGCGGTCTGCATCGTAGAAAAGCAGCTTCCCTTCGGGGCATTCGTACGCTTTCCATCCCCTCTCTAGTTCCGGGCTGGTATTCAGGCAGATTCAATTGCTCATGCAGTTGAATCACATGATTAGGGTTTACCGTTCGAAGTCGACCTGACCCGGCTGTATCATAGTGATCTTCGAGTGCTCAGCGTTAGATGGGCTATACACGAAAAAATTAGAAACTGGACGTGAACACAGACAGAGACTCACTATGAGATTGAACGATGATACTTCTGCTGGCAACAGTCCTGCGGCGCAAATGGCTCGATCTCTAATGCCCCTGAACCCTCTAGCTTAGGAGCGGAGTTTCCTGCAGTTCCAGGCAGAGCCACGTTCGTATATTCTGCAGAGATATTGCCGTCCTGCAATAGAGTAGAGTTCTTGATCAGTGGAGTTTCGCTGTTCAGAATAGGGACGGAAAGTGACCCCAAGTCGCATATCGTGTCGTCTTGAGGCGGTAGTGGATTTTGTGAGACTAACGATGAACTGGACAGAGAGGCCGCACACATAGAGGTAGGGCTCTCAAGCAAAGACCCCAGGCCGCCACCGAAGTCGTTGCTTTCAGCCCTGGGCGGTTTTCGAGGCTCTGGAAGGGGACATGTTGCGGCGCGGGGAATGTTTAGTGTCGGCTTAGGCTTGGGAATTGGCAGGCTCCGGGGACGAGTAGAGCATTTCCGAAGCCGGGGCCCCCCAGGCCCGAGAATGTCCCCTGCTGAGGCATTATGAGTCGACATGCTTCGAAACGACGTCGAGTCAGCTGTCTATGAGAAAGTGAGTAACGACGAACACACGCATACCTCGCTGCAATGCTTAAGCCTTGGAGGACAAGCACAGCCTACACCTATGCACGAGGCCAATCCAAGTCCCGTGATATCCCACGACACACCGCGAGGCTCGAACGGGCGCATATCGATACAGACTTCCCTGCTTGACGGGCGACTACTAATCCGTCAGACAAACTTAAGTAGGCCATTTGTCAGCGAGTCGATCTATGGCCCGCAAAGAACATGTTATGAGCAATTAGAGGTGGAAAAGTCAATGCGGAGTAAGTCACGGGTCGCATAGAAAATGCAGTCGGCGCAGAGGATTGGATTGCAAGTAGCGATGGCAATGCGCGAGCTCAAAACGCGGAGGCATTGTATGAATATTCCCGAGATATTTGATGACTGAATATGAAACTTCGCCGCACAGGTCTGAAGTCCAGATAAAGGACAGTTGAGCCTTGTGTCAACGGTATATCTGTTCATAAGCTCAGAAAAGTCAATCCCAAAGGCGTAATAGCATTATCGCGGTATCCTGCTGCCATGTGGGCGCTTTCAGGGCCATGTTGCACGTAGACCTGAGGGAAACACACATATCTCCATTACTTAAGACAAGAGCACCCAGACGTCTTTTGTACTGTGGGAGGTCGGCAACGTCGACGCAAGGTAATAGCGGTATCCTGCTGGCGAGCTCTCGGCTATGTAACTCGTGAGTGGCACATCTCAGATTCTTGACTTGCCTAGACGCCTGTCGGTGTTCGGCTAGCAATCCGGGCGAAATGTACCTGAGCGACGATGATAGCATCCGCCCAGCAAATTAAAACTGGACGAGTGTTTTGCGCACTGTTCCTTGCAGACAGTTCATCGACATCTCCCAATAGCGCAATTGGCGCAATTTCCTTGGCAAAGAACCATTTAATTCGTTCGTCAGCTTCTCGAGCTCAACTAAGATCAGGGTCCTCCAGAGACAAGTACTACACAATGCTCGACCAAATAAGTAGTCGCGAACCACCGCCCAAGTCATATCACTAGTGGACACAATCAATGGTTATAGCACTCAAATAAATGCATACCTTGGTTTCGACATCGAATATACCAGAGCACGGATGAATTGGAGCAGATTCTGCCAGCCTTGTCTGGTCCTGTTTGGCTAAACACGTGACCTTTTAGCGCTCGCTAATATCCTCAAGTTAAGCTTTCGGAACTGCATTACACCAGGTTACATCCTACCAGGCCTCATTGACATTGACAACGCCCACAGGGATTCGAGAAGGCAATACGATCCAGCGTCGTTACCTTGCATGTACGAGGGACAGGCAGTCTGTCAATGCGAGCTCGGGTATACTGAGGAGGCGACGGACGTACCACGAGTGAAATATAGACTGTTTCCCGTGACTGTAACTTACAATTAGACTGCTTATAGAGCGGATGTAGTCGTCACTAAGTAGTGTATCAAGGTCAGTGTAATCTAATCGAAGTCAGGGGGAGACTCTAATTCGTAGACAGAAGTGTGCTTCAGCCTGCCACGTCCATACTAGAAAATTTTGGGCTGCAGGTAATGGAACGCGCTAGATGAGTGTAACCGCCACGACTCAGTGAGGCCGTATTACTGAAAGCTACATGAAGGGTATACAAAAATGCTGTAGTACATGCTAACATCTACAAGTGCTGATACGAAGATAGTTTGTACGAGCATGGCCTCCATACTGTGTCAAGAGATACAGGAATATACAGGAACGAGCCGATCCCATAGCTGTAGGTCCGCAATGGAAGTCGGCAGCGTGTGGGCCATTAGACAACACTGCTACGGACCGGGTAAGCTCGACAGTGTCACCGTGCTTGCCAAAGACTCTTCTTTGACGTGTTTACGCTTTCGCAAACGCAAACTGCCACCTACGGCAAGGTCTTTGTTTGACCACCTCTCCCAGAATGAGCGCAGCGTCTTGGCAAGCAACGCCCAACCGCGGGGAAGTGGCGACTGCTCGGCGATCGTGCCTTCGCTTTCCAGGTAGAGTAGTAGAATGACCACGACCGCCATAAAGCCAACGATGACCCCCATAGCCACCTTTGTCGCGACGCTACTATCTGCAAAGAAGACGAACATCAAGGCCACCAGGAATGTGACCATACTGTGAGGGGAGTGGTTAGCTTGCGATAGTACGGGATAAAGTATCGCGATGGGGCTACTAACCTCCAAAGAAAGAGAGCAGTCGGAAGGCTGTGGTTACACAGATCAGCGGGGGTCTGGCTTCTGAATAGATACTGAACACACCTAAATGCAATGGCCACGCCCTGAAGACCGATTAGACGATCCTCACGCTTAAGGATGTATTGCAGCTGAAAACAATATCAGACGGAACTGTATCAGCGAGCTGCGATGGAGCCTCACAGCATCGTGCGCCTGTCCATTGTTGTGATGCCGATGGTGCCTGCTCAGAATTTGCGCAACGATGTAGATGAATAAACTAAAGATCGACGAGATGTAGCTCGAAATCTGAGCAGCGCTTTTGTTGGGACTCGTGGTGTCGATGCTATTGATTGCCAAGAAACCGACGTTTGCTGAAAGCAGCACTGTAGCCTGTATAGCATATTGTGGTTGTGGTCATGTAAAGTGAGTTATCTGATAGACTCACTGGAGTAATCGAGTTTTCCCAATCCCTTTTCAGCCCTTCGATAAATTGGCGCCAAAAGTAGTAGTGGACCGAGTTATCGACATATGTACGCTCAAGCTCCTTGAGGTACACGAATGGCATGAAGAACAGGAAGGGCGAGATACAAATGAAAATGAAGGATCGAGGGCCTCTGATATCAGCCTTGAAAGCGCTTTCCTTGCGATCCAGCCGGGCACCAATTTCACCATGGAAGTGTAGGAAACGCTCCTTATCTGTAGCGCATGTTGAATAGAGCGCTCAGACAACGGATGTGCTACGTACATATTGTATTTAGTAGCCTTGCTGCTGCTGCCGTGTTAGCGGGGTTGATTTCGTCCTCTAGAGCAAGATGAAGATAGAATTAACACCTGATCGCACTTTTAAAATAAATTACATGCCTTTCATGCCCGCCATGCATTTGCTCAGCTTCTCGATAGTGTCAGGGTCATAGGCAAACATGGATGTTTGCGACGTGACGTAATCTGGGGCAAATATGTAAGCTAATAACGCATGCCCAAATGAGATCAGACGCGAACGCACCACACAGGCCATATGCAAACGTATCCTTGAGCTCACGTATCGCAACTCTCGGCAAGCCGCGATGATTCGGGAACATCTCTACGTGTTGCCTGCCGTATCATTAGTGTCCGCCAAGTGGCATGAACGATATGTGACACACCAAAATTGCTCTCGTATGGCCTTCTCTACATCAAGCCATGTCATGAGGCAGTTCCCGGGTTTCTCACGCAGAGTGACTTACCAAGATGCATCTCAGACACAACTGCTCGATCGCCGTTCGTGACGAGAGACACGTCGACTTCCTTGAACCAAAAAACACACTGGTCCGCCATACTCGCCACATAATACCCGATGGCGTCCTCCCCCTCCTCATTGCTAGTTTTCATCAAGGTCATCTCTGCATCATCCGGAGCATCCATACTTGCCAACTGAGACAGCAGGTCGTCACCAGCTCGTTCAATCTGCCGGCGATTCTGATCGTTTTCAATGTCGATCATCGTCAACAGACGCTACGCAAGATGTGAGCTGGTAGTCTTGCAAACGATCAGGATGTCGTACTCGAGATTTATGGTGGAAGTATAGTTTTCCCTCTGGGCATTCGTGGGCTTTCCAGCCGCGTGGGATGCCTGGCCTAATACCCGGGCAATTAGTCCGGTACCATCGGCGTCGCAAAGCCATAAGCTCACCGCTTAAACTTCCTTTTGCCAGGCTCAAGTTTAGAGATTATTGATCCCGATGCGTCTGGAGGACTGATATTCTATCAGCAGAAGGATATAAGGGAGAAATACTATAACGTACTAGAAAATGCTTCGGCAGTATTTCATGCCATTTACGTCGAAGGGAGCGATGCATATGATTGGCAAAGCCGCGTCAGCGCTCTCAATGCGGATAACGTTACCGCCGTCTGTATCTCGTCTCGCAGGGGCATTGGAGCCAACAATCGGGACATTGTCGCTGTCTACCATCGATACAAGGCCCCCACGGCCGGGTACATTGTCGTCTGGTAACGCAGGGAGGCCTGACACGGGAATCGGGGCCTCATCAAGACCTGATGAGCGTCCGAAGAGTATCGAAGAAGACGAGCCAAAGACGGCGTGATCAGAGATAGGACTCTCTGCCACGGGTCCCAAGTCGTATCCTGTACTGGAGGAACTTCCAGGTGGCGAGGAAACCCTTGGAATTGAGCCGGTGGACGAACGAGGGCTCAGTATGAGCGCTGGTGGTAGGCTGCGCAGAGTCGTCCGAGTCGAACCTTTTCGTGTATAAGATATCTTGCCTATAGAGCCTCCGACAGGCAGAGGGACAGTTGACATTTCGTGGCTGGGGCCTAGTCAGCGCTGTCTGTGAGGGGCGAAAGCTACCCACCTTGCACATGCTCAAGCCTGGGCTCCATACACAGCCCAACCGACACGAGGCAGACCCTAACGTCCCGTGGGATTTGATTGACGCACAGCCTGGCACGCACATCATTCATATTGAGAACGTTCCTGTAAACTTTAGACTCTCCCGAGCTCAGACACAGATTCTCCCAGTTTTGGGGCCAGCACAACTAGTACGCTGTGGCCGATAATATCGGCTATTTCAGATTCAGGCCTTCAGGCATTGAACTAGACTGGTCGCGGGTACAGCAAGAGTAGTGCCGGAGATATGCCCTCGGGGATAAGTTGCAGATTCAACGTACAGCAAATGAAGAATAACTTAAGCAGAGCCTTGTATTAACGGTGTATCTGTTCCATAAGTCCAGAAAAAGTAATACAAATAACCCTGTCGCAGAAACCCTGGAGCTCGTCCTAACGCCCTCACGGCCGTGGGGCAGGCAGGCCTGAGGAGGGCGCACCTATCTCCGTGAGCTGGACAAGCGCATCCAGGTGTCCTTTGTATTCTGGGAGGTAGGCAGCGTCGGTATAAGGGCAGCGTACTGCTGGCGAGCCCTTGTAAATAGGCGTGTAGCTCGCCGCGCAAATCTCGAACTCAGTGAACTCGTCATATGAAATTTCGACAGCATTGCGCGGGTTTCTGTCTCCGGCAGCAATCCTTTGTCTCGCCTGTCTACTTGTCAACGTTTGGCCAACAGTTCGGTATGAGTGGTGCGTACCTGGGCGACAATCTTGGGATCCGGGTTGAGCTCGAGAAGCCGACGAGCGAATTTGGCCGCTGCCGCATGGTTGTTTGCCTTGGCAAATACACCTATTGCGCTACGCAGAGCGATTTGCAGATGAGCTGGCTGCAGTTGGCAATGCGTGAAATATGCCGCCAGCTCCAAGCTATGGCGGACATTATCAGGATCTTCCTGAGAAACGCGGCGACGCTCGAGCTCAATGGAGACGCCCAGTAAGTACTCGCGAGCCATTGTCACCAAGTCACGCCACTAATGAGCTCGATCAGCAAGTATGCCACACAAAGCAATGGGGATACCCACCTCCTTGGCTTCAGAGTCGGAGGAGACAGGGACAAGGAGCAGATGCTGAAGGGCAGCACGGAAGGCGACCTGTGCTTCGGGTAGCCTATTGCCAGACACAGCCCGGAAGCCTTCCGACATCTCAGCACGGATAGCAGTGATTGTGTAAATAGCAGCGGGGAGGACACGGCTCGGGGCCGACTCCGATGGGTTCCTTCGTACGTGAAGCTGCAACGGGGGCAGTGAAGCAACTGGGGACAAGTATACATGCACAGATCGGTACGCGGCGACGAAAAGAGGCTTGAGCTCTTCGAAGTTGGCAACCCCAAATTGTCGGTGAAGTAGCTAGATGTATTGTCAGTGCGGAGTGGCAAAAGTGCGTGTCAGCTTAGACGTACCTGCATTGCTGTCTCGAATGAGCCTGCTGCGACATGATCTCCCGCGAAGGGCGAATTGCGTGTCCAAAGCTCCGGTTCGCCGGGACCCGGGGACGCACCAGGGCCGAGCTCTGCGCTCTCTTCCGCTTCCTCAGGAGCTTCCTCAGCTTCAGCCTCCTCCGCGCCCGCATCGAGGTCCCATCCGTCTGCCTCAGCTTCGAGATCCTCTTCCTCCTCCTTAGCCCATGCATCCAAAGCAGCCGACGCAGCAGCACCTGATGCCTCTTGGCCATTGAGGTACGGGATGTCCGCACCGCCCTCCAGGTTGCCATTAGCGAGAGCATGGTCAAAGAAGTTTTCGCCTGAGGAAATTGTCGGCCAGTTAATGTCTGTAGTGGAGGTAATAACCGGCGGTGGTTTCAAGGTTGAGGTCTCGAAAGTTGGAACATCGTCAACATCTGCCTCAGTCAGGCCGGCCGCTTCCAGAATCTCGAAAGCAACGTCATCCAATCCGTTAGTCTTAGCCGTAAGGTAGGCGAGAGGGTCTATATTGCAATGCGTAAGACCAGGACGGCAATTTTTTTTTGTAATGCCAACTCACATAGACCAATATCTCGGAGAACAGCAATGCGACCCACGACATCACCCGCGTATAGCGCATTGTGGAAGCGCGACATAGGGTCGCCTCTGGAGTCGGCAATCTTCTGCATTTTTGACAGCTTATCCGTACTTCCCGTGGCGAGATACAAGAAAGAAAGTCGATCGAAATTCTTGGTCTGCTGGTATGCTTTCTCCACAATCTATTCCTCGTCGCATAAGCCTTGGCAACGTCACATGAGAGAATTCCGAACCTTATGGTTGCCTTGCTTCAACGCCTGCTGCGCCAAGCGCTCCCAACACTCTGGACGGTTGATAACTTTCGCGGTCTCGAGAGCAACGTCGAGGTTACCACACTCTATAGCTAGATCAAAACGAGTATTTTTGTCTTGCACGAAATGTAGCGCAATCTGAGATACGATAAGTCCACAAAGTCGGTGAAGCACGGGGTGGTACAGACCTCAGGGAATCCCTTTTGTTGCAGGTAAGCGATTATACTTTGACCGAGAAGGTTTGAGGTGCGAATAATGTATAACATCTCCTCATAGTTGTTCCGAAGTAGGGCAAGCTTGAAGCGGTACTCGGTCGGGTCGATAGTAATTGTCCTGGGGCGAGCCGAGCGGTCGAGACAGTGAACAGTCTTGCCCTTGACGCGGGTGAGATATACAGGGTTATCCAGGGTGCAGATAACTCCGTGGTCACTGGACAAGACACCATATAAGTTGGGCAACATCGCAGCCTCAGCAAATAGCGTACCCCTGCGCAAGACAGTACTTGATATGGTTGAGGGTAGAGTAAACAAATACCCCCGAATCGTCCCAGGCTCCAGATTTGATGCGGATGGTCTCGTGGATGAGAGTATGCTGCGAAAAGTTCTTATTCGCAATCGTGATGGCTTGAGATACAACCATCAGACAGTAGCAGACATTTGGAACCAGGAAACGACGTACTATGCTTGCTGAGCAGAGCAACAAGCGATCCGTCTGCACTCCACACGACGTACTTCACCGGTGGAGTGGTGACCTCCGCGATACTCTTCTGCTGCTGGATATCATACAACACAACAGAGGTGGGCGAGCTCAGAATCAAGCTGGCGGTGCCCCCATAGAAGATATCGTTCGTCTGGACGGGTGGCTTGATGGTTTTGACCACGGAATTGGAAGGGTCGCGAACTTCGATAAGCTGAGAACCATTTCAGCACATCTCAGTCACTATTTAGGCATACCATCTCACCTGAGTTGTCTTGTTCAAGACCGCAAAGCGGTTGCGAGCGACAAAAATAGCAGCCTGTCCACTACCGCGCTTACCCTCTGTTGAGGAATCTTTGACTTCGCCGACGGCGTCCTTCGGAAGAGAAGTCAATTCGAATAAGCCGTTGTCCGATGAGACCGTGATAACAACAGCCCTCTCAGCAGGGTTGTAGCTGAGAGTCCTTGGCGGTACATAGGGGCTTCCAAACTTCCTAACGCTGAGCAAGCCAATATCCGAGCCGGTGTTGATATCGTACGAGCGAACATACTTATCCCGAACGTAATAGACCATGTCCCCGTGCACGGCGAAGGCAGGTCGCTCACGCTCCAACTTGAAGACAATCAGACCAGTGTCGTGACCTAGTTAGTAGATGTCAAGGGGCGAAGAGACGAGGCAAGCATAATCACGAACCGGCCGCGAACAGATTAAGTTCTGGGTGTGCCGCCAATATCCAGAAGCGATCGTGCTCCCTCCGGAAAGTCTGGACCGCTGAGCGTTTTGTCAGGTCCCAGACGCGCACAGTCTTGTCTTCACCACAGGATACAATCAGCTCGTGCTTTGGGTGGAACAGTGCAGTTGAAACGTTGTTGAAATGTCCCCTGCAGGAGTCGACCTCCCATGCCTTTGTCTCGCTCATTCTCCAAATTTTGATCTGTCGGTCATCGGCAGCAGAGACGATCAGAGGAAGCGTAGGATGGAACGTGGCGAAGTTGACCCCGCGATCGTGACCTTCAAGTACATATTTCACTGTCGAAAAATTGTCGAAGGTATCGAAAGTACCAGGCGCGCTGTTCGGGGTATTCTTGCGAAGGCCTGAAATGTCCCATACGCGCACGGTCTGGTCTTGGGACGCCGAGACAATCAAGTCCTCTTTCGGATGAAACTGTGCGGACATGACATAGTGGGAATGTCCCGTAAGAATCGCAATACAGTTCCGCGAAGTGCTGTTCCAGATGCGAATCGTTTGGTCATCGGAGCAGGAGAGCTACGTGCAGTTCAGAGATGAGAACTCCGGGAACGCGAGTAATATTCCTCACGATCCATGGCATTTCATGGTGAAATTGCACCGTCCGAACGTAGTCCAGGTGTCCGTGTAAAGTGAAAAGGCAGCGGCGGTTCTGAGGCCGAATATCTACAACACGTTAGGGCTTAATGGGTAGTGTGCCGACGCAAACTCACCCCAGACTTTGATCTTGTAGTCGTCGCCTCCAGTAACAAGGAGAGCCCTGCTTGGGTGGATTGCAACAGCTCGCACCGGGCCTTATTTCCAAGCATGATTCCCAGCACACGCATTCAGTATGATATGACGCACCCTCATGCTCCTCGAATCTGTCTACCAATACACCCATTCGATAGTTCCACAGCTGTACGCTGCCATTGTGCAAGGATGCCGCGAGCAATGGTTGGGTAGGATGGAAAGCCAGCCCTGCAGACCGCAGTGGTATAAGCATGGAGATGTCGCAACGGATGTACGGCGCGTCGCACATACCCTTCACTCGGTTGCTCTTGGACTCGAATTTTGTTAGCATCACAGACATTTTGGAGTCGTCGAGGCCCCAAGAGGCACAGTCTATGATGCTCTATGTCGGGAACGAGAAGGCGAACAGCACCAGCTGGGAAGGGCAAAGTGAAAGTGTCCCCAGTTACAGCTTGTACAGAATAAAGTATGGTGCCTGTGCAGCGCTCGAAGCGACGTGGCTCGCTCGTGGGCGTCTGGTGCATACTTACTATAGCTTACTAAGGTAAGCCGGATATTCAACCCAGGCTACAATCCATACAAGCTCGATCATTGCTCGCTATGACCTCCTGCAATATGCGAATGTAGACCGCATTTTCCCCGAGCACTTGGTCCTTCGCCACAAACTCAACAGTCCGTTTAGTCTCCTCATTTGGTGGTGGGCTCGGTGGGGTAAGGTTACAGACAAGAAGGTCGCATTTTATTCACATGGGAGTTATCGGTCTCACACCTTTTTTGCAAAAAGCTTGGTGAGCCTCCTGCACTGTCGCTGTAGTATTGGCTGATCCTCCCTTAGTCCCGATGTCATCAGAGTCCTCCCAGACCGCCTTAAAAATTTTGCAGGAAAGAAGATAGTATTGTATGGCGCGTATTTACTTGGCCGGACGCTCACTAATCTTGAGACTCGCGCAGAGATGGTACGCTTATTACGCAACGTCTTCACTTCGCACCTTTGCCGCATGCATATAGGCATGTACTCGGCTGGTACCGGATTCTGCACGAGCTCAGAGAGGCCGGGGTATCAGCTGTCTGTGTGTTCGATGGAAGAAGCCGCAGTTTAGCGAAACAAATGGAGGTGCGTGCTCGAATGCGCTTCTTCCCGGTCGTAGGAGTCGTTTCACCTCGGACAGGTTGATCGTCGACGGGAGATCAGAAAGGTTACAGCTGCCCGTGGTCTCTTAGAGACCAATCGACTACAACGGCTTTGTGCACTGTCAAACTCAGTCAAGACGTGGAAGTTGCTTGATACTCAAGCGAGAGAATCCGCAACTCGAGATCTCCGAGACCGCCTTCAAGAATTGAAACCCGTTCCTCCCTCACCGGATTACATCGATGGGATCTCACAGCCTTCGACAGAAGAGGCCACACAAACAGGCCATCAGCAAGGTCGTAATTGGAAGCCCGAGGCGTACAGCGAAACGCATGGCGAACTCAGCGGAGACGGGCTAGCCCTACCGCGGAAGCGCACTGAGGCGCCCGACACGACGAGTCCTCCGTCCGGAGAGAAGCCTGCGAGTGCTCCTGAGCTGGACCTTGGTGTCTCCGATGCTATAACTGCACCCAGCCCGCCTCCACCACCTCCCCAGCTTGAGACTTCTTCTCGCGATGCTGTAGAAGACCAACCCGGGCCAGCCCTACCGCGGAAGCGCACTGAGGCGCCTACGAGTGCTCCTGAGCTGGACTCCGATGCTATAACTGCACCCAGCTTGTCTCCACCACCTCCCCAGCTTGAGACTTCTTCTCGCGATGCTGTAGAAGACCAACCCGGGCCAGCCCCACCGTGGAAGCGCACTGAGGCGCCTGCGAGTGCTCCTGAGCTGGACCTTGGTGTCTCCGATGCTATAACTGCACCCAGCTTGTCTCCACCACCTCCCCAGCCCGAGACTTCTCGCGATGCTGTAGAAGACCAACCCGGGCCAGCCCCACCGCGGAAGCGCACTGAGGCGCCTGCGAGTGCTCCTGAGCTGGACTCCGATGCTATAACTGCACCCAGCTTGTCTCCACCACCTCCCCAGCTTGAGACTTCTTCTTGCGATGCTGTAGAAGACCAACCCGTGCTACAAAATTTGTCTCTCGACGACACCATCTCAGGAGACATCTCTGAAACCGGCCTGCCCGAAGTCTCGATATCGCAAGAGGTGATTGCCGCTCAGACTGAAGTGGAAGCAATCAGGTCGTCTCTGGCCAACCTATACGTTGAATACAAGGCCAGTGTGGAGCGTCTCGACTCGTTACCAGAACCTATCCCTACTCCCTCCCAGCCATCCGACGACGACCCCTCGAATGCAGAAGTGAAGACAGAATACATGATGTCCAAGACTCAGCATCAGCTAGCCCTAGAAGAAGGCGCTTTCTGGTCAAAATTTGCAGAATTGGAACTTGCCGCTGAAGATGTCGAAGATGCAGCAACAGTCCTTACTCAGAAGAGTACAGTCCTATTCGACTCGTACTCCCGGCGGACACAACCGCCGACTACGCAAACTTACGACGAGAGTAAAGAGATTATCCGCGCAATGGGAGTACCTTGTATTGAGCCCGACGGACCGTTCGAGGCTGAAGCGTTGGCTGCTTCAATGGTTCTCCATGGTCAGGCGGACTACGTCGCCAGCGAAGATACGGTGAAGGACTCTCGTTCCGTGAAGCCTTCGTACCTGCTGACGATACGTTGCCCAGGATGTGATTGTTTACGGAGCGCCGTTGATGCGCAACATAGCAAAGCGTTCGGATCCTCTCGTAATCCTAAATGGAACTGACGTACGGGCCGCCTTAGAGCTCGACCATGAGCGTTTTGTTGACTTTGCCCTCCTACTTGGAACCGACTTTTCTCAGCGCATCAAGAATGTTGGGCCCACTCGTGCGCTCAAGTTCATTCGGGAATACGGTTCTATTGAACAAATGCTCGAACAGGAAACCCGGTACCCTCCGCGCGTACCGCTTTCGCTTTACCTGCAGCAAGTAGAAGTTGCGCGAGTGGTATTCCATACTCTTCCGCCCGTCCCGGATGAGTCCGCATTGCAGGAAAAAGAGCCCGATGACACAGCGATTCAAGAGATTCTCCAGGAGTACGGTCTTTGGAAAGAGCTCTCCCACGACTTCGAAGGGGACTTCACGCATGCCCTGGCCGGGAACCATTTCGACGATAACCCTGCTGTTGCGTGACACAGATCCTGATGGCACTTTGCGGAGACGCGTGGCTGCAGAGTGAGCATGACCTTGTTCTACTTCTCGGACGTTCTTCGGAGCTCCATGATCAAACATGGGACAGAGATCTCATGCATTTCTTCCCTCTGTTTCTGTCGGTCACGTGTTCTCCATGCTTCGCGCGAACGGTCATGAGACCAGGCAAACGTCCTCACAGAGATGTATTTTCCCCTACCAGTCATAATGAAATTGCATATCAAGCATCGAGTTCGTTGGCGATCTCCAGGTGTTTTCTGCTGATGCTGCCTATCGTCCTGGCTGTTCTCTCTTTCACTATCGTGGCGAATGCTCGCTACGATGGAGAGATTACATTGCTTCACTATAATGACCTGGACAGTAAGTTGTTGTATTTTGCGGTAGGGTTTGCACTGATGGACATCAACAGTTCAAAATCCATTCGCGCACCCTAGTCTATTGCTCATCGACAGCGGAACCCACTCATCTTCGCAAAGCGCGTGCTCTTCCTTGAGCGAATCCTTACTGCCGAGCGTATCTGGCCAACTTGCACAAGACATTATGCCGTTGCTCCAATACCAGGTCTTCCAGAACAACGTCCCTGATGGTCAACAGTTCTGGATAAATCCGAACTCCAACGGCCCCCTGTGCCAGACTGTTGACACGAACGGCCACATTGGCGAGAACCTCTGTATTCTCTCGTTTCCTGCGCTGTGCACCAACAGCGGCAATTCCACAACTGTTCCGACGTTCCAAACGACCGTTTCTTCACAGGGACTATCGATTACTGGGTGAGCAACATCGACTCTTCCTGTGATTCACGCTATCCTGACTAGCCGTCTCAGCTTCCGCGACAATCGCTCGTTCAGGTTCCAAGGCATTCCTTTCGCCAACCCACCAGCACGGTGGACGTATCCGGCCGCGTACACTGGTTCAAAGGCAATTAACGCGACCACATTCGGTTCTCAATGCATTCAGGCTGGCCAGACTACGGGCAGCGAGGACTGCCTCTTCTTGAACATTTGGACGCCATTCGTTCCCAGCCCCAGTCCAGCACCGAAGTCGTCACTCAAAGCGGTCATGTTCTGGATTCATGGTGGCGCCTTCACCTCTGGCACCGGTGCCGACCCTACCTTTGATGGAGGCCCGATGGCCTCGAGGGGCGACGTAATCATCGTCACAACCAACTACCGCCTGTCTACACTCGGCTTCCTTGCACTCGACGACGGCCAAACGAACGGCAATTATGGTATCGCTGACCAGATTGCCGCGCTCGAGTGGGTCAACCAACATATCTCCGCATTTGGTGGTGACCCGGACCGTATCACTATCTTTGGGCAGTCTGCTGGCGCGGGATCTGTGCGCGCATTGCTACAGTCGCCCAAGGCGATTGGCAACTTCGCGGCTGCTATCCAAATGAGCAACCTCGTCGGACTTGGCTACGCTATGACCTACTCGCAATACTACACTATCGCTCAAGAGCAAACCCTTGTTGCCGATCCTATTCTGGCTGCCACGAACTGCAGTACTGCGGCTGATCGTCTTGCATGCTTGAAAGCGGTCGACGGCTTCACTCTAGTCAATTTACCGACGGTTGCAAGGTGCGCCCGTTTCTGCACACATATCTTCGTCAGTTGCTCACGTTGCTCTCCTTTAGATTTGTCGTGGCAGACGGTACTTTCGTGCCGCAAACACAGCTCCCTCTGAACCAGACCGGTAAGATCGCCGACGTCCACGCTGTGATTGGATGGATGCGTGATGACGGTGCCGCATTTATTGGAACACCAGTATGTCCTCCAGATTCGTGCTAATAAGTATGCTGAGTGAACGCACCATAGACCAACGACAATGCGGCCCAAGCTCTCGAAGCTGCCGGATTGCCCACAGCCTTGGCGAATAATTCATTGTTCCCTATCCCCTCTAATGAAGCCACTGATATCGACGATCTCTTCAACATGACTGCTCGTGGTGCCACCGACGGCATGTTCCGTTGTCTAGACCAAGCGACGGCTTTCTCGGGCGTCCAGCACAATCTCTTCAAGAGCGTCTGGACGTACGAGTTTAATCGAAGCTACCAAACTCCAGGATTTGACCCTAACGCGCCTAAGTGCGACGCTCCTGTAGATGTTGCGCACCCGGCAGGCAACCCTGACGCCGAGTACTTCAAGTAAGTGCTTACGTAGCGCTAAGGGTGACACGACACTCATGAACTCGTTTCAGATGCCACAGCGGCGAGCTCTTCTTTGTCTTTGGATCACTGCCGACATCTCTTCCTTACCGAGACGCGAACGACTTGCCGTTTATGCAGGTGACCATGGATACCTGGACGTCTTTTGCGCGTACATTCGACCCGAATCCTGACCCTGCTTTCCTGAAGGCGCGAGGCTTCACCACCTCCGCCGCACGCCTTGCGCTGCAACCCCAGTGGGAGCCTGTCACCAAAAGCAACCTCAATGGTACACCACTACGTATATTGGAGGTGCCAAGCAAGATGAACGGGTTCAGGGAGCTGGCGCAGTGTGATTTCCTGGACTTTTCATTGAACCACTTCGGTTGAGTTGATAAGATGGTCTTACACAGTTGTAGCAGCAGCGACGTGTGTGCGCAACAGGGAATGATTTACCTATATACACGCACCTTTTTCATGTTCCTATTCGCATGCAAAGCCCTTTGGGCATCGTAGGAATATTTGTCATGAAGCCGTAGTGACCGAAATGGAGTGCACGGGGTCTTAGAGCGTCTCAGCACGCAGAAACTGGGCGAGGAAGTCATCGCTCCAGCTCTCTCCTCTCATGCTGTTCGGCTCTATAGATTGGTCTTAACTTTCTCTTGCTTTGCGAGTCCATCCTGGCATACTGTAATGTCGCATAGTCCATACCCTAATACTTATGCGCCGCAGCACTCACCGTTTTCGCCATCCCCGCACGTCAACGTTGGAACCTACACGCCGCATGCGAATGCGAACCAATATTCAAATACATATGGAGACCTTTACCAGCAACAACGACCATCATGGGACGCATACAAAAATATACAGCAGCCTCCAGGTCCCAGCTCGCCCTTCCACCGGCCCCCGTCGGCTCAGCCTCCGCCTATGAATCTGACATCCCCAACCTATTTACCCACCCGTGCGCAGAGCCCAATGCATCCACCAATGGTACAATCACACCCAGAGAATAGGGGGAATGAGCTGAGCCATTTCCGGTACCCAAATGCGAGATTACCTGCCTCAGAACACACAAACTCCGTCTTCGCTCAGCACAGCCAGCAAGGACATCTGCCTTCTATTCCTGCTCCTCAGCAGTCCCCTCCAAGACGCCCTCTACCAACTCCTCAGAACAGACCCGTCACTACCCCAGTACTGGACAGGCGTTCACTACCTGCAGCTCATCAGGCTTCGCCATCTGCCCCGTCCACACCATTTCATCGGCCCTCATACTCAACCTCCGCCGCCCCGACATCTTCAGGTTTTTCCACAAGATTTACAGATTCAAGTTCAAGCTCAAGCTCACACATATCAACGAGGTCTTCAAGACCCCTGCCTACGCCAATACCACGGTCCACCAAAAGCGTCGATCTTGCGCATGGTCCTAGTCCCGTGAAGGATATCCTAAACCAGGCCGGTCCCTTGTCCCCTCCTGGGCAGAAGTTTGTTCCGCTGTGGAAACGTAACCTTCCTGCTGTCCCTGGCTTGCCTTCATCCTCAGAACAGTCCTCAAGCCCGTCCGAGAATCGACCCTTCAGCTCCGGTCCATTCAGTGGTGACTACAATGGCGGAATAGGCGTGCAGAGGAATGGGACAAGTATGCGTCCGCTACCCCCTTCTCCTGTGCAGTCTCCACCATCGCAGGTGTCAACACCGCAGCATTCACCTCCGAAATCCTCTGTTTTGCGCAGAGATTCCGTGGACGGATCCGCTACATTTAGTTTTCTGAAGATGAATGCCTCGCGTATTTTGCCTGCACCTCCCGGTGGCTCGTCACCTCAGCGGGCCGATTCTGATAAGAAATCAGAGTTGCCAGGGCCAGGGTCAAACTCCGGTGTTTCGTCATTCCGCTCAGTGCTCAGTGAATCGTCAAGGCATTCGCCCATGAGCTCAGAAAGCGAAGACATGTACGAGAACTCGTTACTGCAAAGGCCGTCGCAGTCATCTCTGGTTCGACCGCCAAGCCCCTCGTTCGCTGCCCGCGACCCCCCTAGCCGTTACAATACGGACCGTGCTCAGAAGCCAACCGAGCCCACTAAACCGTCTGGCCCATTTAGGCCTCGTCGACAGTCGCTTGTCTCTCGCATGGCCGAGCTATCCCTGAATGGGTCCTCCCCGGACCTAGTGCTTAACAAGATTTCCGCCACGAGCGCGAGTTCACCGAAACGCGAACATCCTATGCCTGCTATAGGACATGCGTCCACCGAGCCCACCCCATCCCGCTGGCCTGCGGAGCTACCACCCCTTCCTCGCACACCGCAGATGCCCTCCGATCCAGGTCAATCATCTCCTATGCGCGTGTCGCCACCTCAGCATCCTTCGCAGACACCGCCGACACGCTCGTACATTCCTTCGGCGTCACATGACACCTCCCCAGCACGACCACCCCCGCCGCAGCATCCGATGGATCCCTCTCCTACCCGTTCAAGATTTTCCAATTCACTGCCTCAATCGCAGGAGTCACCTCCCATGCAGGGCAACGCGCCGAAAGCGCCACCGCCAGTACGGCCGCCGCATACTCATTCAACATCGCCAACACGACCTCGCTTTCCTCCACAAGCACCTGTACGCGAACCTATCCTTCCAGCTCCCCACCCTCAGCGGGTGATACCGAATCTCGATGACGCCCCGCCACCTTCGCTCCGTCGTTCACCTTCACCTGTTCGTTCGTCGACGTCATCGCATTCTCGGCAGAATTCAGGCGGGCTGCCTAGCATCCGTACGCAAGGTATGTTGAACACGGGGTTGGGTTCAAACATGATGTTACCACCCAGCGCGGTGACGCCGAGTTCTGCGATCTCTACGTTTTCATTGTCTTCGTTCCCCATTCCACCCCAGTCGCAGCCGTATGCAAACGGTGCAAACAGCGCCCCAAGCTGGAAATTTAGAGTCGGAGAAGAAAATTTAAGGAGAACTCTGCCTAGTGTCAATGTTGGCCAAGAGGATGGATGGGGAGCCGGGCCATCAATTTCAGTCTCGGGATCCGATCCAGCAAATGCCGATAGTATTCCAGGCATCCCGAGGATATCGGTCGCTGGTATGGACGATGAGGACGTGACGGTCCCTAGCATATGCATTGGTGGCCCAGAGCCGTCGCAAGCCCAAATCCCCCGAATCTCTGCGCCTGGCTCAGGCCCAGGCGAGAACGGTGTACCACGACGTATGCACCACCCAATGCACCCAATACCTGCGGTGCGCAACACGGGAGGACTATTTTGCGGCGCGTGCGGCGGTGCGATCCTCGGGAGAAGTATAAACACAATGGGCGCAAATTGGCACCCAGGCTGTTTTCGCTGTGCTGCGTGCGACCAGCTACTAGAGAATTTGGCAATGTATGAGTTTGAAGGCAGGCTGTATTGCTCGTTAGACTACTACGAGGTGGGTACTTGACCACAGTCGTCGCTGCTCACATGTTGATTGCGTGTTACAGAAATTTGCGCCGAGATGCTATCATTGCCAAACCGCGATCGCAGACCAAGACTTCATTACATTGAGTGAGGTGGACGGACTCGGCAAGCGCACGTATCACACGCAGCATTTCTTCTGTGCAGAATGTGGCGACCCATTCCTGCCGCCAAGTACCACCGCCCGCAATTTCTCGGGTGATGGGACATTTGATGGCGGCACTGGCGAGGGCTTCACCGTGTACAATGGGCACCCGTACTGCGAGCGTTGTCATGTGCGCCTGCGGATGCCAAAATGCAAGAAGTGTAAGAAGCCCCTACGGAAGGATATGGATACGCTTGAGGTCCTGGGTGGAAAGTGGTGTCTTGACTGCTTCGTATGCAAGGTATGTCTGCGCTGTCTTGACGGTAATGTTGCGCTGACGAGCTTGTCAAGGCGTGCGACGGACCTTTCACGAACGGCAGATTCTTCTTGCGGGACGAGAAGCCATTCTGCCAACGCTGCTTCGAAGTTATAATCAAGAGCGAATTATAGATTATAACTGGGGCTTGAATGACTGCTACAACGATAGTTGGCAGCTTTAAAGTAATGGACTTCATGACTCTCATGACTACTCATCTTTCCTTGTTCCTCTGTCACAAATCTTGGGATAATACCAGATTTGGGTAATGTGTTTGTGCGATGTATATATGGCATATGCTACCCTCGTCTGTTGTATCCTTTCTCGCGAGCTGCAGCCGCCCTCAGGCCTTTTAGCTCGCAAGCTCGCAATACCAACTGTGCTGCGATTTGGGGCAAACAGACACAAATATCACGCAACGCGTCAAGTGTCCGAACGTTGAGCGCTGAGCGCTGAGCACGCATCATGATCAACTTCGCGTCTCTGTTCACACATAGCTACGACTCCGACTTGTGTGCACTTTCTTCAGCATTTTGAGGATGGACTCCTCATCGAGTAGGAAGCAAGATGAAACGCGACGACAGGCAGAAATCCGACGGCAGATTGCTGCTCTGCAGGCGCAATTGAAGGACGCGTCAGATGAAGAAGGCGCGGGCATTATGCCCCCCTCCACTCCGAGGAAACGGAAACAGTCACAGCAAAACTTGTTGGCTTCTGCTACTCCATCCCCTAGTATGTCTTTCGGGTAGTAAGTTTGGCCTATCCTGATAGTTATCTAGAGAAGCGCAAAGCGGAAGACCATCGAGGGAAGGCAATCGTGACATTCCCAAAGAATATTGATGGGCCGAGCTCGAGAGCCCAACAGTCGCGTCCTTCGCTATCGTTCAAGACGAATCCTGCTTATACTGCGAGGCCACCTCCTGCCTCGTCGTTAACACCAGCTTCGTCGTCCGTCCTATCCAAGCTTGCTGGCTTCGCGTCTGCTTCTACCAAACAAGAGGCCAAGGCTATTGCTGCCCGGTCTTCTGGTTTTGCAGAGAAGCCACCGACACGAGACGAAGTGGATGAAGAGACAGGTGCTAGGGACGAAAACTTGACAATCGTCGAGGACTTGACTATAGGTCCGTACGAACACAGGCCGCCGTTTGACGACCCGCACTTCATGAAGCTAGAGCCCAGCTCCGGTATCCGTCTCTCGTGAGTATTCTCAGGCTATGTCTTTGTTATGACCAACCTACGTCAGCTCGCGAACACTTCCTCACGACGAATTCCAAGACTACCTTCGCGGACGTTATTATCTTTCACCATCTAAGCTATATTCTGTCATCCGCCTTCTACCAAACAAGCAGGGCTACGACGTGCCAGTGGAGGGCGACTGGGTTACGATAGCTGTCGTCGCTGAACGTGGTCCGATGAAGTATAGTAAAGCTTCCGTCGGTATCGGGAAGGAGGACCTCGCCGAGCACCCGAATGGCGAAGACGACCTGGGGTCTCTTGCTCTCGGTGCCCCTCCGAAGCCAGCTAGACCGCAATGGGGGAAAGGCAAGGCCAAAGAAGAACCATCGAAGCCATCAGGTAAGAAGTACATGAACTTGAAACTTGTCGACTTCGGATGTCGTACGAAGAGCTCAGCCACTGCGGGAAAGTCGATCATACGTGGTGATGCGTTGCTCTCGCTTCTTTTATTTGAGTCCGATCGCGTGGAGGAGGTCACGCAAGAGGATGGGAAGAAGGAAAAGGTATATCGAGGCGGTAGTCGTGGCGCATTCGAGAGGCTGTCGAAGCTCAAGGAAGGCACCATCGTCGCCCTTCTCAATCCAAAAATCCTCAAGCCGTTCCAGGTGCGTCCGTTTTGCACGAGTCTATACTCGAGGCTCATGGTTTGTTCAGCGCTCAGGAGACGCACCGCACCCAACCGACAACATCCTGGCATTGACACCCGAATCCCTCCAGTCTATTCTTGTCCTTGGACACTCGCAAGACCTCGGCATGTGCCACGTCGTGAAGCGCGATGGCAAGGCCTGCGGCAGCTGGTGCGACAAGCGTATCAGCGACGTGTGCGACTATCATGTACAGCATGCCGTGCAGGCCAAGCGCGCGGGGCGCGCCGAATTCACGACGGGTACGTCTGGCATGAGCGCGTTCGCCAAGAAGAAGCCAGCCTACGACCCGAGTAGACAGTGGGGGCTCAAACCTGACCCGGACGCCAGCACTGGCGGTGCGACGTACGTCGTTTCTGGACACATCGTGTCGGATCGCCGCGAGTCAGGGCTGTTTGTGAACGAGACTATTGGGAGAGAGGCACAGGCCAAGGCAGCACGTAAGGTCTCTGCAAAGGACGCGGACGAGGCCCTCAAGAAGTTGCTGAAGCAAGACAAGGAAGGGACGAGAGCAGTCAAGGCTGCAAGAGAGTTTGGAAAGAAACTCGTAGAGAAGGAGGTGTTGGGAGACAGCGGAAAGGGCAAAGAGGAGGCAAAGGACGTGGCGAAGACGAGAAGGCGAGATGAGAACGACAACGACGACTCGGAAGACGAGAAGGACAAAAAATCGGTGAAGAACGCGTACTCTGCAACCCTCGTCCGCAGCCTTGGGTTTGATCCGACAGCCAAAGATGGTCGCCGGGTGGCAGATTCTGAAGTACAGAGAAAGGTGTGGACGTTCCTGCATCTCATGTATATGCCTCATTAATTCATCATATTATAGCTTGGCGCTTTAGCCACTCTGCAAGCCTCCCGGAAAGAGATTGACCTTGGTCCGAGGCCGGGGAGGCTCAAGACGACTGTACGTGCCCCAGAGAAAGCGGACATTTCGAAACATGCCAGCCTCGACTCTCCGTGTTCGAGCGATGATGACCTTCTCGTCCTTCCAGCATGCCCTAGCCCATCATCTTCCCAGCCCGCCATAGTCGATCCAGAGTCAAATGAGACTGAATTATAACATGTGTGCTATGCCTTTTGCTTGCTGTATGACACCCGGCGTCTGAACATGAAGTTTTCGACACAGCCATTTCTGCCGGATTTCCCGACACGTTGGTCGTGCGAACGTACCGCCTTGACATCCTGTGCAAATTGACAGTAAATCAGCGCTCAGTGTCTAACAATCGGCTTCATGTTGACTATTATAGGTGCGTGTTGGGGCATGTTCGTTGATATTAGATCGCTGGATCCTGTGCTGCTTGACGTAAATTCAAGGTATGGTACATGTCGTGTTAGCAAATGAGGTGACGGTCGAGAAGTTCTGCGGCTACGCAAAGGCTGGCGCAGCGCGCGATGTAGTGATGTTTGAGCGTGCAGTCCGCCTAGAACTAGCTGAACATGCTGACCAGGGCCACTCAAAGTCAATCTTGCCTCGAAATAGCGATTGGGACAATATTTCCAACGGTTTTGTCAAATGTACTGATGACACGGGGTCCTTAGATGGCATGGGAACTCCAGGTTTATGCCCCCCCCCCTCTTTCTGAAAACTTCAGGCTTTGTAGAAAGATCGAAAGGCAGAAGCTTAACCGCGGAAACGGGCTCATACGATTCGGGAGGGGGACGCGCTCTCTGCCGTTTTTCGGGGTCCGAGGTCAGTCACTACACTGCTCTCGCGCGGTCCAGGTTTCAGCGCTGAGTCAGCTACTGATCACTTCTCGCCACAGACACCGACGTAACGATAGGTGACATCTGCGCTCTGTTCAATTAATGTATTGATACCGCTACTCTAGGGGTATAATATTGGTAAATTGTCCAATTTGTTATATCAATGTCTCCACTGCAGGTGTCGCAAGCTACACCAGGCAGAAGTCCAGGCTCGAAGACTGTCTGCAGGATCATATTGGAGTGCAATCGGAATTCAATTTACCTGGGCCTATTGACCAGCGACTTGGACACTTTGCGGTCCATAGATACCCCCCTCTAAGATTGCAGCTGAGTGGTCATGCATCATGACTTATGACTGGTGAGTGTCTCGTAGCGTTCCACAGTGCACTTTTCTTTAGCGGAAGCTGATGCTTGACTAAGGTATTCTTGAGAGCTGGGCGGCGCATACCACCTAACGCGCACGGGTGACAAGTGAAGACTACCACGTTTTCAATTACCGGGCCTTATCGGCGCTAGTCACACCCCCGCACCCTACCTTCGCACATGGTTGTGATGCGAAGAAGTCGTGCTCACATCGCCTTGAAGGGCCTTAGACGCTCCTCGCCAATCTCTGCCTAGAGTACAGCTAGGTCGGTACTGCTTTACCTCGTGTGCATCGCTCTCAGATAGGTGTAATCGCGTAGTTACCATAATTAGCGGTCTCATCCAATTTCGTGGTCGCCTGCGCCTTGCCAGCCGTTCAACGCATGTTGTATGTCCGATGGTCAATCTTTTGCGCGTGCTGTGTACACGTTTTACACTTATGTGCCATCCTGTATCACTACCTTAGCGTTGTACAGTACAAGTCGCAGTATAAAGCTGCAGGTGAGTACACAATCCACAACACAACTGCAGCGTATGATCAAACAATCCCTTCGGCTTTGACTTCAGGTATTCCACGCTATCTCTAGATGCCGGAAACCCCGCTTTCCCCAACCGTCGCACTTCCAGCAAGCCCGGCATATCATGCAACCGGTCCAATGCTCGGAGGTTGCGTAGCAGACCCACCAAGGGCTGCAGTCGTATGTGAGGGAGATAGTTTCATGCCAGTGACTCCAGACAGGGTATACGAACAGCAATACCAACGCGTATACAGCATGTAAGTTTAAGGAATTTGTATGTTGTCGTGATAATCTCTCACAGCTCTCTGGTAGTCCTAAGGAAGCGCAAACCGAAGTGTCCGTACGACCCGGCAACATGACAGGTCTTCGGTGCGTCCATGACTCAGATGGCTTGCCAGCATCTCTTATGTGCTAGGATCTTTTGTTCAGCTCGGATGACCGCATTCTCCCACACAGTTGGCGTCGTCTTGTGGCACCCGAAGGGAAACTGTACTTCTACTGTCCAGAACTAGTGAGTTCATAGTGCACTGTGGGATTTTTCCCCGTTAAAGCTTTATAGATGCTTTATACGAACACATATATTCCCGACGCACTGGCTGCTTTGGGCGAACTGGAGGGAAAGGCGAAATCATTGAGGAAGTCACTACCAGAAGAACGGCAGAATACGTCAGAGCTTGTCCTAGAGTTGCTCCCTGACAATGTGTGGGGCTACTATTTTGCGGATACAGCGGCGAGGATGGTTTTCTGGAATCACGCTATAGATCTTGCCGATATCATTCAGTCGAATCCGCGATTTGTTGTGTCGGACAACCATCTGGGTATGTCTTTTCAATTCTCTTATTACTGCTGTAAGGTGATATTGGTGTCTGTCAGATTTACAGCTCGAAGCGTTGTACTGGTGAGATGAAAATTGCACTCGGTGAGTTACATATAATTACGGCTAGGCATGTCAGCTGAGGATGCCGCGTTAGCACGTGAATTGTTGCATTTACTTAGACTATCTGTTGAGGTTGCACATTGAGATTTTTCCCCAGCACCGCGAAGTCACTCGATCAATGCTGGACGAAGTCACTGACTTGCTGAACTTCGGGTACCATGGCAAGTGTTCTCTCGCTTCCTCAGGAAATCTGTCCATAACATGGCACAAAGACATTTTGACGTCTTCAACCTCCACGTCACCTTACTCGAGCGATAAAGTTCAGCAAATCTTGGATGGCTTGGAGAGGATTAGAGGTGCGATCCATCAGCAACGTAACCATGTGTAAACTGACTCAATGTGAATGGATAGTGGGAGAAACTCGAGGTATCGGGATATGGGTTGTTGGTAAGCATGTGTCGTACCAACTGGGTCCCTGAGCCTAACTTCGAGACGGCACTTTCAGCCCGCTATATGCACACTATCAGTGAGTGCTCTTTGCTAATAAACGGGGCGCTGGCACGCATTACCAACGGAATGCACATAGAGCGAGAAATGTTCATTCATTATTATGGACAACATGGTGCCCGTCTTAATCGCAATCAGTCCGTGCACAAGAAGACCATACACAAGTCTCCAACATACCTGTTCCTTATATGTTCACCTCTGCTCTTTTTCACGCCAGATGTCTACATCAGGAAACTGGAGGACATGTATGTCGACGGAACTGTCAACGTGACACCGTGGACCAAATTCTGGGATGATATGCGCAGAGACTGGGAGAGAGCAACGACTCCGGTATTTGGTTTCGTGATAACATGTTCGAAAGAGGTGTCTCATACACTATGCAGGTCACGGTGCTGCTCTCGACGAACGTAGGCTTTCTGGCCATTTCAAGCATCGATGCCGCCAGCAAAGCGCCACATCGCAGCGTAGCTCAAATCGCTAGCTACGCGTCGACCATTCTTAGCTTGGCGTGCTATCTCATATGTTGGACCCTCTCAAGACAACACCCCCCAGGTAGTAATGGAACGGCGGAGGAGGCTGTAAGCGGAGCATTCGTCTTACTCGCATAGCGTCTTTTGACTGCGTGGCGCGTCTAGATCAGATATCTGACCAAACGCGAGCGCAGCATACTCGGCCTGGAAGCCGACGCGCTCATATACAGGTAATACTCCCAGCTCAGCATCATTAAGGCTCGGACTAACGGATTTTCAGCCTTCCCACGGCACTATTCACCTGGAGGTCAGTGCCTCTGCATGTCTCAACTAAGCCTCTACTCACCTGTTCATGACAGCATGCTTGCCTTCCTCGTCTCGATGACGTACATCTGCTTTGCCGGTACCGACATCATCACCAGGACATTGATAGCCGCCCTTCTCGTCGCTATGACAGGTGTCGTAATCGGGGTATTGCATGCAGATTGGGGGGCAATTACTCCTACTGCCAGCGGCTTTTGGTACCGCAACTGGCAGATACTTCGCAAATATGCCGTCGACCCCTTGTTCCAGCGGTTTTCACGAAAGCAACAGGACACGTCTGTTCTGCCAACACATAGGAAGAATAGCGACGAGATAACTTGATATAGGCTGACCCCACCAGGACGATAGCCATGATGCATGGGCATGCGATTACCGCATGCTGTATATATAGTGCGATTGGTCATAACGCGTACCAGGGCTAGACAGCAGACTATTATCTGCTTGACACCGGCAAATTAATCACTGTTATTGCAATAAGAGATACTGTAGCTTATCCAGGACAACACCTATCCGCCCGTATACAGTAGTGACTCCAAACACCCTCGATGAGCATCAGTACATTAAAATAAGAATAACACGCAGGTTAACTTCCTGTCAAACTGGATTCGCTGCGATTAGATGGCGTACGCGCCATGTATGTCGCTGGTATCATTAGGGTATTCTGCTCGCGGTGGATGCGAGACTCGAGGGCGTGCGCTTGGCGCACATACGAATACCGCTGGAAATGATTGAGGGACTGTAGAAACTGCACGCCCACCTGCTCACTTCATCAGCGTGAGGTCTCTAGAACAGTCAAGCGGAGGCACATACAGGATAAGTTCGAAATTCATTCAAGATGACGACAGTGAGATCGCGAATCGCTTCCTGTTGATGGAAAAGCCCGAAACTTAAGGGCAGAAGACCTTGGTGGTGAGGGGGTAGCAAAGACAGCAGCTAGCAATAAATAAACTTAGATTCGAGCTCGAGGGCTAAATCAGCAGACGTACCTCTGTGACCGGGTCGTAGGCTTGAACAGTTTCGGCTAGCGTGCGCATGATGAGTTCAACTTCGTTGTCGGGCATGCGCTTCGCGTGTCGTAGTCGCCACAGCTGGTGAGAAACATCGACACCTTGTATGGGACTATTTTCCCTCAACTTGTTAAAATCCTGTACGACCCGTCAACAGAGCATTTCCATCACGGAATGCGTCACGCACGTGTTTCCATAGCTCATAGCTCTGCGTCCGCCTCCAAGCTTCGATGCGGCTCGCATTAGCTGCAAGTTCCCGCGCTCCTACAGCCTCGTCTGAGAAGCAGAGACCACTGCCGAGCTTTGGTTCGCCGCCAAGTCCTTCCGAGTATGCGGCGGTAGGGAAACCAATGGCCGTATCAAGACCGAGGACCTCCTCCTCATACCTAGCTGCAAGCCGTACGAAGCGCGAGGCGTACTCTGTAAACCTCGCTCGCACATGGGACTCGCCATAGTGGAGAGAAATGGCGGAAAGTATCTACAGCGAACAACTCGTCAGAACAAGGCGAGAGATGATAAAAAGAGTTTGGAAAGGCTCACATCGTCCATGAAGAGATTGTCAGTAGTCTCAACTTTGCCAAGGAGTTCCGCCTTTTGGACTGGATTTAGCTCCTTGCTCGGTCTGACAAAGTCGTCTTCGCTGCCAACAGATCCTTCTGCCTTCAGAGTGCCCGAGCGCATAACGAGCTGAACGGGTGCGACGCCGATGGCGGATGGAGGGCAATTAGTATGGATATCCTTCGAGACGACCATCCGCCCCGTCTCGATATCGCAGAGGAGATCCCAAGAACCAGAGGACTCAAAAATTGGATTCGTCACACCAGCAATATATCCTGGTCTGCGGTATGTGAACGAAGGGTATAAGACCATGAATCACCCCAAGCAAGACACGATATCCACTTACATAGATTCCCACTCCTCTCTGTTCGTAAGGTTGGCATATGGGAAGGCGCGTCTGATGAAACCTCTCAAAGCGATGCCACACCCTGACCCGAGGGCGCACGCCGACAAAACATAGCTCGAAACTTGGCCAGCAGGCCGATGATGCCCAAGGAAGATGATGCGCTTCTCAGTGACGAGCGCATTAAAAAGAACCATAACAGGGTGCGTCTGATTCCCACTTGTGTGCAAGTGAGGGTGCTGAGGGCCTAATATTGACGTGGAGGGACTCGAGAACGTCTGTATGAGCTGTATGAGCGAATACTAGATCACGAGGGTTAGAGTCAGTGCAATGAAAGGATTTTCATGGCGTACATCTCCCACTTCCTCCGGAAAAGTGTATATCGGTAGTCGGATGGGCAGCTGGTGGTCATTGTAGTCGATCACCGCGGGAAAGAAGTGGGTGTCTTTAAGTAGCGGAGGTGCCACGTTAGGAGCGGGCGTTGCGGCGTCCTCTCTCCGAGCACGAATAGAGGACGTGGAGGACGCATCCGTGGACTTCCTTCCCCGCCCAGACGAAGCGGTGTTGTGGTTCCCGGTACCAGGATGTGCGTTCCCCATACTGGATGGCAGGTGAGGCGATTGGTCCACCCCGCTTTCGACCCAGACCGCGCTTCCGTCCAACGAGAATTCACCTTCAGATGGAGAGGGTTGTCCTGGCTGTTGGAGACTGGTCGTGCTACTCCCAGGACCCTTCGCAGTCCCGTTCTCCTTGCCCTTTCCTTTGTCCTCCCGCGCACGCATCATGATGCCTTCTTCAAAGCTTGAATGAGAGCCTATAGAATCAGAGTTACGATGTACGTTGCCACGGCTTTGCGTCTGTTCTGGGACCCTGGGCCGCATGAGATTTTCGTACTTCTCAATGAAGAGGTCTTTCCGCTCTGAAGTCCGCATGATTAACTTCTCATAACGAGATAGCCTTGGAGCATGAGAGATATCCATGGAGTTCACCGCGTCGAACAGGCGAGCAAGACAATCTTGAGAAGGGTCTGAGAAGTAGTCATCCAAAGCCATGAGAAGGACTGGCTGTATGCCACGATTCAGTCTTGGTTAGAACAAACAAGATAGTGTACACACCTTGAAGATTTCGATAAAGGAATGTCGGGTGCAGATAGCCATGGCTTTCACGATGGCTCCTCTGCGTATTGTCAGGTAGGCTTCGGAGCGAGCAATCATACCACGCACCTCCGAACCGTCTTGTCTAGTTTAGTCCGAACCAAGTTCAACACGTACAGCAACTCCGGATTACCATCCTCATCTTCCTCTATCCTAGAGGTCCGCACTCCGGGTGTATCCAGCGCAAGGACCGGTGCAATCGTGTTGAGCGGGGTTTGGTTCAAGAAAAAGATAGTCCAATCCTCAGGCTGCCTTTCGGCACCGTCTGGGAGCATCAGATTGGCGAGCAAGCTTGCAACCGTGGCACGTCAATTTGGAATCGAACAAGCTCACAAAGTACATACCCCTCATCTGTGCCTAACGGCTGCGGGAACTGGTATGTGAGTTGTGCGCCACGATCAATGTCGAAGTCGGCTAGGAGAACGAAAGAGCAGTGTTCTGCATCGGTGCGCATGGCACAAGACCACGAGAGTGAAGACAAGCCCAGTCACCTGTCACGGCCGCGCAAGGTAAACTCGAAGGGATTGGTTGGCAATTAAGAGTACGCCAAGGCAAGTAGCGGTGATTGGGAATCAACCGCATGTGGGTTGGATCAACGTTTGGCGATCTCCCGACTCGCACAGAAATGACTACCATCTTGGTCTACTCTTATTGTCATGGGGATGCATACTATCTGGGATTATACGCATACATATACACAATGCGCAGCAACGCAGTTACACGAGAAGAAGACACGAGATAAGGCTAATTCTGCGGACAGACCAGGTCGACGGCGAGAACCATAGAACTCAGAAGTACAGTAGAGCACGGGCGATGCGGGTGGGGAGTCGTCAGAATCTAGTAAGAGCAGCCAGAGCAATCTTGATACGTTCCACGAATTCGATGAGGCGTTGCCGGGTTTTATCTTGAAGGATAGAATCGCATCAGCAAATCCGAACGCGTGCAGTAGTCGCGTGGAGACGAAGATAGTCAACATAGAGTATTTGAATCGCCTACCGACGATAGTCTGAGGTGGCGGCAGTGAGACTGTAGACCTGCCTTGCTCATTTTCTGTTTCGATAATATCGTGAATTTCCTTCTCGAGAGCTTCGGCAGTAGTCTCGCTTGCATAGACGGGACGGGCAGTCGACCAGGCGTGGAATTCCAGCATCAGTTCAATGAGCATGCTGCTTAGCTCTACAGAAAGATCTCTGCAAATGCAACAGGTGCAACAGGGAGCGCATACACTCACTTTCTTGAAACTCTACATCCCTCTTTGACTCGTCCTCAAATGGTCCGATGATGACGCTCTGATGATCAAAGGGAGGAAATTTCTGTGATAAGACCTCGGAAACGGAGGATGCGGACTCGGTCGCTGCGGAGGGGTCCACTGCGTATTAAAAGTGAAAACTTTGGCATTGACGCATACAACGACGCGCCTTACTGGAACAGCTCGTTGGTATCTTTATTACACTAGCCTTAAAGCTGTGAGCATTCAAGCGAAGATATAGATGAGTCGAGCGGAGGCAAAGGGCAGAAACCATCGCGCTCGAGCGAGACTGCGTCGGACTTTCAAAAGGCGAAGTGCTGAAGGACTTTTCGAAGTCCGCCAGACGGTCTGGCCGGAGTATTCCGGGGTGCCAGCATTGTCTGGAGCAACGCCACAAGCTGCCAATAATACTAGACAGCTGAGCTAGGATAATCTACTCTAAGCTATTGTTGAGTAAGCCTACTCCGAGGCATGCCAAAATAAAATCTTCAAATTAGATAGGTATACGATCGGGTATTGGTGATCCCGGAGTGTCGTGCACCCGTCTGAGTTTAACAAGAATAAGAGTACACACATATAAGTTCCTCTGCAGCCATTATAGCGCATGGACCACTATTCCGCCCTCGATATATGGCCTTGGCGACTACCGAGTATATTCATTACCAATCCAGCAAGTTCCCCGACAGGGTGGCCCGGTTGCGGCTTGCAAGAAGCAGGCGGGCTTCAGGACCGTTTGTCGCTCGGGAGTATTTCAGTCATAATCAGGGTAAGGCTCCAATCGTTGCTCTCAGCTCACCAGTAGTAAACAGATAGAATAGTTCTAAGTTGGGTCAGAATACCCAGCTGAGTACAATACAATAGCTGAATAAAACAAAAGCTTACCATCGATACATGTCAGAGACCCCTGCGTGATTCGAACACGCGACCCTGCGATCTGCAATCGCATGCTCTAACCACTGAGCTAAGGAGTCGCAGTGAGTTATTGAGTAACCCTAGCCACATTTTCCATCCTCATCCATGAGCGAAATGAGCGTGTCGCGGCGCGTCGCGTCTCTAGATCTTCGAAGACGAGAGTCGCGCGGCTGGAACGATGGGGGATAGACTTCTACCCGCTCATCACTCGGCACATCAGCCGCAGCCACAGCCCCAACAACAAGGCCCAGCTGCTCAGTTGCGCCAGCATCCTCAACAGCCTGTCAACCATTCCCAGCATCTTCAGCCAGCTACGTCTGCTGTTCGTCCACCACAGCCCAACGTACAGGATATCATCTATGCACTTCCGCATGCCATCGACAACCTACATAGGGATTTCTCGACTCGCTTTCAGCGGATCGAGGTGTTCCTGACAGAACACTTACGCAGGATATCCCCATCTCAGTCTCAGTCCCAGCCCGCAAATGCGACATCATCGCCACCAAATATCACTCACGCGGCATTTTCTGCTACTTTTACTTCTTTGGAGACAAAGTTGAATAGTATTCAACGAAATTTCGCGGACGTGCGCGATGAACGATGCGCAGACATATTAACCATGCGACAGGGGATAGAAGGCATCACTCGCGCTTTGACTGCCCTCGGCGGACGCTTCGGAAAGATAGAGAGCTCCCTGACACAGCTCAGCCAGTCAATCGACGACAACAAAGGGCTGAAAGAACAAGTCCGGACTGTCGAGTGCTTGCTCAACGAGCTCCTCGAAAAATCTGACGATCCTGATGCCGACAGTCAGTGCTCACTCTGCGATACCATACATGAACTATAGGTTGCTCACGAGAAATGGTATAGAAACACTTATCGTTCAACATGATGTAGCTGTTATGACTGAAGGAGCCCTCGATCGTGATGATGTACTGTTCGCAGGTGCGTTGCCTGTCAGGGCCTCTCGTATTCTATCATTAACTGGGCTGCTGCTCGATGCTGCGTGTCCTACAACTAGAAGCATCTCCTTCATGCATGGCAGCACCTCTTACACCGCTTTTAACGACGTTGCCGGTGTTCCCGTCACTATCATCCTCTCCTATCCCCAGCGGATCGGACGCACATGTCGATTCGCCATCGGCACATATACCGTATTGCAGTGCAAACGCAAGAACAAGCTCTCCATTGCCTTCTACCGCCCTCGCCGTACGAGCAAATGCAAGCGCGTCTTCATCAAAAGAATACGCTGAAGCATCGACCTCAACTGATTCTTTGTCCAGTACGCAGCCTAGCCTTGCGGATTTTGTTGATGCTGTCAAAGGACTGGCTAGAATGCTCTCATACTTGTCTTCAAGCGGGCAATTACCGGCATCTCTCCTCGATACGTATCCGCTCGCGCACTTTATACTCCCACAGCAACAAAGCTACGGCAACGGCAGCTTGAGCGAGCATTTTTCTTCTGAATTGACTCGCGAAGCGAAGGGCAAGGGGAGAGGCAGAGGACGAGAGCTGCCACTAGATGGCTACGACTACATGCCGAAACGCTTATCTCCTGCGAAGTGGGACACTCGACAGGTTCGAAGCAGCAGCATGAACACTCCAGGTACGCAATACTGCCATGATATGGTACACATATTGCCTAACTCCCGCATATGCATATCGTTCACGGCTTGTGAAGACCTCACGGAGTCCCCTGCCACTTGCACTAGCAGTCTTCCGAGTGCCCTCGACAAGAGAAGACGCGCGCTCTTAGATACTGCTGTCAAACCGCGAGGGTTCTCAGCGAGTGAAAGTGAACGAAGAACGCGGAGACTCTCCGTCTCGTCATCTTTCTCGAACTTATCCTCGTCGAGGCAGACTTCCCCTGGTATATACCTTTTTGTGAGATGCGGCAGCTCAGACTATTGATGCTGACTTCGTCTGCTATGTAGGCCCCACAGTGACCGAACTGAAGAAGCGCTGGGCGCCTTCAAGTCAGGATGTGAGCCAACTGTTGGAAGATCCCTGCTCTCAGTCGATATCCTTCGAGGTTTACCACGCCGAGACGCGTTCCCAGCTCCACAACGAACAATCTCTTGATGCGCAGACACCTGCGACCGCTCGTCAGAGCGTAGAAGACGACCCATCTGCAATGCGTCAATTTCAAATCAATGAGGTGTCGGAGAGGCAAGGGCGTTCGTCTCGGGGGACCAGAACACCCTCCGTAGATCCCTCTAGCATGACACCATACTTGAGCTCGGATCCGTGTGCTATCGCTCAGCATGTGGAACTTCTGGTAAGCAGAGTTCGTATGCTGGATCCGCTCCCGGCTGAATCCATCCGCGAGCTTGAGATGGATGCCGAAAGTCATGGGCAGCCTGATGACAGCGACGCTGAGGGCGTGAAGGACCTGTTGGGAGACGACGCAGAGGCTGTGGACGCCTTCCCCGGGGCTGGGATAGAGAGAGAAGAGAAGCTAAATGTTGTCGCCCTGACAGAGCAGAGCGTTCAGGAGCTGGAAGGTAAATTTTGTTGTCAGACCGCACAATCTTAACTCAGCGATTGCTTATTCTAGCACGATTTGGCGCAGGACTTGCCACGAGCAGGATAGCCCCTCCCTCTTCGATGCGCTCCGAATCTTCGCTATCGTCTCTAACCTCCTTCAACTCTTGTGTCTTAGATTCCCACTCGGGCTCGAATAGCAACCACACAGCACAGGAGTACTTGCAGATGCGGGTGGAAGAGAAACTCTCGGAATTCGAAGAAGAGGAGACTACTCGAGCCGAGCTTCCGTTGTCTCTCTTTTCATCGGGCAAGCGCAAACGCCGAAGCACAAACAAAGCCCAGGCTGCTGCTGATGAGAGAGCAAAGAGGCAAAAGGTCACGGCCGCGCTCTTTCCGGCGACACCGCCTAACACGCTTGCCACTGCTGGAGAAACAAGCTTGGCAGGCTCCATTTTCCAAATCTCTACCTCGAGTATCCCGAGTGGCAGCACGAGCAAGAAGGATAAAGGTCACGATGGGATCAAGTCATCCAGTGCGGGAACGTCAATATCCGCTCCACCTCCGAGCAAGAAACGTAAGATATCCAAGAATTCTGCACCATCCCCCGCCTCCGCATCTACGTCTCGAGTACTTGTTAAGCCAACCTCCGTCCCTGGAAAGACCGCCAAGAAATCCGCGCATTGGGAAGTTCTCGCGGGATACAACGGGCCGTGCAAGTGGCCGAAGATTTTGGGTAAAGGCGGTTGGGTTGGTGACGTGAGTGCTTTCGAGCGGCAGTGGACGTCCATTCTGAAGTCTATTCAGTTCATACAGTGCAGTGGTTGCGAAGCATGGTACCACTTCGGGTGCTTGAGCGTGAAGAAGAACGATCCTCGTACAGCTGAAGGCGTAGACCTGTTTTGTCCGCCGTGCGAAGCGTCTATGTTCGTACTCCCTTTTGACTTTCCACAACTGGGCCGCCCTTCTGATTGAACTTCTGGCACATATAGCAAGCAACATGGTCAGTGATCCTGCTTTCATGATGTTCGGCACTGACACCTATTTTCATACCGATCAGGGGTCGCTCGCAAGCTGCGCAACATCATCGACCAATGCTGCGCTCGACCGGATTGTACGCTGCATGATGTTGGTGCTAGCAACGACCACAAAACGTACTTCCTTGAGCGAATCATCGGGCGTATCCCATGTGCCCCATCTGGAAACGGAGTAAGCACAAGCAAGGCTGTGGACTTCATGTGGCTATTTAAATGGATGAAGTGAGCGATTTTTGCATTGCTCACGATAGATACGGGATTGATACTATTTTCCGCAGCTATGAGGCGTCACAGTGCACCTGGGAAGACTCCTCGAAGTTGCCGACCAACTGTGACCGGTTTATCGCCGAATTTGAAAGAACAGCACGTGCCGAAGGCTTCGTTGTCGGTGACCCCATGGGATATATCGTCTTGCAAGAAGGCGCGAGAGCTGGGTGGAGGAGGCCAGGATGGTATTAAAACGTTCCGGACTCGAATCCCTTTCTCAATGCTTTCCGCTTGAACGGCCGCACCGCCACGCGTATGTTTCTTGTTTGTCTTTTGTGCGGTACACCTATTGGTTTCTTTGTGTTATCCTCAGACTCTCCTCATGCAGTCCATTTAGCTCTGTTCAGGAGCAATTCCATTCCTATATATGCATGGGCCCTACGCCGCAGACGATATTATCTTCGATTTAGTTTCTTGATAGACTCGACTTTATGTGTGCAAGCTGCTGTGGGCTGTGCCCCAGAGCCGCACACTATAATCATTCGTTGCTAACAAAGAATGCTTTCTTTCGATCACAGGCCATTTGACCACAAGAGCGGCGTCAATGACGTCCGTGTCCCCTGAATGGCTCGATGAGTGGTCAGCTGTCAATTTATTCGTCTGTCCAGCTTTGTCCCTGACAGAATTAGGCATTGCCGGTTAGAGACAGCAGATTCTAGCCCGAATAGCTCGTCTTCAGGCCAGATATCTAGTCCGGATAGCTCTTCTTCAGGCCAGATATCCTGGATATCCTGTTGGTCATTGCGTGCCGGGGCTCCTCCCTTGCCGTTGCGGTGCATTGTTCTCTCCACAATATAAATACTTGCTAGTGTCTACCATCATCCCCGCGCACTCACTCATCCTGATCTTCAGCTTCAGCGAGAACATTATTTCTTCCCAAGCCCCCCGTAGCTCTGTCACTCTTCTCTCAACGCAATTCCCCGCTCCTATCGAACAGTGCGCATACGCGGTAGCCAGTAATTCCATGAGTTCGATAAACGACAACGCGACATGCTCTACGGTGGTCGACGATTACAAGATCGCCTCTGACGCCAGCGTCGTTTCAGAAACAAAGCCACATCTCCGGATAGTGCCTCTCGCGCCACATGATCTGGAGCAATCAAAGTACGACCGGCCGCGTACAATCTACTAGTGAGCTCACTCTGTCCAATTTAACAACATACGCTAAGGGTTATCTTATGCACAGTCCATTCGACTCCAATGAAAGCACTGTCCAACATATCTCCCCTCTAAAAACACGGTTTGAAGCGTTCGTTATACTTGTCACCTTTTCATGGAGGATAATCTTACCCCATTTTCATCAGTCCTCCCGTCTCTTCTGAGTGGATTCGTCATGTGGCGCCTGAGGGCAAGACGTATTTTCAAGCCACAAACCGGGTACGTCTTGGATAGTCTCCGTTCGGGATCGATCATGCTCACCACCTCCGCAGCCACTTCTTACAATGGACAATCTTGAGGACGGTTCTGTGGCGATGGACATAGAGGATGGGGCATCTGGGCTGCTGGCTTGTCTTCGTGAAGTTGACGCTCCCTCGGATACGGAGGTCGTTCTTAGCAAGACGTTTCAAGGCGAGGAGCACGTCATTGGCTATTACTTGGCATCCATCTCGACACAGTCGGTATTTTGGCTGGAACAGGTTCCTTCTAGCCTCGTGTCGATCAACATCCGTCCTGTCATATCCGAGGTGCATCTGGGTGAGACGTCTCGGTCGTTTCTTTATGAGCCACCGTAATATGATGTTTCTCTAGGACTCGCTGTGGCTGCGCAACTCTGGTATGTGGTATACTTAACATCGGCAGAACATTCAGTGGGTGCTCATATCCTGGTGCGCACGCAGGACCCACGTCGAGCTGTTTCCCAATCATCGCGGTCTACCCGAAGCTGCTATACGTGAAATCAAAGACTCGTATATTCATGGACAATGCGGTAAGAACCTGCGGGATTCACACTGTGATGCTTTATTCTTATGGCCTCCGATGGCTTTTTTTAGACATGGAGACGTCCATTACGTCGACATTCCCTTACACTGTGGACAGGCTTGTCCCGCTTTGGAGATGCATTGGCAGTCTCAAAGGTCTGTCTTTCACGTTGTCGTCACAAGCCAACCGTGCTAAGCTTGGATCCTGCAGCGGAGGACGCGAACGGCTACCGTAATACTATTGCCGCTCGCCTCCTCAGTACCCTCTGTGAGTTCATAAACTACTCCGCAAAACCATTACTTATGTCTTCATAGACCAGGCCCGTTTCCAGAACTTCTACGGGGAGCCAGGTGTACGTCTTAGCACCTCTGAAAGTGCTCTCAAAGAGAAAAGCAGTGGCCTTGGGGTCTACGTCTTTGCTCCCATGTCCCTCCTGCTCCTTGGCTTACCACGTCTCTACATGAGTGAGCTCAAGGCCATCTACAAGGACAGTACTGTCCATTACGCGGGCTGGCGACGCTTCATGGCTCAATGTCAGAAGGATCGGCAAGATCTCCTTGTGCCTGTACGTCCAGGACCCTCCACAGCACTGAAAACCTCTGTTTCATCACTCTTTGATCTAGACTCCGATTATGCTCTGCGCCAACGTCGGGCTGTTAGTATTCACGCCTAACGAGTATGTGGCCGCGCGGACGTTGAACTATGTGTCTTCCATATTGCTGTGCTCCGTATACGCCACTTGCCAAGTCCTGGACCTCTACGAAAGAGGATTCAGTTCTGCAACAGCGCAGTCAGCGGCCAGTCCTTCACTAGTATTTCCTGATCCTGCCGCATGTTGACTATGTCTGTCTCTAGGTCAGCCATCTGTCAAAATGGCAGTCTGCTACTGGCGGGTTTGAGTGTTTTGCCGTCGGCTTGAGGTACGTTAGCAGCCCCCGCGGTGCATGCTGTATCGGAAGTGATCCAATTTTTTTTGCAGCTTGCCTAGAGGTCTTTTCTCGTGGGGGTGAGTTCCCTTCACCGGTATATTACTGGGCAAGATTTCGGACTGACTTTATTCTTCCAGTCTTCTGACCTTCGTGACATCCCTGGTTACGAACCTCTTCCTCTCTTCGGGCCTCGCCATGAAGTTGCCTGTCAGCACCGTGCTCGGCACCATGTTTCTCGTGGTTGTTTCGCTCCTTTGGATCGAGCTCGACTGCCAACTCCCTAGGGTCAGGTACATTGCCGCACCGTGGCGCTCACTCATTGATGCTGTTCACGCCCGCCGCCGTAAGAGCGGGCACAACGTTCGGTCTGGTGTTTGAGGACTAGTTTACGTTTGAGGCAGCTACTTAGGTCTGAGAATCTGGGAGCCACGCAGTCGCATTCCTCACAGTACTTTCTTGGATGATGTATCTTGCACTTGGTGACACGCTTGTTTGATTATTTTATACACGCAGATACGATGTTACGATAACTCAGCAGGAAACTTCGTGAGCGACACTGCGCTTGTGTAATATTTGTAGTGGTATTTGATACCTACCCTAAGTGCTGTACGCGCTGACCGAGTAAGAACGGCAAGCAATACTCGAATGAGGCTCTCGTGACCCGTAGGTCTCAGTCGCGTAAGAAAAAACTCGAACCAGTATATATTCCAGCAGCCAGAATCGACTCCAATTTTTTGTTGCACCATGTGACTGTCCGACATAGCCCCTCTACTTCTTACCCTGCAGTCTCCACTCGCCTCGCTTCTCCAGTGCCGTCTTGCCGGAAATGACGGTCACCAGTCCAACTGCAGCACCATATGCTAGTACCTGTCCGAGCTTGAGGTCAGCCCAGTAGTAGAACAGCAGCGCTTCCAAGGCAGTCAGGGAGACAGTGAAGGGCAAGATGCTTGGCGACAGGAGGTGGGGCGTAGACAGAGGTACCTGCGAAAGCTGAAGAGATAAAGATTAGCCGTGCACACCCTGGATACGTCTAGGAGACGCACCAGGCCAAGCAATACAACCCATGGACCACCAACGACAACGAGTGCAGCAAGTCCGCTCACGAACTTGCTCGGCAATTTTTGCTCAGGGCGGAAAGTGTGCTGGATCTCTGGCTGCGGGTGGAACGTTTTCTCATCCGGGTGCTCAGGGGCAGGCTGAGATGGTGGCAAATAGAGGTCGAAGAGCTGCAGGGAGTATGGAGAGTGGTCGAACGAGCCCATGAGCAAGGACACAGTGAGTGGTGCAGTCTCGTTGCCCTGCAAGGGTGTGGGAGGGAGAGATGAAGGAGGTCGAGCCATGCTCTGATTGGTGAGGTAGGTAATATCCAGTTTAGGACAAGTCCAAAATCAGGACCGTCCTTCCATGACAGCTACTTGCGTGAACACGCACCAATTCGAACTTTGCTTTGCCGCTCTGCGCGACCCTCACAGGAACGATGCCCTCCTCTCCACTTTGCTTGTCAAAGAACCGCACAAACGTTTGATGTGGCTGTACGCCCTTGGGCTCGGCATCAGAATCTTGTTCTTTGGTGACAACTGTGAATGCGAGCTTGAGAGTGTCAGACGGCCCCAGACGAACCGGGTCCGGCTCGTTAGCAGGGGAAAGAGAGATGCTAATTGTAAACGAGGTCAGCTAACCAGAGCGTACATCTCAGCGATGCCAGTGGACGCACGGTTCCTGCCGCAGCGGACTAACATCACCTCCAAGGACCGAGAAACGCGCCTGCTGCAGAGAGAGCTGGCCAGCAAGAGTCTCCCTAGCAGCGAGCAGGGACGATAGAACGAGAAGGGACAGTTTCATGACGACACGGGTGAGGACGTTCCGAGCGGGTCGTGGAGAACTGAAGCGTGAGGAGGACGCGACAGGATAGACGCTAGGACACGTCTACAGGCGCACTGGCGCCAGCTTTGTGGCGCTAAGACCTAACCTATATTTAGAGCCATGACAACGAGCTGCGGGGGCGTCTTGGTGCGAAGGCAGAGTGCAGATTGGGTCGAGACCATCAGCTGCTATTTACACTTTTTTCTTCTCTTTATTCCCTGATTGTGCGTGGTTTTAGGTACCAGTGCACTCCACGTTCCTATTCGGGAGCGGCGGTGGCAGAGGCTGGATCTCGCACGAACGTTGGAGGCCGGGAAAGGGAGTGCGGCGAGTTGCGGGGGATGCAAGCGAAGTTGCGGGGGCCGGCGAGGAATTGAAGGCTGTCGCCGGCACATTCATCCATGCGAATAAATTCGCGCTTGGTATGTCTCTACATGTGGCCACGCTAATTGACTGATGTTTCCCATGATATATGGCTTGGACGTCATGTGTTCATGTTACACGTCAACATACTTCGCTTCCGCCGCTCCTGATCCATGCGATCACATCCTACTCGTCGGTCAACGGCTAGCTTCACGCGCCAGCCGAGCATGCAAAAATCGGACATACCATGTGTATTCGCGCCTCTTGTGGAAGAACCCGTGCAATGCCTTCACGTCCAGCTCCTATACCTTCACATGCACCATGCATGAACGTGCGTCGCGTCGGTCGGCTATCAGCATATATAAGAGCTTGTCCACAAAAGAAAAAGCTGCAGCATACCGATAGCACCGCCAGCGAAGATGCTCTTCCGCTCTCTCCTCGTCCTTACCTCTCTTGCAGCTGTTGCGCAATGCCAGAACATTGTCCTCACCAACGATGACGGGTGGGCCACTGCTCAGATTCGTGCTCAAAACGACGCTCTCGATGCAGCTGGGTTCAATGTACGTAGCAGATACCAGAATGGCGGCCGAGCTTGCTCTGACTGTATCCGCAGGTCGTCCTGTCTGCACCCGCAGAAAACGAGTCTGGCACTAGCTCAGACTCGGCACCACCTACCCCGTTGACTGAGCCTTGTGAGTTCAATACGTGCCCTACTGGATCGTCAGCGGAAGGCTTCAACGCCAGCAATCGTAAGTTGTCGCATTTATTCGTGTGCAGCCCGGGATCAATTTATGGTTGCAGCTCGTCTCAACTGGGTCAACTCTTTCCCGTAGGTCATTTAGAGAGGCAGAGAAGTGAAGGCTGCTGACATACATCTTCTTATTAAAGCGTCGATGCTGTCCGTTTCGGCATCCAGACTCTCAGTCCGCAGTTCTTCGGCGGTCTGCCGGAGTTCGTTGTTTCTGGCCCCAACATTGGGAGTAAGCATCACATCTTTTGGGTACCCTGAAACATGCCATGACAATTCTTGCATAGCGAACCTAGGTTCGGGTATTACTGGATCTGGCACAGTGTATGTACCGTTTCGCATCTTTGTCAGGATCCCGCATGTCTCTGACTTGCGGACTCAGTGGAGCAGCCTGCGAGGCCGCGAAAGAGGGCATTCCATCGACGGCGTTCTCCGGCACTTCTACTTCTCAAGTGTCATTCACGACGCTCGAGACTTCCCCTGACTCCACCGCAACTCTCGCGGCGCTCGCCTACTCTCAGCTCACTACCACGTTTGTCGAGGCCCTCCTTGCATCGTCTGCCCGGCCCATCCTTCCCGCCAATACAACGATCAACGTCAATTTCCCTTCGACCTCCGGCTGCCCCTCTGTCTCCGACTTCAACTTCGTCTTCACCCGCCTCGTTGCGAACTCTAGTGCCACAGATGTGACTACCTGCGGCACCGACCACCTCCCGGACGAGACAACCGTGGTACACAGCTCCGGGTGCCATGTCAGTGTGACTGTCATCGATGCCAACGCTAAGACGGATGTGGATGCGACTAGACAGGCTGCCGTTCTGGACAGGATCTCCGGACTGTTGACTTGCTTCTAGTCCGCGGCTGTATATCGTTGTTGAATGTACTGTGGGCGAGTCATAAGCAAGGCATCATAGCCAAGTGGTTAGGGCAGTTCATTGGGAGCGTTATTCCGGAAGATCGATAGGAGACGGAGGTCACCCATGATCTTCCTGCACAACCATGTGAAAGAGCCTATCCGTGATTCAACGCAACTCAGCTTTCGCCGTGATCTGAAGCCGCACACGAGGATAATATATTGGAATACGCCAACATCTTAACTTACGACGAGACGGAAAGCGGCAGCTAATAATTGGACAACCGATGGACTCGCAAAACGTCCATCTCAGAACGATGGATTCACAATCTAGTTCTCTACAGGGCGAAGATGCCCCCTCAGGTCTCAAGGCTGGTTGGGGCCCAGAATAGGCGCGAAACTGAACTGTGGCAGCTTCGCAGTCGAGGTGAAGGGAAGGCTCAACTTCTTGGGAGTGGTTAGCTGCCCGCTACCGTACTGGGGCAATTCAGGAGGTGCCTGGAGAGGATGGCATTCGGTGTTGAAGACCCCTGAGAATCGCGATAAGGTAAAACGCCAAGAGAAGGAACGGGTGATGGCTTACATTCGTCGAGGCTGATGTTGTTGGGGTCGTCGAAGGTGAGCCACCTAGAAAGGCGTAAATAGATAGACGAGGGAACACGGGCGATGTAGACCTACAAGTACTTGAGGACCTCCGCAAACCAGAAGCTCTGCGTGTCATCCATGAAATAATTCGTGTTGAGCATGACGTCAGTGTCGGTGACATTCCAGATGGGTGCGAAACCAGCGAGACCGGGCGTGGTCAGGAATTTCTGGAAGCTCTGAATGGCAGACGCGGCTCGGTCCAGGTATTTTGTGTCACCGGTGACGCGCCAGGCATAGAAGTTGCTCTCCAGCACTTCAGGGCGTTGCAGATAGTAGAAGGCGCCGGATTGGATGAAGAAGCCGTGCTCTTCGTAGAAAGCGAGATCTTCCGCGGTGACAGTCTGGTCAGTGATGTTGCCCTTGTTCGAGAAGTAGGCGAACGCCTCGGGGCCGATGCCGGTGCTAATATGTGACATTGTCAGCTCATCAGACGACTGCTAGCATTTGATGAAAATACTCACGCGGTACTCGCATACGTATTCCAGCAGCCATCCATGAGCTGGAGCGCAATGTCGACGATGGTGTTATTGTTCAAGAGCTTCCCGCCTGATAGTCCGCTCAGTTAAGTATCAAAAGCAAGCGACGTGCGAGTACGTACCCATCAACCAATTTCCGGCCATGTAGCATGCCAAGTGAGAGCCAACATTGATGATGTTGCCGGTCTCATCGAAGTCGGCTAAGTACTTGTGATCACCAACGGTCGACGTCTTCGTGGCAAAGAGAATATCAGCACCAAAGACAGCTTCTATGGACTGAGGACATACCACGAGGAGCGTCCTTATAGACGAGTCGACGGCTGTAGCCCAAGTGTCCGCGAAGATGGTGTCGTTCGTGTTCGTTAAGCGCGGGTACTTGATCAGATACTCGAAGTAGCTGTCAGAGCCACCGCCCCATGTCTGATTGCGATTGCACAGTTGTCAGGACTACTGCTCAGTGCAGATGTGCTGAGGTTATCACTTACGACATACGCGTCGCTGGTCTCGCCAGTCGAAGGATCGATACCTTGACCAGCAAGTCCAGGGAGGGGGTCCGGCTATATTATTCTGTTGACGCCCTTTCTAAAGGGAGGAGCACGTAGACGACATACCAGACTGATGATTTGCCTGACGGAACCTTCCGCCAACTGGCGGTAAGTGTCGTTACCAGTATATTGCCTAGTCACAATTAGGACGCAGTCGACAGTCAGTGGATATCTTTGGACTTACGACAGACGAGACCACTCTAAGGTGAGCTGGCGGTCGGGCATTAGCACGCTCGTAAATATACTGAGTCAACTAGCTTACTGTTCCAGCTTCGGCAATGTTTGACTGCAAAAATTGTCTGAGCATTTGGTAACATCACGACGATGCAGCACTTACAGTGGCAATCTCGGGAGTGCTAGTGTTAAAATCGACTTCGCCGAATGGGACCTTGTTGCTCTTGAAATCGATCAGACATCAGCTGCTCGTTTGCGCGCTCGCTTCATACAAAGCTTACCCCGACCCAAGCCACAGACATCTTGTCTGCGACCTCTTTAGCCTTCTGCACGAGGATAGGGTACTTCTTGCCGCTAAGTTCATATGCACTGAGGGCACCACCAAGATATCGGATACTAGTCTCGAACACGCTGTACAAGCAGCACTAATTAGCGGTTTTTCAACTCGAGCTCCAACAGACCCACCTGACAGTGTCGGTCGTATGAGAAATGTTGAAGTCAACTTGGCCCACGAAGTCCACTCCTTCCTCGAAGAGTTCCTACCAAGATATCATCGGTGTCTGCTTCGAGAGCAAGAACGACGGACACCTACAGTCTCACCCATAAGGAACTAAATGAACTTAGTTAACGTTGCTTAGCAATTCACGTAGGTGGTACCGCTCACCAATGTGTCCAGGGCATCGAAGATAGTCGCACCCCATCCATTACGACCGTCCGTGAACGACTTCGATATAGGCTCCAGATCGTCATGGCCGAAAGCAAACTGTCTAGGGGAATACGAGTCAAAGAAAGCCCCGCAAGAAGATAATGTCTGACTGACTTGTAGGCTGAATAGCTCTCTAAGAAGATGTTCTTCACCGCTTGCTGTTGGGCGGAAGCGTCAGACGGAAGATTAAGGACCGGGTTCTGCACACGTTCGGCAGTGACCCCAGAGGTCCTAAAAGTGGACAGCAGCGCAACAGCAGCGAGGAGGTTCCTCATTTTCGTGTGCAATCCTCTCGCCGCTAGAGTGAGCTAGGGGATGCGGCGACCTTCCGCTGGGGGCGGAGCCGTTATATACGCGTCCTTCATGAATCTAGCTTCCTTGCACCTGTCTCTCTGCCTTGTGAGTCAGCAGCGCTATTTGATTTGCATGGACGCGTCCGAAATTGGCTGCTTGTGGACGTCGGAAGCATCGAGCCCAGGTGCTCGGGACTCCGACAGGTCCCATTCTAGGCGGTGCATATGCTAGAGTGTGTGGACGCGCGAACAGAAGAGGAGCACAAGGGTGCTCACATGACAGCAGGGAAGCTTTCCCGGATAGAAGACGTTGCTACTCGAGATCACTTCTGATGCAACTACCGAGCAGGTCCGCAGGAAGTGGCGAAGCAGCAGGAATGCGTGGCCAGTCAGACTGCAGCTAGGGCGAGACAGATGTAGCAATTGTCTCGTTCCTGCGCGGACAAATGACGGGGAGGAACCAATATAACGCTAGCGCGCCAAGGCTTCAGTAGATTTGCGGCATATGTTGAAAGCGTCTAGAAGATCAGAGTGTTTATAGAACGGAGGAATACGTACGGGGGTGAAACTCGTGATCTAGCCCGTCATACGACGCTCATCAAAGAAGCTAAGAAGACATTAGCCGTCAGAAGAGTGTCATATCGCCGTCAAAGCCGCAAGGGTAGAACCGAAAAGAATTTGCACGAATGTACACTATCTGGCAAAGTTATTGCCAGTATGAATGAGCGCGAGACACAAGTGCGATTTAGTGTGGAAAGGGCACAACTAGAAGTCATTTCATGAAAGCGTTAAGGTGACAGGTGCAATATCCGGGAGCACTCTGTAGAAGTCTTCGTCGCCGATCCACTCTATACCATGCCTACCAACGTCACGAGATCAGCCTACGCCATGTGGGTATTTGAGAAACTCACTTGTCCTTCACATGTGACCTAAGGCCGTCGAAATTGAGTACTTTAGGCTGTTTCTGCCTGGGTCGCGCTGCAGACCTCGGTGGGCGAACTTCCGCGGCATTCTCTCTCGTGGAGCCATCCTCCGCGGCCGACCTTGATGTAGCGGCAGAAGTCTGCTTATCAGGAGTATGGTCCTGTGGCTCTCTAGCTATCGCAGCTAGGGCCTGTGATACGTCCCCGGGTGGAGGACAATGGCGACAAAAATAAATACGACGCTGCCGTTCGGCCCCTGAAGTCGGCGCGACAAGTTTGGCACGCAGTCCGTATTCGATGGGCTGGTCATCTGCAGATACAGTCTCGGGTACAATATCGAATTGCATGCTCTCGTGACGATAGCAATGGTACAGCTAAGGCATGTAGTAAGCCTCTGCAAGGCACAATCGAAGGGTAAGGCTTACGAGAGTGCGAAAGTCCATCCGAATGCGCTGTCGGCAAGACAAACAGATGATCCGGGAACCGAGACTCGCCACTATCTTAGCGGTCCGCTCATCGTCGGCAGCGCATCCAAGCCGCACAAGAAGTCGCTCGACAATATCAATGGCCTATCGTCGGGAGGACATGAGCAAAATCGAGTGATAGATGCGAGAAAGCTCCAGTTAACGTACCCCAGAGTCAGGCGCAAAGTTTTCCGCTTTCCAACTTTCCCTCACTCGCTCGCGCGTTCCATCTCTGCATCGATGCTGGCAAGCACCGGAGAAGTCAAAGGAAACGTTGTCCCAGCCTCGGAGGAGACCCTTATTGTCGCACTCCTTACACCGGAACCGCGCTGTTAAACGGTCCACTGGGTGCAAATTTCCCGGGCTTAGTTGCTCCGACGCATTGAAGCCTAGGACTCTGCCGAGCCCTGTTCTTGCATTATCGCGCCACTGCACGAGCTCTTCGTTGATAAGATGAGCAACGAAGTGCGAATGTTTGAACTCCCCCGCCACAGCAGCGCTTGGTGCCTTGGACGGCTTATATTGGATTCGTTGTACCGTTGGGAGCTTGCGGAAGTCAGTAAGCGGTGGTAGAGGTGTGTCTTTGCATTCAGTTTTTTTCAACTTCCCATACAACTCTCCGACGTCCTTGCGGCGCTCGCGATAATCGTTCTCATCTCTGCGCCGCTTCCGCTTCTCTACCATTCTCAATATATCAGCAGCGACACTTGTCTCGATATTTTCGAACTCTGCGTTCAGTCGCTAAGTTTGGGAGCCGTCAAATTGGCAGTAACACATACCCTGCGCGTGGATGCGCTCCGCATCTTTGTTCTTCTTACGGTAAAGCGTGCCGAATGAACTAGTTTGGAGTAAGTCCCAAACGACCCAGCCTTGCTTGGCTGCCATGGCTCTCGCCCTGATGTCGCCCAATGAGCGAGAAGTGGACGATGGCACGATGTGGTACTCACAGCTTGAGATTATGGTCAAATGCAATAACCTGCAACCGAGAGCAGCCGTTCCGCCATTTTATCAGCTCTTTTGCAAGCTAGACAGATGTCAGTGACGCTCTCAGACCTGAACAAGCGAGAAGCTCCGTCTGAGGTACATACCTCCATGAACGCTTGCTGGTTCTTGACTGCAGAATTCTTCTCTTCGATGTACTCCGCCATCGTCAATTCTGATAGTGCAGCTTTGTTGTATTCATCGACAGCCTCGAGCCAGTCTCTCCTGCGCATCAACAAGTCTACAGCATCTTGCGGCGATTCAGTCATCGAGTATCTCGGATAGCCTAGCAGGAGGTTCAGAGACTACTCTGCAAGAGGGGACAAGGGCTTACCAAAATTAACGCACTCCATGCGTGGAATCCACTGTAAAACAGAGGCATAGCGCTCGTGGCTGTGGCCAGCTAGATGAACGGAATCCTTAGAATTTCTAGACACAAAGCTTATTATATCGTGTTCAGAGTATTGCTTGAAGAAAATGGCGACTTACACCCACGATTGCCTACACGAAGTCGCTCCACCGTTGTCGCGGCAAAAACGCAAGCGCATTGTGAACGAAGCGTACATGGTGTTTGTTAGCTTGCCACATTTCTGAAAGATATAGCGGGCCCTTGAGAGGTCGACACCGAACTCGAGCCAGTGCAAAGACTCACCTCGCAGGGGCCCGTGTCGAATAGCAACGCAGCATAAGATGGTTCTGTGAAGTTAGGTGTTGGGTTCGGAATGGCGGGTTCATAGCGGGCTCGGGCTTTCTTCCAGATAAATCCCGACGCGGGGTTCGTAACTAGCGTAGCGTAGAAGTACTTGCTGGTCCGCGAGAGTGCGAGGATGTCTCGGGGTGTCGTATATGACAGTATCTCCACGAGCAATTCTAAGGGCAATGTGCCTATTAAACATCGTCCTGGAGCCTTTGCATCTTGAGTGTGTTCTGCTTTCGTGCGCTTTGTTTGTGGATGGCATTTGTCCTGCCCGGGGATGGTTGTGGCATCCATGTTAGGTAAAGCGTGGCAAGACTAGTCAAATATGGTGCACTGTGTAGATACAGTTGGTTGTAAAGCAAAAGCAGCCGAGTGCCAAACCAACGCTTGTGTTAGAGTAGAAGCAGGAGCGGGTAGGTGGTAGTTGCGCAAAGGGGCGTTCGCGCTGAGGCGCCCGAAGGCTGGATTAGCTTAACGTGCTCGCGAAATTCGATTATCTCGGTCGGAAAATACATCGCCGTAAGAACGCGGCAGACTATAGCTATAACATAACAGAAAGTGGTAAGAAAAACAATCTGCGTCCACCAAGTTGGCGAATCAACCGAGGTTTGCAATGTTCGGTGTCTCAGTGGGACCGTTCTCTCCCTCAATTATCACACCATGGACCTCTGACACCCGAATGCCACTAGTGGCGAGGGCTTCTTGAGCTTGGCTAGCGGCCTCTGCCAGTACACCTGGCGTGCTGATACCAGCCTGGTTCTTCGCCAGCTCGCCTTTTACCGTTTCCAACATCTTCCGCAAACCTAGTCGTTCGTTGACGAGTGACATCCGCGCGCTCTCGAGACCTTTGCGTTCCTCCTCCAGTAGTTCCTCCAGCTCTTCGAACTGGGACATCTTCAGCTCGAGCTTTGTGAGCGTGAGCTTGATGACGGCTGCAAGTGTCGAACGGATATGTTGATCCTCGGCTTCGGCGAGCTCACGAGCCGCCTTCGCCGAGGACTTGAGGGCAAGGTTCGCGGCGCGGACGACCTTGGAGTGAGGGATACTTCGAGTTGGTTTGGTGGCCTCAGAAGAGACCTCGCCGTCGACGGTCATCTCTTCACCGGTAGCTGCATGAGGCGAAGTAGCTGAGGCAGTTGCGGCATCACCCTCTTTCGGAGCATCCTCTTGCATCTTGTCATCTGATTTCTCCGCCTCTTCCTCCGGCTCCGCCGCGCCCTCACCTTCTTTGGTTTCTTCTGCCTTCCCCTCACCAACCGCGGCCTCCTCCGTGTTCTCCTTCTTGTCGCCGTCGGTAAGCTCCTGCAGCGCCGACTTTGCGGCCTCAGCAGCAACGCCAGGCCCCACTACACCAGCGAGGAACGCCACCACGCTCATGACAGGGTTATCTGCCTGCTCGAACGGTACCTTGGAATACCTCAGAGGACCCATGTTGCCCTCCGCTGCGATATACGCATCCTCGATAGGAAGCTGGAGGAACTTCCGGATACACTGTTGCGCGGAGCGGGATCCAACGTGGCGCTCGATCTCCGACCAGTCGTCGTCGTACATCTCGACACCTTCCAACAAGCGCAAAACTTCTTGATCCGACCAGTCGTCGTCCGCATCGGTACTAGACCCATGGTGTATACCGTTGGCACCCTGGGCCTGCGTCAACTTGACGAAGTCGCCACTAAACATCGAAGAAGGAAAGCGGCCATCGAGGTAGCAGGGTGGACACAGCTCGAAGTTCTTGACCTTCAACGAGTGGTAGCGCAGAGGAGTGCAATCGACCCCACAAGTGTCGCACTGATGCTTATCGGCATGAAGGGTGGATCCGCTAGCTGCGCCATTCGTGAGAGCCTTGGCCTCCTCAGGGCTGACTTGTCGAGAGGCTTTCGCAGTGGTTTGGTAGATAGAGGAGCGCAATTCGAGCGAAGCAGGAGTACTGGGCGGCTGAGGTTTAGATTCTCCGTTAACTCCAGGCTGGTTCGGGTGGTTGGCAGGTCTTGTACCAGGGTGAAGAGATTGCAGACCGCGAGGAGTATCAAGGATCACTCGGAAGTGACCTGTGAATGGTGGGGCCAAAGCAGCCGGTCGTTGCTCAGGATCAATCTAGGTGTGAAGGCATTCAACGATACGAAGATTATCGAAGAGAAGTGTGCACACCTGATAATTTATGAGTCCCCACTGCTCAAGGAAGGCGTGAACGCGCATGATAGCGCAGACGTCTCCTGCCAAATTCCTGCGGCAGGCCGTAACGGTTAGGTACTCGGTCGGCCGTAACCTATACGTGTTGATCATGAAGTCGCGGTAATCTTTATATATGGCAGGAGTTTTAGACCGATTTCGCGAGTTGAAGAACTCAGGGAGAGCGCGTCGCTCGACGGGATGGATCTTTGACATATCGAACCATGCAGCGTAAGAGGGTATAATGACTTCATGAGTCTGAGCTGCGAGATACTTTCGTGCTTGTTCTTCCAGCTTAACTCTTGTCGCCTCCAGTTGTGCGGGGTCCTCCTCGTCATTCTCGTCACCAGATTCAGCGTCCTCTTCGGCGGCATCTCCTCCTTCTGCCATCGACACGTCCCCGCCGTCCTCACCATCATCGGCCTTTAATTGGCGAATAGTTGGCGGCACTGCCGAGCCTGGCGCAGAGTCGGAGGGTGCTGTTGGAGTGTCTATCGGCGGCAAGTTGGCAATGTCTCCGCCTTGGACCGGTTCGAGTTCGCTCCGTTTCCCTGATGCGTTTTCAGGATCAACCGGGGTCGCGCCCTGGTTATGTTGTGGGACGGTCAGTCGAATACGTTTTGGGTCTGACGACGACGGGGAAGGTGAACCGCTTCGCTTCGGCGAGGACATGGTGCCACGAGTGTCTGGATTCCGCCTGTGACAAGGGCGAGATCGAAGTACAGGTGGAAGAACAGCAGTAAGAATCTTTACTTACTGAGGGTAAGCGAGCGGCTTGTTTAGTATTTGACTGTGAGAACTTCTGAAAACTAACTCGTGTATTCCCAGTTGATAAACAATGCAAGGCTAATTCAAGTCTTCACGAAGACCGGTCGAAGTCGACTCCCGACTCCCATTCCAGTACGAGGCGCTGTTCGACTCGTCTTCGTCCTCACTCGTCCTCTACTCTCTTGTATGGGGACTGAGCCTTGGCCCTCAGTTCTATGGCAGCATGGATGCTAATATACACCTCATCTACGATACCCGGTCTTCTTCGTCTCGCCTCTAGAGCGTCGCTTCTACCATGGCACCCCCGCATTCTACCTCAGCTGTTTACTTCTGGCAAGATCTTCGCCAGCTCCCTATCTCTCGGCTCCTTAGACACCATGCCGCCTTCAATGGTGGCTATGAGTCAGCAAAATACGCCGTCTTCCGGTTGGGACGGGTCGTTATTTGAAGATGTATCAGAAGACTATACAGAGCAAGACGCGATTCCTGCTCAGTCTCCGTCGATGCCCCAGAACTCCTCAGAGGCCTTGGCGCAACTCATCGAACGCGGGGATTTCGTAGCTGCCATAAAAGTCAAGAAAACCCTCGAGAAGTTAGGCATTCCCATACAGCGGGATGCCTGTTATGTAGCCGCTGCCGCCGACGTCCTCTACCGTTACTTGCCAGGCGGGAAGAGGCCACTGGCGAAGCGCATATATGACTTTAATTCGTGGGCAACCCTCGTTCCTGCTTCCCAGGCAGTTCAGAACGATTCCTACTTCCAGTCTATCGCCTGGACTAGCAGCCAGGCGGGCTCAGCCGCCTTCCAACGGAGTGCACTCAAGGTTGCTCATATGGGCCTGGCACGAAAGGTTGCCCGCGTTGTGGTCGCGCAAATTGCCAGGCAAAACCCACCCCACATCACTATCGCCTTCATGAGTGCCTTCGCTGCCGCAGATCGTGCAGCAACAGGCAACGATAGGCGCAACAAGGTAGCTTTCAAGCGTCTCTACGGCCTCGCCATCCGCACTCTTTGTTTGCGTGGACTCAATCGCGACGCCGTCAAACTCTTGCGCGATGCGAGAAATCGGGGCTATCGTGTCAATCGCTTCACACTTTCCTTCCTCAGCGTACACTTACGTGCTGCCAGCGACCCCAAACAAATTCAGTTTGTGGAAAAAGAGATCAGGGTGGCGGAAAGTGTCGTAAGAACATCTGTCGCCCCATCTGAGACCTCACACGAGGACCCAGCCCCCCTCGCGTCCCGACATCAGCTCCTTCACAGGCTCAGAACGGCCATCGCGAGGGGTCACCTACCATCTCGATATGCTCTCAATGACTTCATTCGTCAGTGCGTACGGTACCAGGACCACGCGACCTATGAAGAACTTTTCTACCTCTTCAAGACACATCGGAACCGTTCAGAGGCTATTAATTATTGGGCGAGCGTGGAGATCGCATACTACCTGCGTGTGGGCGAAGAGCACGCCGCTTGTCAAGTTTTCACTGAATTCTTTCGCATTACGGACCTTCCAGGAACCGTGAGGAAAATGTTACGCATCGTCGACCGCGGCGGTCGCCATCCCCTTTCACATTTCACATCCAAGGACGCACACTCAGAGAAGATCTGGCCGGACGCACGGGTTTCCTTCCTCTTCTGGCGCATTCTCGTCAGAATCATGCAACCTGGCGAGATAGGGAAGGTGTATGGTGAGCTCAACTCGCGCTTTTCCTCTGCGCGGGAGCGGCTGTCTTTCTTCCGTAACCCCCTCCAAGTGCCACCAGGCATGGAACGCAAGAGGCAGAAAGAACTAGCTGATCTTGCCACGCTACGTCCGGCTAACGAATCGTTCCCATATACCCATAATCACTTCCTCCTCTTCCTGCGTGCGTACGCAAGAATCAATTACGTGAAAGGAATCGTCAAAGTGGTGCGCAGGTTGGGCAGGTTGGGCTGGAGGCCCCGTCAGGGAGATATCAGGTCCATAACCCAGACATACGCGAGAGGAGGGAGCGCGAAGCGAGTGGCTCCGCTTCTGGACAGGCTGGGTAGAGATGCGGAGCGCTACAAGCACTCGAACGAGGTCGGAACATCCAGCAGAACGTCTACACATTTGGGCATGTACCGCGCTGCTATTAGGGCCATGATGGATAACTCTCGTTACGCTGATGCGGGGCGTTTGGCAAGGCACCTACAACGGCGGCTGAAGTACAAGCCTGGCTCCGACGTCAGGACCGACCGCCTCCTGAATAAGCTGTACGGAGAACTCAGAGTAAGCGTTATTCCCTGGCTTAGAATGTACCTAAATGACCATATACTCTATGCCAACAGAAGCCGCGTAGCGAAAGGAAACTGCTGTGACCACCGCTGGACACCATTCCCGCAAGCATATCCAGGCTAGTAAGCGACACGTCTGCTCAGGCACATACCTTTACTCGTTGCATCGACTTAGCTGCGCGGGCACAGACTCGATACTGGTCAATTGACGAAGTCACTAGAGCTGACAGTGTTTCGCGCGAGTGGCTGTGTTAGTTCAACAAACCGCACAATTGGCGATGATTACATGTAATGTAGGATGATTGGTTAAGGAAGCGGTGGAGGGGGCGTAATCTTCAATGATAAATCACAGTAATGCACGAACGAAGAGTCCGTAAAAGAGTGTACCAGAGAAGGACATTAAGGAAAGAGTAATGACAGCCCTATCCGACGTAATCCAGTTAGTCTCGGGACTTGCTCGCCACGAGCGAATATAACGTCCGCGCGAGGCAAGCGAAAGAGTGACACAGCTCTGAAGGTACTACGAAAGTAAAACAGGGAGAAATGGTCACTGCAGATCATTCAGTGAGTGGTCCAGCATGCTTACGAATGTCGCAGCTTACGATGAGCGGCTTGATGCCTATGAAGAGAGGACTTCTCCAGTAGAGGCAGGTGGTGGTGGTGGTGGTGATGGTGGTGCAGTCGGTCGAATATTTGTGTACGCGGGGGGCAGTTCGATTGTCTCGGGCTCGGGCTCTTCCATGTCTGCCCTGGGGCCGGCATCTTCATGCTGCACGATGTTAACGGGTCGGAAGCTGGGTGGCGCAGGCGACTTGCGCAAGTACGTGGAGGTGGAAGCCGACTGATCGGGCGTAGACGCACGCAGAGACTGAGCCTGCTCGGCGGTGAGCGCCGAATAGTGTGAGTTGCGCTGGTCGAGGCTCGGTCGGGTATCCGTCGCAGCGCGAACCTCGGGACCTGTATTTACTGCAGTTGATGATGCCGACGGCCCGGGAACAACGAAGGGCTCAGGCCTGTAGAATTGTGGGAGATTGTCGTTACTGCCGTCGTTTTCGTGAAGGAGATCCATCGGCCTCTGCTTCTGTGTTTCGTGGAAGCGGCGTCGGCGGACAAAAAACACAATTACAAGGGCCAGCGCGACAGCCCCGACAACACCTCCAATTACTCCGCCTTGGGAAAAGACGCGTCAGGATCTAGCCTACAACACCGAGCGTTAAGGCTTACCGACGATGGCACCCACATCTGTATGATGTCTAACAGTTTGCGCTGATGAGAGCACCGTTCGTAGACCACCAGTAAAACGATCTCACCCAGAGCTACTACTACCTATACCCGCACCGGACGTACTCGTTGGATAGCTCCCACCCGCAGGAGAACCAGGCGTTGAAGACGGCGATTGGTCGTTAAGACAAGAGTTGTCACCAAAATTGACAATGTAGGTTGAGCTTCCTCCTGTACCTGGCCCGTGATTGTCACCTCCAAGCAAGATGACAGTCGTTCCTGCGCGCACGGACGGGGTCCAGTTAAACCCTATGCCTTGTTCAGGAACTTGCGATAGATTATTTGCGGGAACGGGGACGGAGAAGGACTGGCCACCAGGAATTATTCCTTGAAAGAACGGAGTCCTGCATTCCTTCAGAGCTGCTGACGCAAGGAACGAACCCAAGACTCACCCTGAAACATTAGCTGCAGGATCCCACCAGATACGTGTGTTTGCACACTGTGTAAGGCTATTGGGGACGAGGCTGTATACCCAAAGCGGGGCGACGCTAGAATCGGTGCTGTAACAACTTGAACCCCCTCCCGACAAAACTGTCACAACACCACTGGTGCCTCCTGAGCCAAAGCCGGAGCTGTCACTGACGACAGCAACGAACTGGGAGTTTTGAGGGTATTTCAGCTGGAATGAGGTCGAAGTGCCACTAAAGCTCTGCTGGAAGATTGTGCGGACTTCGGTATTGTTGGGCAGGGGAGAAGGACCGAAAGGGATGATTAAAACGCTATAAGGCGGGTTACCAGAGCCAGTGAGGGAGATGGTGAGGCCCTCGCATTCCTCGGGCGTGCTGCCGAAGTTGAACGAGTACGCAGAAGACAAAGTTGGCAAGAGCAGGAGTGGTAGCAGACAGGCGAGCATGCTCGACGGTGATGGCAGAGTTAGAGTGAGGGCAAAGGCACTATCTGCACTCGATACCCGAGACAGGAACACGTCTTATGAGTGAGTCGACTCCAGAGTCTCTCCACACCAAACTGATCACTGGATGACGGTAGTAAGAATCCGCTACGGCGCTTGCAGTCGGCCTCTGAAGTCGTTTCACACTCCGTCGGGATGGCCCGTTGCCGGGCAATCCTTTCTCACAAGATGTTGTCCAGTGAGGGATAAGATATACAGTATAGGACCACTCCTTGGGACACCTGATCAATATTCACTTCCCCTTCGTATGTCTCTCGCATATAAATACTAAATAAATCGCATTATATTACTACAACATATGAAATACCTCAGTGCAAAGCTGCAAGGCGAAAAGACGAAAGCTGGAGTCAAGGCGAAGGACACAAGACGGAGGTGGTCCAGGACAGCGGCTACCACTCCTTGGGACAGGGTGACTGATGTGATAAAAGTGACAAATTGTGACCTGTACCAGCAGTCTTGGCGGACGCGGCAGTCACGCGGCAGTCAAATTTGTCACGCCTCAGTCACGCCTAAGCTCAGTAGAATCATCTCTGATGTATTCCAGCTCGACACTTAGCATCTGAGCATTAAGCGCACTTTTCACATGAACGGAGCATAAATTCGAGTACTAACGAATATTTTCGCGAATTTTAGGCTGACTGTGCGACTCTGGTGACGGTCGCGGCATCACTGAAGCCGGTGCGCTTGACAATTTTCGAGACTTTTTGCTCCCCCACCTACGCTACAATCACCGGATGGCTCTGAGCTTCTAATGGCATATAGATATAGATGTATTGTATACAGTAAAGTGGTAGTGATAGGCCCTACAGGTTGTGCGAGGGCAGAAAGTGGAGTGTCCCAAGGAGTGATGCTGTCCCAAGGAGTGGTCCTACACTGTATATGCGCAGAGCCTATGAAACTACACGTGGAGGATCCAAACTGTTGGAAGGGCCGTAGCTGTAGTATAGAGCTGGAAGGACACTGCAACTGATTGATTGTTTCAGACACCCCGTTGCACAGCGCGCGGAATCCAAGCTTGGGGTTCGTCATTGAATAGTGGCTGACTAGCTGGCTGTGGTTGTTCAGGGGGTGCCTTCGGCGTAATTGGGCCGGCACCAGCACCTCGAGCCCAATTTTCGGCTTTTTGGTCGTACTCAGGAGCAGCAGAGTGGGCGGACTGAACCTGTTGCTGAGCGGCAGAGGTAGCAGTAACAGATGGCGAGGCTGAGGCCGAAGCTGAGGCTATGATTTGAAGTCTCTCTTCAATGTCACGGGCCTCTATTAGCGCAGCATTGAGACGAACGCGCCCTTGTCGCTCAAGATCTGCCGCAAGTTCCTGCGACCATATAAGCCAGACAGTAGCGCGAAGTCTAAAATAATACTCACTTCGAGGCTAGGCGGATGGACTCGCGTGTGTGACATCCAAGACGTCCACTGAACTGGACTTTGGTCAACGCCTGCATTAGGAGATGATAAAGAAGCTCGCACTCGGTAGCCTCTTATCCCCAGCTACGTACGTCCACATGTCGTACCCCGCTCTGTACTTCACAACGCGTTTTGGTCGGCCTCGTACTTCAGATCGATACAATCAATCGTTAGCCTTGCCGCAGCGGTGGGACAAGTACACTTACTGTCATTGGGATTGGGATACTCGAGATAGCTATTTCCTATGTTCTCGGATGAGATTTAAAGTGCCAGCGAATAACGTGCAGTAGTTGCGGTCGCACCTTCCAAGTCATGGCCGATGAACCCCCTCTGCATACACAACCATGCGCTGTTACGGAGAGCTTCATCGCAATCATGCTAACGACGCACAGGTCTGCGCATCTTTTGCCAAAGTCGCTGGAGGAAAGACATGTTTGCGGAAGGGAACGAGGTGACGCGCAGGCAGCACAGTACCAAGAAGTCATGTCACTATACTTAGTCTTACTAAAGTAACAAAGGTAAGTGGGTTTTCGATGCCATCAACTTATTAATTTACTGATAACTTAGTCCATAGGCGCTTCTTACTGAGGTGGTAAGAGTAAGTGTTCACGCGACGCGCGTGCACTTACGCGTCTCACTTACATACCTGCTCTTACACCTATCGCCATGGCGGACGTTCCGATGAAGCTCGCAGACGAGAAGAAGAAGGAAGAGAAGAAGGAAGACCCGAAATCCGAGGAGGAGGAGAAGGAAGAGCCCAAGAAGGAGCCACCAACCGTTCCTCAAGAGATCAGGTCGAATGCTCTCCTCATTGACCGGGCAGTCTCAACACTCGAACCCCGCTTCACGCTGCGGGTATTGCGCACACTCACGGCTCTGCGAAAGCGTCTCAACAGCAAGGTGCTTGCGGAGGCGATCGAAGGTGTATATCCTTCAAGTACGTCTGGGCTTGTTCTGGCTGTGTGCCGGTACTGAGCGTCCACTTACCACCAGGCTCTCCGATCAGGCAGTCATTGGTAACATGGCTGCCGACTCGTGAGTCTGATGCCTCCATGGAGGTTGATAACACCGCACCTTCTCAACCTACTCCGAGCCCTCCAAGACAGAACATCGAACCCGTGCCAGAGGTCGAGATCTACTTGCGGCTACTCATCATCTACCACCTGCTTTCAGACAAGAGCACGTATCCAAAAGCTGTGGAGCTGATACAGCAGACTGTCCAGAAGATGCAGTCCTTGAATCGCAGGAGTATGGACCCTATTGCTGCGAAGGTGTGGTACGCGGTGGAGAGAACGTACGAATTGGCAGGCGAACTTGCAGAGGCGCGTCCGTAAGTGCACAATCTCGTCATCCCAATCCTATATTCTCAATAATTGTACTAGACTGTTCTTGGCTGCTCAGCGGACTGCCTCGCTTCGCCATGATGACGAGACACAGGCATCGCTCATCAACCGGCTGCTCCGCAACTACCTCCACTATAATCTGTATGATCAGGCCGACAAACTTGTTCTCAAGACGACTTTCCCCGCCTCTGCTGGTAACCCTCAGTATGCTCGCTACCACTATTTTCTTGGTCGTATCCGAGCCGTGCAGCTGAACTACAGTGCTGCACACGCCAATTTGCAACAGGCCATCCGCCGTGCGCCTCCAGCAACGACTGCGCCTGGCTTTTACCAAGCCGTCCACAAGCTCTCCGTTGTTGTGGAACTACTCATGGGAGACATCCCGGACCGTGGTATCTTCAGGCATCCGGTCCTTGAGAAGGCATTGATTGGCTACTTCGAGATCGTGAAAGGTTTGATTCGCGCTTGCAAGATTATTGTTAGATGCTTAACTAACTGCTGCGTGCAGCTGTTCGCACTGGTTCGTTATCCCAGTTCCAATCCACGCTGTCGGAGCACGCCGCTCTGTTTGAAGCCGACAAGACGTACACTCTGATTGTGCGTCTTCGTCAGAACGTCATCAAGACCGGTATCAGGCGGCTCTCTCTTTCATACTCACGCATTTCCCTCCGGGATATCTGCGTCAAGCTTCACCTTGACTCTGAAGAAGACGCAGAGTACATCGTCGGCAAGGCGATTCGTGACGGTGTCATTGACGGCCACATCTCGCACGAGCAAGGCTGGCTGGAGTGCGGCGCCCAGAAGAGCGGCTACGGCTTTGAGGTCAGCGAAGTCTTCATGCGCCGTATCCAGTACTGCCTCGAGCTGCACAACGAGAGTGTCAAGGTGCGCTTGTTCTTGTATGAGTTGTATTGGGGGATGCTGACGATTGTGTGTAGGCGATGCGATACCCGCTCAATGCGCACCGGAAGGAGCTAGACGCCGCTGAGGCCGCGCGTCAGCGCGAGCAGGAGCTACTTAGACAAGTCGGCGAAGATGGCGGAGGCAGCTTCGATGATGAACCCGGTCTCGGCGAAGGTTTCTAGATGCTATTATTGCGGTGTAAGAATAACAGTTCGTTTCGCGCATTACGGGGGATCTTCGTGAACAGCGGATCCGTTGTCATTCCGCCGAGGTATGCTGGAAGATAAAGTTGAAGATCGCCAAGAATTGAATCAAGTTAGTCTTTTCCGTCGCTTGTGGCAGACTGGCAGCCGCGGTGGAGGGCTCTCCAACGTAGGTATGTGCGTCTTCCTACCGCCATCATTCATTTCATTCTCCATTGACCTCCTCCTTCAGTCCGAAGCATCTTTGAAATGTAGTACATTGATCACTAGCCTTGCTGTTGACAGGTGCCTGAGCATAGCAAGCAATGTGACCTATACCGGGTGCAATCAGCCTGCGTCTCTAGTGCCGTGCTTTGCCTATCCGACTTATGCACTTGCTGGCCATCGCCAGAGCTTACTTGAAATAACATGGCTTCAAACTTTCTGCGGAATAAGCGTTTGCGCGTTCGTAGTCTGTCTCCTCGTGCTAGTCCATGATAAATTTAGCTGACTCGCCCTCCGCGCGCGGCGCAGGAGTTTGAACTGGCCCGTGAACCCGTGAACGCTTGAGTTTGAACGCCAGTCTAATTTGAGCGGGAATGAAGTGCACATTTAGCGTGATAAGGTCAGGGACTCTGCCGTCAGCGGGCTAGCTGTGGGAAACGACCGGCGACATATGCTGTCGCTCATTCGCCCATGCCCTTGCATGTGCAGCAGTTCGCACGATAAGCAAGGGGCTTCGTGCTTCCCTGCAGATGCAAATTTCTATGCTTTCGGACTGTAGAGACGAACGCTCAATTGACGAGGGCCCTTGAGGCGGTCCGCGGGGCAACGTGCTGTGCACGGGCCTTCAACGGTGGGCGATTCCAAGCAGCTTGTCAAGCGGAGACTTTATTGGCGAGAGTAAGTCTGGGCTGAACTATCTCCACGGATGCTGATGTAGTCGTCCTAGATTGTCGGCCTATCGCTGCTTGCGGGCACGGGGCTGCCCCAAGCCCGCTTCTCGTGCTCAAAGCCTGTGCCTTGCTCTGGGGTATTCCCGCACTCCAGCCTGGCAAGCGCCGGTCGTCGCATGTCTGAGACGGAGGCGGTTCACATAGCGGGTACGTTGATACGCCACGGCCTGCTCTTGTCACTGAAGCTCATTCTTCCGTCCGCACCTGTGCCGAGCGCCGCCCAGCTTCTCGTGTCATCAGCGGAGGGAATGTTGATATCATCGCTAGGCTACGCTGCTCTGGATCCGGGCTTAGCGTCGGCCCTTGATGCATTGCCTTCCTACTGGAGTTTCAGGATCTGTCTGACGAAATAGAGTTGCGATGCAAGGGAGATATAATGCGCGCCGGATGCGGTGAGCCACACTGCGACTTTCCCTCCCCTTGGTTCGTTCGACACTATGCCACCTACGCCGCTTCGACTGTCGCTTCCCCTTCCTCGCCATTATAGGGCAAGAAAGGCTGTACTTGTGGGCGTCCGCTACACCGTACTCGCGAATCAACAGCCACGCTCGAAGTATACTCTAACGAGCACTTACTCGGACGTTGAGCACCTTCATGAGTTCCTCACAGGTGAGGATTGTAGTTTCATGTCTAGGACGTGCTCTTCATCTACCGCCTTGCAGAGACGATGGACTTCCCACGTGAAGATATAACCGTTCTCAAGGACGACGTTGACCCTCAGGATGCCCGGTATCCCAACAGAGCCAACTTGGTGCGTTCCCATCCTGTTTTCGAGTGGCGTTGCTTATGTGAAGTGATTACAGCTGAAGGCAATGGAGGACTTAGTTTCAGATGTGCGGCCGGGTGATCATCTGGTCTTCCATTGTATGCAAGATTATCTGTCGTTTTTCAAACATTAGGTGCTAATCGATACACCAGTCTCTGGTCATGGATCTCAGATACCCGATGAGAACGGCGACGAGAAGGATGGCATGGATGAAGGTAGAATTATTCCTTGCATCTATTCGAATCGCCTCTGACGAGCAACTAGCTATCTGGCCTGCGGATGTGGTGCCGGGTCAAGGACTGTATGATGCGAATAATGTGATCCTCGATGACGTCGGTATTACTCCTCCTCGTCAGCGGACTCTTATCTCACTGTCTCTCAGACAATCAAGGAAATGCTCGTCGACAAGATCCCGGCCGGTGCCCATCTCGTTGTGAGTACTGACACATTTTCACGTGTGGCCGACAAATACTTACCGGCGCATACTCGTAGATCATCCTTGACTGCTGTCACTCGGGCAGCGGGGCAGGTGAGTCTCACTCACCGCCTCTGAGATACTGATCTAAAGAGAGCCGCAGATCTGCAGCACTGTCATAAAGACCATTTCTCGGAGCAGGTGCACGAGGAAATCCTGCATCCCTTACCGGCTACCCGGATTTCCGTACAGAAAATCGGTTTGAAAGGGATCACAGGTGACAGAGTAAAGAAAGGTAAGGATGCGAACGTGACTCTGGGCGGGTGCGAAAGAGGCTGATTGCATGTGCGATGTTTCAGACACGACCTCCCCCATCTTCGCCAATGTCAATGGTGGTCCCACCATCAATATACTGTCTCCTCTTACTCCAGCCACCGCGGACGCCTTCTCCCCGGACTCTGATTCTCCATCCTCGACTCCTGCCTCCTCCCTGTTCGAATGGTCGTCCTCAGCCGCGTCGACCCCTTCTTCCGCAACATCGTTTGAGTCTATGGAGGAGCTGCCGTTGTACCGAACCCCGAAACACCCTGTGGTCGTAAGTAGGCTGGCTCTTTCGGCTTGAACTGTTGGTAAAGGAGACATTAGATTTCGTGGGCAGCCTGCCAAGACCCAGATACGACGCTCAGCCTAGCGAATTCCGGGGGCTACTTCGTCAAGGCAAGTCGATTTATTGTCTGGTGCGAGATGCGAGCTCATGCTTCCTTGTCAGGCTTTCGTAGAGGCTTTCCGTAAGTCTTTGGTGTTGCTCTTACGTACTTCGACATAACACAGAAGAATAGGCGAAATGCAGAACGCTACGCACGAGACTTTGCTCCATCTCATCAAGTACTTTTTTCTTTCTTTGGTCAACTTTGAGTGGTAGCTGATGACAAAATGCAGGGAGAAAATGCAAACGTCTGTCACGCACTTCGTCGAAGAAGTAGCCCATAAGAAGTATCCACGTCCGCTTCCGCATGTCCCGGCGGCCCCACAGAACTTCTTGGAAGCACATGCAACAAAACATCAGCACGACAACGATGAGACGAAGTTCGAGAAGAGAATATGGAACAAGCTGGAAAAGGACAAACAGGCTCATCCCGAACCAATGCTGGCGACGCTCCATGACTACGTGCGTTACTTCTCTTGCGAAGTGTACGAGAGGTCTCACCATGACTTGTTACTAGCGCGGCGTACTCTGTACGCCAGTAGCAGCTGTCTTTGGTGTCGCTGTGCGGTCCGTTCAGAAAAAAGGCGCGGTTGGGAACCCCTCTGAAAATGAAATGAACGTCGAGGGTGACGTCGAGACGTCTTCGGATCATTAATCTAAACTACCTCCGCAGAAGGAACGCATATCTATTCAAGCATGTCGTGTAGCAATAGTATTCCGAAGCATGGCTAGCTATTTTCTTACCTATCTTTGCCGTGGCGAGCCTAAGCTGGCGCGGCTCACTACTTTCCCTATATCATCGTATAGTACTAAGCCATATACACTTGAGCACTTAATATATGGCTTTGATTCGTTTTGCTGCGCTTGACCCAGGACAATGGTAAGTCCTTGTTTGGAGAAAACGCGGTAGTTATGTGAAGTTGTCAGTGCCTGTGAATAGCTGAGAGCAGCGGTTACGGCCCATAGCTCTCGGCTATCGGGGAGGGGGGGTGCAGCAGAGCTATCGCGAAAATTAGACCAATGAATGGCGAAGGTCGAGAATGAGAGCTCGCGCCAAGTCGATGTAGGTCTGAAGATCCGACATTCTATTTAATGAAGCTACGCAAGCAAAGCAATTGGAGCTTCTTTCAACCACTGGCCAGGAACGCATCTCGGCTATGGAGTCCTCTGAGGGGCGATTGGTTTGTCCGAATAATGTTATTATTCTGATCGCAAATAATCACTTCCTCCTTTTAAAGACGAGAGATACCCCTGTCGGCCTGCAGATTCGATGATTAGCGCATTTTCAAATCTTTGCTATTTCCCGAGTTGAGAATCCAGACAGCTACTCACGTCAATGTCAGGACGGACACGCTCTTGAGCACTCTGTCCCTCCTCTGCTGCTCCGTCTCACTCCTGTACTTCGGCTCGTCTTTGACATGGATGGTGAAGCGCAAGACGAAGAGCACGAGAACTGCGATGATCTCAATCTCCGCGAAGCGGCGCCCGAGGCACGCGCGCGGGCCACCACTGAACGGGAGGTATGCGTCCCGCGGCCAGTCCGAACGAGTAAATCGCGAAGGGGAGAAAGTGTGTGGGTCGGTCCAGTATTTCGCTACACAAGATGAAGACTCTGAGGACACGGGCCGGGCAGGGGGGACGCGAAATACGTACGATTGTAGTGCAGCCCTGCAGTGTCAAACAAGACGTCGGAACCCTTGGGTATGAACACGACCACCGGCTCGCCTGCATCATTTGTCGTTTTGAAAAACGCGTCATCCGCCGCACGCTTTGGGATGCCAAAGACGGGGGGGAACATCCGGAGCGTCTCGCATAATACACTGATCTTCGTTGTCAGATTGCACCTCTTAAGTGAGGATTATGTGATCTGAGACTAACGCGTCCGCATAGGTAAAATTACGCAGATCTTGATAGCGTGGTAGCTCGCCCGCCGGAAGGATTGACCTTATTTGCTGATAGAGTTTTTCTTGCTCGTCTGGGTGTAGTGCCAAGAGTGCGAGAGCGTAGCACAGGGTATGCCCAGTCGTCTGTGAACGGTCAGCGATGTCTCCAAATCTCCAGCAGCAAACGTACTTCGTTCCCTATGTTGCTTTAGAAGTAAGTACCTGGGCTGTTTCGCCATGTCTAACGTACCTGCAATCAGGAAAATGAATACGTTGCCTACAGTTTCTAACTCAGTTTTGTTACATCGTTGTACGGAGACGCACGGAGGCCCACCCATGAGTTCCTCATCGGTCAGCTTCAATTCCCCCTCCTCCTCCTCCTCGCTCGCGTCTAGCAAACCATTGAACAGGTCGTATCTCTCCTCTTTATGCTGCGACTCGCGACGCTGCCTGATCATATCTGACATATACACCTGTAATCTCATTTAGTGCGCGTTCGGCTTTCAGGTTGAAAAGCTCACTCCCAGTTCCTTAAACGCCGTGTTCGTATTACGCATTTTCTCAGTGGGGCCGAGGTCGAGCAGCCACTGCGGTGTCGCAATCTTGGTGAATACGCCCGTCGACATGTGGTGCATGACTTCCTTCGATGGCAGGACCGGTCGCAAATTAGTATATATTTGTGCACTGTCCAAAGTCCGAGTGCGTACCTTGAACGACATCTTGTAGCCTTCTGGGCGCTCTTCCCCGCCATTCCATGCGATGGCTTGACCAAAGCCTGCGGAACTAATTACAAATAATGTAATCTGTAGTACTAGTTCAGGCACAGTTGTATACTCCCAATGTAGAGGCGTACCGTGGCGGTAAGTGCTAATGCATCGTCCACAACAATCTCGTCCTTTCCAACCCATATATCGAACAGTTCTGTCACGACGCGGACGGTCTCCGACCAGACGAGCCTGTTATTTTTCTTGCTCTCTGTTTAGCCCCCGTTTCCATCCAGTCCAAGACACGACACACCTCGGAGAACCCGGGCGAGCATATCCTCCGGTAGCGTTTCCAGGCGTCGTGTTCTGATGCCACGATGTTTGGGCCATACAGTGACAGGATGTCGTATATCTCTACAGGTTTAGGGAAGCGCGAGCGAGCAGCGGTCATCTCCTGGCAATCTTGGCTCTCAGCCCGACGTTCACGTTCATGAGAGCAGTACGAGGACGCACTCGGAGGATTGCCGGGTCGGCAATCACAAACAACGCCTGCAGCGGATGGGTTGAGACCTGGCATGCTTCTGTTAGCACAGAGAGCCCGCGGGCGGGTGGGAGGAGGGCGGAAACGCACGATCGAAATGACGTCGAGTCCGAACTGCTTGAACAGCGCATGCTTGCCATCGAACAGCAGGTTGGCGCCGTGTGTAACGTACGGGATGCGCATTGGGATGATCCACCGCGCATGACCGAGTAGGCTTGTCGTCGCACGCAGCCCAGGGAGGAACCTGTGCCTCGGTGTTCGCCAATCTGGATAATATAATGACCGCTGGATGGTACACGCACCTAATTTTTGCGAGCAGCTGCCTGAACTGCACGAGACGCGAGATGACGTGGTACACCGCGGCGGCGAGGAGAACCCATGCGACCAGCACCATTGCCTGGTGGAACAACAGTGTTGGGAACAGGAGTGGGCGAGGTGTAGGTGGACGTTGCCCTGTCTCCCGCTCACCGCTGCCTCATTTTGGCACGAAAGACGCATGGGTTTTCCCTTTGCAGATTCTCGGGAGCTAGTCCCTGTCTCCGAAAAGGAAGAAGAAACGGCAAAGGATCGCCTACCCATTAGACGCCCGGATCATCCGGCGTCTTCTGAGGTAGCTAGTGTATTCTGCCGTCCTCTCATGTGTATTTAACCCTCGGATGCTTTGGAATTAAGTATTTAATTCGTTAAGGTGTACCTGGAATTTTAAAAAGAATTTTCAACTAGGTCTTTTCCTGCCCAGAGTGCGATCATATCTCGTGAGGCAGATAGCCATGCAAGCGATTCAGAAACTTGGAATACATTTTCAAAATGCTATATCATTGGTACAGTGTATATAGACATATCAATAAACTTTAGAGATTATGCTGCTGTGCCAGGCAGAGGCAACTGTCCAACGTGCTTATGGCAGAGCGATTTCGTCACCCGCTTCGGGCGTACCGCTGGTCCGAGCTAGAGAAGCAAAACCTTTCAGGCTTAGAGCTGGAATGGCTCTGTGCGGTCGTCTGAGAAGCAGAACTTGAACAAGGTCGTATCATGAATGCGTGAAGGGCCCCTTGTACCGGCACAAAAGAACTCATCCGAGCTCGTGGCAGAAACGATAGCCAGTGCCCCTAGTCACGCGCCTCCACTAGCTGAGGATTACGCGCGAGTTCGAGGCTGCCAGTGATCGCCCGGGGGTGCCGGCGAATGCACACGCTTCCCCAGGGACCCACAAGTAAACAAAAGTCTTCTTTCCTTTCCTTCATGATGTCTGTGCACCCCAGTAGCTGGCGGATCCACTAATGAGCAGTCTTAAACTCACGTAAGCGTAGTCGACCGAACTCAACCTCATTCTCGCATGAATGTCCTGAATCTCATTCTGAAGCGACACAGTATCTATCGTGAAAATATCCTGCACGTCTCCGGATGAAACAGAGGTTACCGCCGGCGGGTCACGGGCGAGCATGGTCAGGCATAACATGGTCTCCCACTTGCACCACGATGATACACAAGTTCAACGCTCAGCGCTCAGTTCTTAGCCCGAGGCTGGCGCACGAAGCAAGGTTTCGTGGCCCGAGATGCGCCCCTTCGCAGATCAGAACGCGGTCACGTGCTACCGCCTCTTGAAGACAAGCGGGACGCGCAACGGCCTGCAAAAACACGATTCACCCCATCAGCATCACACCAAAAAGCACACCAACCCAGACAAGCACAGAAAAAGCAAAGAAAAAGCAAAGAAAAGAAAAAAAAAGAAACACGCACGTCATGCTAACCCCCGGCCGGCTACGCGTCACGCGCTCGAAGCGCGCGCGCCAGCCCTCGCCCGCGAAGCGCGGCTCGTCGAGCACGCCGACGCGGTAGCGCAGCACGAGCATCGCGGCCGCGGCGACGGCCTCGGTCTCGCTGAAGCGGCGCCCGAGGCACGCGCGCGGGCCCGCGCTGAACGGCAGGAACGCGTCGCGCGGCCAGTCCGCGGCCAGGAAGCGCGCGGGCCGGAACACGTCGGGCTCGGGCCAGTAGCGGGCTGCGTGGCGCGCGGGGGTGGGTGTCAGTGGATAACTGAGGGCGGGAGGGGACAGGGTGCGTACGGTTGTAGTGCAGGCCGGGCGTGTGCAGCGAGATGCTCGAGCCCTTGGGCATCGGGATCGTCGTGCGCGCGCCGGCGGCGTTGGTGATCGTGATCGCGGTGTCCTCGGCGACGCTCTTCGGGATGCTGTGCACAGGCGGGAACATGCGCAGGGTCTCGTACAGGACGCTGTTCGCGCTCAAAGTCAGCGAGGTGGACGGTGCAAGAGAGGCATGGCGAGGGGCGCACGCTTCGCAGTACGACAGCGACCTGAGGTCTTCGTACTCGGGCAGGCGTCCGTCGTGCACCACGCCCCGGACGCTCTCGTACAGCCTGTCTTGCTCCTCAGGGTGCATCGCCAGCAGCGCGAGCATGTAGCAGAGCGTGTGCGCGGTGGTCTGCACAAACGCGTCTCAGCGGTGCCGCCGCTCCTGTCACGGCGCGACACGCACCTCATGTCCTACAGCCGCCCGTCAGCCTCGGCCAAGCAGGAAGGGAGGACTCGGGGGAAGGCACGCACCTGCAAGCAAAAAGATAAACAAATTCCCTGCACATACACACACCAAGACCCATCAGCACCACACTCTGTCCATCCCCGCATGCACGCACCGATCAGCTCCGAGTCCTGCAGCCGCGCCACGCCGCCATCTTCGTTCGCGTCGAGCAGGCTGCTGAACAGGTCGTACCGCGCCTCCTTCTCGGCGGCGCCGGGCCCCTCGCGCCGCGCGCGCGTCATCTCGCGCATGTACCGCTCGAGCTCGTCGAACGAGTCGCGGACCGCCGCGAGCCGCGCGGTCGGCGCGGCGCGCAGGAGCCAGTCGGGGATCAGCAGACGCGCGAAGACGTTCGACGACACCGCGTGGAGGGCGTTCTGGTGGCGGGCAGGTGGTGAGCGCGGGTGGAAAAAGAATGGAGTGTGGGGGCAGGCGTGTGTGTGTGCTCTCACCTTGAAGGTCATCGTGTGCCCCGCGGGCACGACGTCGTCGTCCTTCCACGCGATGCGCCGTCCGAAGCCTGCGACGCCGATGACAAAGAGGGCGATCTGTCAAGGTTTTAGAGTGGGGGTGGGTCGTGATCCAGGGTCGGCGAGAGAAAGGTCCAGAGAGAAGTCGCCACAGGTCAAAAATAACGACGAGCGCACAAAATCCGCATGTGAAGAATTAGAGTGTGCGAGAGGCGATGCAATGAGCAGCGTCCAGGCCAGATGATGCAGCAAGGACGTGCTCACGGGAAGGGTGATGTCCACGGCGTGCTCGACGCGGATCTCGTCCTTGTCGCCCCACACGTTGTCGAAGAGGTCCTGCATGATGAGCCGGGTCTCGTCCCACACGAGCTTGTTGTTCCGCTGCCAGGATGCACGCCGCCTGGTTAGCGCCACATCACAGCTCGTTGATTTCGGTCGACAAACCTCGGAGAACGCGGGCGCGGTGATCTTGCGATATCGCTTCCACTGCTCGCCCTCGCTGGCGACGATGTTGCCGCCAAAGAAGGTGAGGAGCTTGTACTGCTCTGTGGGCTTTGGGAAGCGGGCGCGGTACGTTGTGATTTCCTGCCACGGGCGTCAGCGGAGACGGTCAGAGCAGAAGAGCGCCGAGAAATGCCTTGATTGCGTCGGCATCTGCGACGTAGAAGTTGGTCTTGCTTCCGTTGAGGGCGGCGACCTAGCGCAGGTATTTGTTGAGTAGAATGGATAGAAGGAGGAGAGCAGCGTACATAGGTTATGACGTCCCAGCCGTACTGCTCGAAGTCGCGGTGCTTGCGGTTCCACATGTGAAACGAGCCTGGCGTGATGGCTGGGATGCGGGGGAAGAAGTTCTCGATGGGGCCGAGGGTGTTCAAGAGGGTGCGATAGCCCGGATGATTCCTGTGACTGTCTTAGAGATAGGAAGGGGAGCAGAAGGCGGGAAAGACCCACGAAACGGAAAGCACAGCATGGCGGAACTGGATGATAGTGCGTATGATGAAGAGAAGAACAACAGGGAGGGCGAGGAGGAAGAGATTGTCCATCGCGACGGTGGTGGTACTGTGGTGGATTGCGCAGCTGGACGAAAGGGAGGGTCATGAGATATATGTACGGGCCTCCCGAGGGCGCGTCGTGGTTTGGCTAGCATGGATCGGATAGACGGACGATGGAGGGTGTGGCCGAGGGTGTCCGGAAGGTCATTGACCAATGGTCGGCTACATGACACGCCTTGTATTTCTAGAATGGCCTGCGAGAGGGACTGCGCCCAGAGTCGGGCCGGGAGTCCCTCCGTGCATTAGGCCTCGCAGACCGCAGCGCTGGGCTGTTTTGACCAACGGCAGCGGTCAGACGGGCGGGTGGGCGGACCTGGGCCGACGCAGAACGACGGCACAGCATTGGCTGCGACGCGGACAGCGTATCGTCGATCCCCACGCAAGATCTCGGCTCGCGATCCTCCGTGACGGAATAGGCGCCACGTGGGTCCCTGTGTGTCCCGTCCACGGCCTTCGTTGCCTTCCGCTCCCTTGCACATGGCCCGTGTCTGTCATACGACCCCACGTATGTTACGCTATGTTACGACATGTCGTTCAAAACACCGTCCAGAGCATGTGCAGCTTCCGGGCACGACTGTAATAAAAAATTACTCCCTCTCAGGGCCCATCTCGACGCCTAGCCTGCCCCTCCGGTAACTACATTTTGCCCCTTGTGCCCGTCTTTAATGAATTGCCCTGGTTTCTCCATCACTCGTCTCCGTCTTTTCCGGTGTTGGGGTGCAGACTCGTCTGCTGCTGTTGGCATCGCGCTCAGCGTCCTCAATATCGACACCAGCACCGGCCGACTTCTGCTACCACAACCTTGTTTGCAAGACTCTCCGCTGGCAGTCCATTACCACATTCGACATTGCCGGCTTTGTTATGTCCGAGTCATTCGACTCCATAACAATCCCTTAAAGAGATCCGTTCGCCGGAACACTCCTGTCCGCTTACCGCAGTTCCGGCATGTTTCTCGGCGTCATCAAGTGTCTCGTCCTATCGCTGTCACGTCATCATCTTGTCTCACGAAACGAAAGATATGTGGAGTGCGATAACCTTGTTACTGACTTTTCTCTCGTCAGGTGTGTTAAGCATCATGCATCATGTATCATGGTCAGCGCCGCACACGCTTCGCAGGGACTAGGCTCACTCTGGAATGGCCCAGTTTGAAACATTCCATAAGGCGAGCATTCTACAGCGATTTACTGGGGCGAGTGCCCGACGATAGACTCTGGCTGACTTTGCTTCACCTCTTGCAGGAAGCCGGACACCGGGACTTCGCTTGGGCACTCGGAGAACAGCAAAAAGAGCCATCCGATGAGCATTTGCCAATATCCAATCTCGACAGACTCAGCCGTACCTACCATTGGACACACCTTTTAAGGCGCACTGTATCGGTGCGCGGAAAATCGGGGAAGTGAGCGCGCTTCGAGCTTTCTGCGTTGTGTATGGCAGTCCGGTCAGGTCCCAATATACGTTGGAAAGACTCGGTGTGTTGAGGCTCGCGCAGTAAGGGGAGGCCCTTCGTAAAGTCACCCGCACGGCCGTCCAAAGGAGAATCGTTCAACCGTGCCTTTCCGAGCAGCTCTTGCGTCATGCCGGTGGGCTTCCCCTCGCACCCACACGCGCAGGTGTCCGTCATGCACCAACGCCAGTGATGTCGTGACTGGCAGTCTGGCCGTGGCACGGCGATCGGCAATGAATGCTGCAAGTACGACGCGGCCTCCTCGTGCATACCCACATGACAGAATCTGTCGCGATAAGCCATTTAACTGAAGAGCTTTTCTCCGAGAGCGAGCTTCGATCATTCGTTGACTAGGGTTCAGTGCACAACGTGGCGCGGGCAACCCTTAGTAGGCTATCCCGAGCGGTTTGCCAGCCCGGGACATTTGCACAATGTGAGCGTAGGTATGAATTGTCTCCGCTACCTGCTCACGAAATCAAATTTCAGCCTCCCGCAGTGCACGATATAAAAGCCTTCAAGCAGCTCAGTGAGCTGCACCGCAATTTCCACCCCTTCAGCCCAATCAGACACGATGGCTCCTCTAACCCGCCCCAGGGCCAAAAAAGCTCTGCTCGTGGGCATTCGTTACTCTACGCTCCCGAAAAAGCACGTGCTGGAGAGTACTTACTGCGACGTGGACCGGCTCAAGAAATTCCTGACAGGTAAACCTGGTAGTCTGTCCCTAGAAGCCTCGCGTTGACGTAGTGCCTTTTTTCGAAGATAACGTCGGCTTTCGGTCTGACAACATCATAGAGCTTAAAGACAATATCGACCCGGAGCATGACCAATATCCCACCAGAAAGAACCTGGTATGTCCCCCGTGTGAGGTCTTCACGCTTGGTGTTGCCGCTTACACGACGTGGTCGCAGGTGAAGGCCCTGGAGGAACTAGTCTCGGAAGCGCAGGCTGGTGACCACCTGGTCTTCCACTGTACGTGATCCCCCCGTCGTTGCGATCACCATGTCCTGACCGATGCGTGAGTCTCCGGCCACGGATCCCAGCACAAAGACTTGGACGGCGACGAGGAGGATGGAATGGATGAAGGCATGCCGACTCTCTCGGTGCTGTCGAGCTACTCTTGACTTGCTACCAGCCATCTGGCCCGCAGACGTCGTATTCGCAGGCAAAGACGAAGAAATAAACGTCATTCTCGACGACGTCAGTGGATCCCTCTTGTTGCCGCCAATCCGCTCACCTTTTTCCAGGACATCAAGAGAATACTCGTCGACAAGGTCCCAGATGGCGCCCATCTCGTTGTAGGTCCCTACGTATATTCCACATACAGCCCGCAGACACCCATGCACGCCCTTACAGATTATCCTGGACTGCTGTCACTCGGGTACTGGTGCCGGTAAGCCTCTTGCACTATGTCGTAGGAACGGAGAGTTAACAAGTAACAGACCTTCGGTACAGCTATACAGATCACCTTGAAGAAAAGGACTGCACACAGGCTTCGAACACCTCTCCGGCTTCCCAAGTTGCTGAGCCTAAGCGGAAGCTCACCCTCCCAGGGCTCACGGGTGACAAACCGTCGAAGGGTAAGTGTGACGTAACCCGGGCCTCAATGAACACATGAGGCTGACCCCTGGCGTGCGCTCTCAGATGCGCTCTCCCCTACAATAAGCAGCCCCTTAGTAACCAGTCCTGGCGGCGGTCCGGTTGTTGTAAGTAATCTACCCATCGATAAACGTGCCAGGCTGTTATTAAGATGTCATAGATCTCTTGGGCGGCCTGTCCGGATCCAAAGACAACGTTAGGATTCTTAAACTCGAGTAGCTCCTCAAACTCGGACAACTCTTCAAACTCGGATGACTCCTCAGGCTCGGGTGGCTCTTTCATCAAGGCATGTTTGTTGGCGTCTCAAAGTCGGTGCAGGCTCTGAAGTTGTTACTAGGCTTTTCTAGATGCTTTCCGTAAGCGTCCATATTCGAAATTCTCATGACCTCACGTAACACAGCAAGCCAGGAGAGAAGAAGGACGCCACACACGAGGAGCTTCTGCATCGCATTAAGTATGTTTCTGGCCGCCTACGTCGCTCATGCCAAGTGACGGCTGACTGTGGTATTCTCAGAGTGAAAATGATCGCGTCCGCTGAAGATCATTTTACGCAACACAGGCATTTGTTCAGCGAACAGCAGTGGCGGGATCTTCAAAAATGGTGGAAGGAAGATGGCTGCCAGCCCATGCTGGGGGTTCTCCATGACTATGTGAGTCTCCGAGCCTGGCATAGTGCATGAAAGAATCTCATCGCAGCTGATCGTCTAGCACGGTGTACTCCGTACCCCAGTCGCCGAAACTTTCGGAGTTGATGCGAGCTCATAACCAATTCCCTCCGCTTTTCTGTCTTTTCTGGGGATGGAGTTTGAAGCGCAAGCGACGGCCTGCCCGTTGCTGTTGCCATTCTCGAAAGCCCAAAGCGTTGAATATATTGGCGTTCCTTGCGCCACTTGAACTGCGTCCACTGATTCTTGGGCGGCTTGACTTTGTCATGAGACACCAGCGTCGGCCTGCCTCGAACCATCATCATCCTTGTCTGCTTTGGCACGCTCGCGACTGCGTCCTTGACGTGCTTGAAGTACCTGGCTCGATTGAAAAGGATTGCTCGCCGAATTACTCCTGTTCGCTCATGGTAACCAAGAAGATGTCTGGTGAGTTTTCCCATAGCTGTCACGTCGCCATCTAGTGATGATTAATGAGGCAGGTGTCCTAGGAAGTGCGATAGTCTCGGCGTCAGATGCTCCGCTTTGCCGGGCGGATGGGTATTATACATCCCATAAGATAGGCATCCTCAGTAATCTTCTGGCGTGAGTGCTTCAGTTGACCTTCGATTTGATTTACCAAATCTTTCCAGAGTCGAACCAGGGAGTTTGCTTAAATTCTTGCTGTGCGTCAAGCGCGGGGCGGAGTCAACCAGCCAATGCCAACGGTACCGCCGTCAGTGGCTTGGCTGTAGATCGGCAACCCTCAACGAATGCCACAAGTTTGACACGGCCTTCTCGTGTGCTATGCTCACATGAACCGAATTTGTCGCAGCAACTTCCGTTTGAGCTGTTGAGCTTCCCACCGTGTACAAGCTTTGGTGACCACCAGACTAGGGCACCATGCACAACGTGCCAGGAACGACCATTGGTTGGCTAACCCAAACAGCTTCGTACACCAGAACCCTTTCCTGACATGAGTCTGCACTGCGCGGCCTCCGTTCCTTGCCGATGAAATAAAGTTCCTGCCTCCCACAGTGCAAGATATAAGCCTGCCTGCAGTCCAGCGAGCTGCACTGCAGTGCCCTTTCCCTCGCTCGTCAGGCAAGATGGTGAACAGAGCTTTGCTTGTGGGCATTCGCTATTCCGCACTCCCGGGACATGTGCTGGAGAGCACCTACCAGGATGTGGAACGACTCAAATGGTTCTTAACAAGTGCGGAAACTAGGTTATCTCACGGCTGAAAATTTGTCTGACATTTTGATTTTTTCAAGGTAGTGTCAACTTTCGGCCTGAAGATATCATTGAGCTTAGAGACGACGTCGAGCCGTGGAATCCCCGGTATCCGAGCAATGCCAACTTGGTACGTTCCCCGTGTGAAATCTCATCACTGAGCGGTATTACTTATCAGTGTGATGCGGCGCAGGTGAGGGCCATGCAACACTTGGTCTCGGACGTGTAGCCAGGCGACCACCTGGTCTTCCACTGTATGCACACTATCTGTCGCTGCAATCACCCTGCGTTAATCAGCCTGTAGTTTCTGGTCATGGATCCCAGAAGCCCGACCTGAATGGAGACGAGGCGGACAAAATGGATGAAGGTATGCCGCCTCTCTCCGTCCTGAAAAACCGCTGCTAAAGTACAACCAGCAATCTGGCCGGCGGATGTGACACTTAATGAGGATGGCGATGCGGATAATGTCATCATAGACGATGTTGGTGGTTCTCTGGCTGCTGTCTGTGATCAGTCAGCTCACTGCCCTCCAGGACATCAAGAGCATACTGGTCGACAACGTCCCGGACGGTGCATCTCTCGTTGTAAGTCCCTACGTACGTTTCACGTATAGTCCGCAGGCACTCATGTATACCCACAGATTATTCTGGACTGCTGCCACTCGGGCACTGGAGCAGGCAAGTATGCTGCACCGTGTCCCAGGGACCAAGGGCTGACTAGGTCGCAGATCTCCAACACAGCTACACGGACCCCGACGGACAAGACGACGGGCAAGCTCACCCACTTCCCAGGCGAAAGCTGGCGTTCAGGAAACTTACGAGTATAACAAAACGCAAAATCTGGTGAATACATGCGGCTGACTACTTGCATCTGCTCCTAGATATGAACAATTGGGGCTCTGGACCGGTTGTTGTAAGTGCCTCGCCCGCCAATCTCAACGGCGGACCGCTGCTGAGATAGCATGCCAGGTCTCATGGGCAGCTTGTCCAGACCCGAAGGCGACGTTGAGCTTTTCAAGGTCGGGTGGCTACTTCCTGGAGGTGCGTTGATGTTCCACCTCTCACCGAACATGAGCTCATGTTTCCCTCCAGGCTTTCGTAGAGGCTTTTAGTGAGTAATTGCACTCATATCCCCATGTTCCTCCATAACATTACAAGCCAGACGAGAACCCAGGCGTCACACATCAGGAACTCCTGCACTGCGTCAGGTATGTCTCTCTCTTGTATGATCCCAAGCGACAGCTGAGTGCTCGGTATCATGAGAATGAAAATGACGTGGTCAGCCGAACGCTATTTCGAGGAACAGAGGCCTTTGATGACCAAGGGCCGTTGGAAGCATCTTCAAAAGTGGTGGAGGCAAGAGCGCCCAGAACCCATGCTGGGAGTGCTCTATAACGAAGTGCGTTGTCTTAGCTTTGTGAACTACACGGAAAACTCTCATCTTGGTTGTCCATCTAGGATGGTGTACTCTGTTCTCCAGTCGCGGATACTTTTGGGGTTGGTGCTACGTCCTGGTACTGATAGGTTCAAGTCGCCGAGAGGCAGGGATCAGTCGAATTACTAAATGGTGCTTAACTGAGTCGTCGTCAGCTCCTAAGAAATGCGAATACCTATGCAGAATTTTACTGAATGTGCTTCAAGCGAGGAACATAGTCTTGAACTGAGCATACTATACCACTCTGGTTACTTCAATCTGCCCTCAGCCCCATTCTCCGGTCTGCCGTCTAATCTTTGCGTTGTCTGGCAATATGCGATCGACGCCGTGTATTCATATGCAAGGAATGCCACATATATTACGGCTAGAACGTCGCTTATACCAGAGGAGAGAGTGCTGCGCTACGCCGCTGATGGTTATACGGTCCAAGAACACACTCCCACTACACCTGCGACGCGAACACGTCGCAAACATCAGCCTGAGATGACCAACGGGCTTTCCAGCCTCGTATCCCGGATCACATCCTCCCACGTGTCCAGCACCTTCGTCACTTTCCCGCATTTGTCTCGGATCGCCACCTCCGCCTCCAGCCCAAGCGGTAGGTACAGCGGCCAGTCCTTCCCTTCAGCGGCACCCTCTCCGTGGACGACATCGATGACGACGTGCATGGCCTTCGTGGGGTCGCCAGGTTGATGTCCGTCGACACGCGCATATCGCTTCTTCATCTCTTCGCGCACGGCATCGTACTCTGCAATCCGATTGTCTTCGTACATTGGCAGGCTAAAGCTATTTTCGGTGCGGAACGCGCCGGGCTCAGTGATGAGCACGCGGATATTAAAAGGCGCGAGCTCGACGGCGAGGGTCTCGCCCATCACTACTGCAATATATAAGCTGTGAGAAAGCTCAAGGAAAAAGACAGGACGTGCCTCGGAGGGCGGCTTTCGATGATGCATAGAGACCTCCTATCTACATGACCAGTCAGCCTAATCTCGGAGGAAAGGGAATGTGCTCTTGCCGGATTCTCAGGCCACCAGCCTGTCCTGCTCCCCATGAGAACGATCGTCCCAGAGCGGCGCTCGCGCATATACGGCAGGAATGCGTTCGTGACATCCAATTGCCCGAACAAATTCACATCATATTGCTTCCTCAATTCTTCTGACCTGTTGTTCTCTATCAGCCCCTTCTCACCCAACGGGAGCCATTCAGGCCAATACTCACCCCGCCTCCTCCAGAATACCCTTGAATACCACGCCAGCATTGTTCATAACGACATCGACCCTCCCAAAGAACGCGACAGCCTCCGCAGCTTTCTCCCTGAGCTTCGCGGGTCCGATCGTCACGTCGCACTGCTGTAACCGCAGGTTCTCGTGCGGAGGGAAGTCGAGTCGTGCAAGCGAGCGGCCAGTCGCGATGACCTTGTCGCCGCGGTCGAGTAGGAGGCTTACAAGGCGTGCGCCAAAGCCCGAGGACGTGCCAGTGACATACCATACGAGCTGGTTCGCACTCGCGAGCGTCGAGGAGGAGGTGGAGGCCATGGTGGATAGTCTCATCTATGCCATGGGAAATCCCAGTTAGGAAACGATGCGCCATTATCACGAGGATTGTACGATGCACACACAAGTGAGTAAGCAGCTGCTGATCCTCATCGAGGTTACTAAGCAGTCGACCTCGCTGGGTCGAGGTGGTGGTGGAGTGACTTGTCGCCACACAGAGACAGCACGCTGTGAATCGCATCGGTGTTCAACAGCGTAGATCATTTACTGTTTGTGGCTGAAGCACGCATGCTCATACGACTTCCAGGTTTCCAGCACCTGGGTCGGCGGCGCTGGTGAAAAGACGCCGCTAGGAATGTGTTGGTGTATGCTGTGCATGTGAGAAGTAGATCTAGAGATATACAATCGCAGTGGTGATTTGAAGTGATAGCTGAGAAGAGCAGAAGTCAGCAGGACGAGGCGCGGGCTATGCCGACTCCTCGAAGCGCATCGGGCGTATCAAAGCGGCGCGGGCTTTCCGATCTAATCTGTGATGTTCGTGCTTTGTATCACACACACCCTCGTAGAGTCGGAAAGCAGGCTAGCAGGATAACAATGTACACATGATTTCAGGTGGGTTTCTGTTGCTCTCTTTATGGCCTGCAATATTGAGCTTCTACTCGACCCACTAGCGGACGAACTTCTGTGACGAACGCGCTCCAGTTTTCATGTGTGCTAGATTTCGGTTACAGCCTGGGTATGCTATATATCAACTTATGGCCCGAAGCGCTCCTCGGTATTTTACGACTGAGACTGAACCGTACACCCTACAATACACCAGCCGGGACCCGCACACCAGCCGCTGACATGTCGATGCATTGATGGCCTGTCGGTTCTACGCACGTATCGTACATTCAGACTGGGGCACTATCATGTGCTCGCAACTGCTTATACGACCTCCATACGATTCTTATCACCACGCATGACCGAAACACTAGCCAAAGTACTCATGTTCGCGATAAGTATAGCTCCCATCTCCACTAACAAAGCCCGGCATGTTTATAATTGCCATGAACCATGTAATCATTTGTGACCGAGGCCCAGTGCCGAGGCCATAATTTACTGACGTATGTAATGCTCGCTCAGGTGAAGGATCTGAGAAACTTGGTCTCAGACGTACAGCCAGGTGATATTCTAGTTTAAATTCTACGGTACAACTACGGTAAGTGGTTGTCCTATCGCTGCAATCACAACGTCCTGACAAATGCATGAGTTTCTCGCCAGGGATCCCAGGTGCCATACCTGGACAAGACGAGGATGATGGGTGGGGTGTAGGTATGTGGAAGCTGCCTGTGCGATCGAGCTACTCTTGATTTACCACCGGCCATCTGGCCTGCAGACATCGCAGTACTTGTAGGGGAAGATGATGCAGATAACATCATCTTCGACGGCGTCAGTGCCTCTCGCTACTGTCTGTGCGCCACCAGCTCACTGCCTTCCCTGTGCGCGCTTCATATGCCCTCGGGAGCTCATATGTACCTGTAGATTATACTTGACTGCTGCCACTCGGACACTGTAGCTGGTAATTTGGTCCCATCCTGCCATAGCCACTACGACCCGACGGCGACTAAGACCTTCGGCACAGTTATCTCGACCACCTCGATGAGTAAGACAACAAGGAGACAGGAACGAATGGTAAGGGTGACGCAACGCATGCCGCGATGAGTAGGCTGGAGGCTGACTGCTTGCGTATGTTCCAGATGCGCTCTCCCCTGACGGTACCCAGTCCTGTCGTTGGCCCAGAGGTTGCGAGTGGCCCACCAATCGGTTTGCACGCCGGACTGTAAGTTTTAAAGTAAGACGTCACGCCAGGTCCCGTGGGCAGCCTGTCCCGGTTCAGAAACGACGACGGGCTTCTCGAACTCGGGTGGTCACTTCGTTGAGGCACGTTTGATCTGTTGTATGCAGTACATGCCAGCTCATATTTCTCCACCAGGATTTCTCATAATCGTACTGCAAGCGCTTGCATGTACATTCCCGGGTGTCAGCTGCTGCACCACATCAAGCACGTTGCTCTCGCATCAATTCTGAGCGACGGCCGGCTTTTGTGGGGATCTTCAGAGTGAAACTGATTGCGTCCGCTGAGCACCATCCCGAACAAGAGGCCTGAGACGAGCGACGGCGACTGGGAGAGACCTCAATACTGGTGGAAGAAACATCGCTCTGAACCGATAGTGTGCTCCATGATGAAGTGCGTGTCTCAGCTTTGTGACACGGGGAAACCTTCGGGACTGGTGTTGCGGTCTTGTGATTAATTCCGTCAATCTCTTCGTAATATGATCGTCTGGTCTCCGTCTTCCCCGGAGATGGCGAGAACGAAAACTTTCCTGCTTCTCTATCATGATCAACGCCCACAGCACTGGCTACATCAGCGTAACTTACGTTTGTATTACATTCACAGGCTTGGCTTTATCATGGAGATGAGACGCCAGCATTGGCCTGCCTCGAGTTCGCCAGCTGCCCAAATGCGCTCGCTACTGCACCCTTGACCGTGCCCGAACTGTCCAGCTCGACTAAACAAGTCTGCCAGCTGAATCACCCCTGTCTGCGTACTAGACCTCAAGGGTCACTCAACGGCATCGAGTGAGTGTTCTCATCGTTGTCATATTGCCATCTTGAATTGATTAATGTCCCACGAAGTCCGACACCTTCGGGCCTCGCTTCGCTACCGAACGTTACGGTTTGAGCCAGACGCGCGCCTTCAGACGTCTAGCTTCCAATACTTCACAAAGTAGGCATCGAGATCCCCCAGTATGAGGATCCCAGGTGGGCTCGGGATGACCTGCTACATCATCTGTAGGGAGTCGAGCATAGGATTCCGCTTGAGCACTCATTGAGCGTCAAGTGGAGTCAAAGCTACAGGCGCCATCGCTGCTGTAGATCAGCAATCGCCAACGAACTCCTCGTATATCCCGCTCACATGAGCTAAATATGTCGCGATAAGCCATCGGGCTGATGAGCTTCTCGCCACGTATAAGCTTTGATGACTAGCTCACAATGCATAGCGTGTGAGGGACGGCCGTTGGTTGGTTATCCCGAGCACCTTGCCACACCAAGACCCTTTCCTACTAACGTAAGTTTGAACTACACTGCCTCCTCCTCGCTGATGAGATAAAGCTTTTGCCTCCCACAGAGTAAGATATAAGCCTGCAGGTAGTCAGACAAGCCGCACTACAGCGTCCTTTCCCTTACCCGCAGACAACTTGAAGATGGGGAACAAAGCTCTGCTTGTGGGTATACGCTATGCTTCGCTCGAGGGACATGTACTGGAGAGCACCTACCAAGATGTGGAACAACTCAGGGAATTCCTCATAAGTAAGCAAGCCTTGTTTGTGGCTGAAAGGCCTGTCTAACATTTCACTTTCCAAAGACTCCGTCGGTTTCCAATCTACAGACATCATGGAGCTCAGAGACGATGTCGAGCCATCAGACCCTCTATACCCGAGCAATGCCAATCTGGTATGCTCCCCGAAGAGTTTCCACGCAAAGAGTCGCAACTGAACGGAGTTTCCTGTCGATATGATGTAATTATAGGTGAAGGCTATGGAGGATCTAGTCTCGGACGTGCAGCCAGGCGACCACCTGGTCTTTCACTGTAGGCAAACTGTCTGTCGTTGAATTACCCCGCGCTAACCAATTTGTAAGTTTCTGGTCATGGATCCCAGAAGCCCGACCTCAACGGAGACGAGGATGACAAAATGGATGAAGGTATGCCGTCTCTCCCCGTCCTGACAAGCCGCCACTAATGTATCACCAGCTATCTGGCCCGCAGATGTGATACTTGTGGAGGGAGACGATGCGGACAACGTCATCCTAGACGATGTCAGTGGTTCTCTACTTGTTGTCCGTGATCAGTCGGCTCATCTCTTTGCAGAACATCAAGAGCATACTGGTCGACAACGTCCCGGACGGTGCATCTCTCGTTGTATGTCCCTACGCCGTACGATTCACGCACAGTCCGCAGATACTCATGCATACTCCCAGATTATCCTGGACTGCTGCCACTCGGGCACTGGGGCAGGCAAGTACGCTGCACACTGTCCTGGGGACCGGGGGCTGACCAGATGTCAGACCTTCAATACAGCTACACGGACCCCGATGACGAAGACGACGGGCAAGCTCACCCACTCCCCAGGCGGAAGCTAGCGTTCAGAAAGCTCACAAGTATGGCATAACCCAAACTCCGATGAACACATCGAGCTAATTGCCTGTGTACGCCGCCAGAAACGGGCAATTCTGACGCTAATCCGGTTGTTGTGAGTGATTTGCCCACCAGTCCACACGCTGGACTGCTGCTGAGACCACCTGTCAGGTCTCGTGGGCGGCCTGTCCAGACCCGAAGGCGACATTGAGCTTCTCGAGGTCGGGTGGCTACTTCCTTGAGGTATGTCGACATTCCGCGTCCCACTGTGCATCTGAGCTTATATATTCCCCGTCAGGCTTTTGTGGAGGCTTTCAGTGAGCATTTGCATTTGCGTTCCCATGTTCCTCCATAACACAGCGAGCCAGATGAGAACCCAGGCGCCACGCATCAGGAACTCCTGCACTGCGTCAGGTATGTCTCTCTCTCTTGTATGATCCCGAGCGGCAACTGAGTGCTCGGTATTATCAGAATGAAAATGACCCAGTCAGCCGAAAGCTTTCTCGAGGAGCAGAGGCCCTCGATGACCAAGGGCAGATGGAAGAGGATTCAAAACTGGTGGAAGACAGAGCAGCCCGAGCCCGTACTGGGAGTGCTTTATGACGAAGTGCGTGTCCTCAACCTTGTCAAATGCGCAGAGAAGTCTAATCTTGACTGTCCTTCTAGGATGGCGTACTCTGCTCTCCGGTCGTGGACACCTTTGGGGATGGTGCTGCGTCTTAGTAAGTGACCGACTCAAGACAGGAGCGTCGTCGAGAGGCGAAGAATAAATGAGCTACTAGCAGTGCTTGATTGAGTCGTTTTCAGCTCTCGTTAATGATATTCATGCAGAACTCTATTGGACATGTTTCGAGTAAGGAATACAGTCTTGAACTGGGCACCGTCCTCAGTCCGCCGGCGCTGTGGATCATTTTTCGACATTTCCTCTTGCAAGGTGGATCATCCGACCCATTGATTCTACGCATGTGCATATTGTACATTCAGACTAGTACATCGTCCATTCAGAGTCTGGGGCCTGAGAGCGATCAAAGTTGCGACTAGTAAGCATTACGACCAGGGAACGAGAGCGGCGCAGACAACCCGAAAAAGAACGAAACAAACACATGCGACCAATTGGTGAGATGGCTACAGAAACGTGTACTAGCCTGTATTAGCCCCTGAACAAAACGCAACAGCGCCAGGCGGGAGCTCCCTCACAGCTTTACGCCTTGAAGATCCGCAACAACCGCGCCTCGGTGACGATCCGCGTCCTACAGAGCGGGCACTCGCGCGAACTATTCATGACCAAGTCCGAACACGCACGGCACATCGCAAGGTGTCCACAGTCAACGATTGCGATGTTCGCCTCCTCGTCCTGGCAGATGACGCATAGTCCTGTGCGCTCGAGGTGCGAGGCCATCGCCTGCGCCTTCGGCGACAGCTTCCCCGCCGGCGTCGTCCCCTTCGCTTTCTCCTTCTCGGCCTGCGGCGGCGCCGTGGAGTCAGTCGCAGCACTTGAGGTGTCCGGTGCAGCCTCACGTTCCTCGCTTTGCATCGCATCGTCTTGCTCTCCCGCCTGCTCCTCCCTTCTCCTGCGCTCATACTCCTCATGCTCTCTCCGGCTGCGCTCCAGCACCTCTTCCATCTCCCTCTGCTCGCGCGCCTCCTCGCTCTCCTCTTCCTCCTCCATGCGACGACGCGCGGCCGCGCGCTCATGCCGCTCGTCCTCAACGAGCGCGCGCACCTTGGCGACGAGCTCCGCCTTCTCAACGATCATGCCCGCGCTCACATGGTTCCGGAAGAGCACCGCCTTCAGTGTCGAGATCGACAGAGCGCTGAGCGCCTCAGGCGCCATTGCGAGCAACTCGCCCAGCGAAGGTACCGCCGTAGGCGCCGGCGACGTCCCGCGCGATGGGCTCCCCGAGCGCGGCGTCCGCGGCGCACTTGCGCTTCGCGGCCGCGCACTGCCGCTCGGGGGCACGTTCAGGTGCGTGCGCGAGCCAGAGTTGGATGCTCCGCGTGCGTTGTGCGTGCTGTGTCCTGGGGGAGGCCCTGGCGGCGGGTTGTATTGCGGACGCGAGCGCGGCAGCGTCTGTGACTGCGAGGGCGGCGAGCGCGATTGGTAGGTGAAGCTGTAGGTGCTCCGTGGCGGCGGTGCGTACGTGTGCTGCTGCCTGCCTGGACCCGTCTGGCTGTGCGTGTGGTAGTCCTGCCTCTGCTGTTGCTGTTGCCGTTGCGGCTGCGGTTGAGGGCGCGGTGCACTCTGATTCGGCTGTGGGGGAGGAGGGGGCTGCTGGTCATCCAGGTCAGGACGCGGGAACGACGGAGGATGGGACGTCGTGCGCTGGCGGGGCTGGTAGGGAGGTGGTTGCTGTTGCTGCGGAGAATGCTGCGAAGAATGCTGCGGCTGCTGAGGTGCTGAGTCCGATGCAGAGCTACCCATGGCTTCCATCGCGCGTGTGAAGATGCCTCGCGGACGGTCTGAACGCTGAGGAATTGAGTAAGTTCGATAGTGTTTCTGCGCGATATTAGCCGCTGTCAGCTGGAGACGACGACTAGGGCATACCTCGTTGGCAATCGGTAAGCATCCATGGGGGGTCTGTAAAGACGTTGTCAACGAAATGCCTGCAGGGAGATCTAGATCACACACCCTTGCAGCGATGATCTTGTCTATCAGGTCGTCCTTCTCAATGACACCATTCACATTTATATCATAATCCTTGGCATACTTCCTCAGCTTAGCCAACGAGTACTTGCGAAGCTGGCCCTTGCCGGCAGCGGTGACTAGATGCCCGCTCTGGTCAGATCTGCAGCATACGGCGTACTATAGCCCTGCGCCACATGGTGCGCGTACCCACTTGTGAGGTTCTCGATGCAGTACGCGCAGACAGATGCGGGGTCATAGCCAGCGTTGCCGCCGCCCTGGCGTGGCATGAGGGCCTGGTAGTCGGTGCATGATTGACAATAGAGGTGGCCTATATGCGGCATACGTTCAATACACATGTTGGGGAAGGGCCAAGGGGTAAAGACGAGCTCACCGCAGTGGTTGCACTTGCGCGACCGGGCGAAGAGGACGTTGAACTCTTTGTTGCACTTTCGACATGCGTTCTCGTTCTCGTCAGGCCCGGGCGGCGGACCGCTGAGGAGAGGCATGCCGCTCAATGTACTTGCCATGCTTTGTGGTGGGGAAGGTGCAAGGGAAGGCCAGCTAGCGTCTCTCGCCGCGAGTCAGGAACGGGACCTTTCTGGCTGAACGTGGACAACAGTGACCTCGATGTGTAGGACTAACGGGGGCAACACCAGGACAGAAAAGAGGGAAAATCGGCGTCCATTTGTCAGCGTCGAGAGCAGCGGTCGGGAGACAGCGAACGGCACTGCACTGCACCTTGACCGCACCAGCGCCGAACAGTACATTCTAGCAACTCGCGTAAGCACCGTTCGTCAGCGTCCTTCGGCCGAGACCAAATGATGCGCCCGATGCGCCTCCCCGATCGCGTCGCTCCAGCGCGTACACCGTCCTCCATCGTCTCGGGCTCCTGGCTTTTGGCAGTCAAAGTGTCTTTAGATGTACCGCTGCGGCTTTGTAACGCAGAGCCGCAGACTAAGAGCTCCCGGCGCAGCGAAGTTGGTGCACGCCTCGAATGTTCGCAATATTTCGACTTCGCGAGATGTACGGCCCAGCATGCCTCTTTGGACACATGTCGAACGCATGATCTGCTCCGGTATTGTCTATACCTTCAAGGTCATGTGGTACCTGGCCGTATCTCCTGCAGCATAGAACCCTATCAAAGAGACTACCGCTCCTCAGGCTCTCGGCCACACCTGCATACTGTTGAAGAACATTGTTCCTCGTCGTCGGTGGACGCCACAGCAGATCCCTCCGTGGTTCAACGTCGCCCTATCTTTACGCCGCGTTATTCTCAGATAGAAGATACGCCTCGCCGGGATCCGCTGACAGGCTTTCTACGGTGACGCCGATTTGCGCGGGTGGCATCGTGACTATCTTCATGACTTTGAGCTCTGTCCCTGTCATTGTGGCACAGTCTCCTCTTCCCCCACATCATTATGGAAAAGCTGCCCGGTACATATAAGTCCCCGTCATTCCAGCGGAATGCTCTTCGCGGTGCTTTTAGCTCGCGCCTAGCGCAGCGTCATGTCCGCAAGCGAGGACACCGCGAATCACTACTTGTCGCTGCTCCTTCCTGCTCTCAAGAGATTCAGAGACAAAGTCATCATCCGACCCTTTCTTGGCGGCACGCCGCCACGCTGGGGTGAGGTCACCTTTACCCAGTGGGACCTGCAGCTCGCCACCGCGCGTCTGCACTGGTTGAAGATCTTGGCCGGTCTAGGACTCCAGCAGACTGACGTTGTTGGGTTATGGTAGACCATATCAACTCTCTTGTATGATATATACTAAAAATCGGTTCACAGGCTCACGGGCAAACAACACACCGATCTCCTCAACATCAGTAGCGTTTCGGCTGCAGGTTACGTCCCACAACTTTTCAGCCCCGTTTTCCCGCCAGACATGACCCGCGCCCTGCTTGCCCTCAGTGGCGCCCGTGCACTCATCTATGACGCACACGCCTTACTGGACGTGCCCGCCAGCAGCAGCATCCCGACGGTGGCAGCCCTCGATGCGGATGTATTAGACGCGCTAGCCGGAGAGCCGAAGCAAGGACTCGAGGAGGCAGACCTTCCAGAAGTGTCCGGACGCCAGACTGCAGTAATTTTTCACTCGTCGGGCACAACTTGCGGAATGCCGAAGCTGATACCGACGAGCCACATCCTCATGCGCGTCTTCATGACGCACAAGTTCCCGGACTGCCTGCTCGACGGGCCGCACGATGTCTCTTCGAACGTCTTCAACAGGTGCGCTGTCTTCCTGCCATGTCGTGCGGGCGAAAACTGACGAGTGTGCGTAGCCTTGGCAGCCTCGCACATGTTGGGACCTTCCAGGCCTTCCACGGCGCCGCCGCGCACGGCTGCACGACCGTGCAAGCGTCCTCGATGGCGATGGGATCCACCGAGCTCCTGCACATGGTCCGTGCGACGGGGCTCAACCGCCTCGTGCAGTACGGTACTTTCGTCGCCGCACACATCCGCTCGGCCATGGCCGAGCAGGAGGTGGCGGACGTGCTGAGGGGCATGCGCCAGGTGTTGTACACTGGCGTCGCGCTCGGGGCCGAGGAGGAGCGCTGGGCAGGGGAGAACGGGGTCAAGTTATCGGCGATGTATGGGACGTCCGAGACAGGTGGGTGACTGTATGCGCTGTTGTAGGCTGGAATGTATTCCACTGAACGCGGATTTGTTTAGGACCACTGCTCATCTCGAAGGATGGCCCGTATCCGCTTCGACCTTGCAAAGGCGCGCAACCAGTTTTCGTACCGCACACCGCGTCTTCTCTGTCTTCCCCTGGGCCATCCTCTCTGTCTCTCGGCCCGTCCTCCGACATACTGACCGCACCTGCACCATCTTCTCCCCATTCATCTGCCCTAGGCTCGCCCCCTTTCAGCCCGGGACCTTCGTCCACGCAAGCCATCCGTCCAGCCCTCTACGAGATCGTCGTCTCCCCAGCCGCGCCCGACGCTCCGCCGTCCACGCTCTTCAGCACCGACGGTTGGTGGCATACGCAGGATCTGTTCGCCATCGCACCTGACACCAACACAGAGGACGGCACACCGGACGGCATAAACGCCTGCGTAGCAGACGTTAGCGTGAACGACAGGCGCGGATGGGTATACAAGGGCCGCGCAGGCGACTGGATCAAGACCGTGACAGGCTTCGTGGACACGCGGTGCGTCCCATCTCCCATTCCTCCTCCATGCATGTTTTGCCGTAAACGAGAAGAAAGCACTCCTGACGCACCCCGGGCAGCGCAATCGAAGACGCAGTGCGTAACGCGTGCGCGGACATCGTCGGCGACGCGCTCGTCGTCGGCAACGGGCGCGCGCACCCGGTGCTCCTCGTCGAGGCCCTCCCGACAGCTCCCGTAGACCGCGCCTCCGACCGTGCCCTCGGCACTCGCGACACGAGCGTGTCGTCCCCTTGCCAAATGTGCGGACACCTCGCGGAGGAAGTCGTGCGGCGCCTCGCGCCATTCAACAGGACGCTCTTCCCGTACGAGCGCATCGCCGACGTGCGCTGGGTGCTCGTCCTTCCGCCGGGCGCACTCGTACGGAACCGCGAGAAGGGCAACGTGCGCCGTGACGCATGCGAAGAGGCCTTCCGTGCAGAGATCGATGGCATGTTCGAGGAGAGGTGAGTGTGTGTGGGAACGCTGTCGACGGACGGACAGCTATGACTTCTGGAATGGACTTTGAATTGTAGAGTAGTAGTGACAAGATGCTTTACAATACGCCGAGATGCCAGTAATGACTGTGCTACTGTATATGCCCAAGGTGTACAAAATGAGTGCGAAAAATGTACAAGATGTGATGCGGATGATAAATGATTGCAACATAATGTGTCAAAAACGAGGGTATAGAGATAAAGAACGACATTCCAGACCAAAATCACGGCTAAATTACGTCTGCGACACCTCACCGCCCTGCCCCGCCTCGAGGTCCTCCAACTCGATCTCCTCTCCACCGTCAACATGCACCTCCACACAGATATGCACGCCTTCCGCCGGCGTCGGCACATGCAACTCCATGCACGACACGGCACGCGACAGGGGCCTCGACGGTTCGCGCATTTCCTCGCTGTGCCTCACCCGCTCTGACGGCGGGTGCGTGGGCGCGAGCGGCTCGAGCGGCCGGAGGGCCCAGGGCGGCGTCGACAGGTGCGACAGGTGCGACAGGCGTGACAGGCGCTTTGACCGCAGCGAGGCGCACATGGTGTAGTCGCTGTCTCGGCGCGTGCGCCCTGCACTGCGCTTGCTGGCGCGGCGCTCGGGCGCGTGGGTGAACGGGTCCGTGAAGCACGGGGAGCTGCCGCGCGGGAGCGGTGAGGACGGCGCGGAGATGAAGGACATGTGCGTTGGAAGGCAGGCCTCGGCCTGGCTCTCGCGCGAGGCGCGCACGATCACGGCGGAGAAGACTATGCCCTGGACGAGCTCCGTGAGTGTTAGACGCGGGTAGGGAAGCGGATGGACGCACGATGATGGGCGAGATGGCGTTCAGGACGATGAACATCGCCGGGCTCCCGAGCGTGCTTGTGATAATGAGAATGAGGAGGAGGACAGAGTAGATCGCCGCTGGGATGTAAAGGCTGCATGAGAAAGTATGTATGGACAGTGCAGTTGGTCCGGACATACCAGACTCGAGGACAACGGCGATGACACCTGTGAAGCGTACGCCCGAGACCATATGGTCGGCGACGCTACGGTGGACGGACCAAATTCGTCCTGCGATGGCCACTGTAGAGCCACTGAGCAAACGCGACGGGCACCCAGCGTAAACAATAGACATACGGGTGCAGAAGAGATTTAACGCCAGTGTCACCGCATAAAAATACTTTACCCGCAGCGTCACGTTCTCGAACATGATATCGGCCTCGATGTGCACTTCGGTGATACTCCATGTTGCCCACGCCGAAAGAGCTATGTCCGCGACGAAGAGCGTGCTCGGCAGGAATACGACGGCCAGGCTGCGTCCCCAGACGACGTAAGTGCGGTATACAATGAGCGCATCGAGCACGAGCGTGACGGTGACGTAGGTCGCGGTCTTCGCAAGGCTCAGTGGTGTGTTGATCGCCTCGTAGAATTGCGTTGCGCTGTTAGGCACGGACATGGAATATGTAAAAGCATCGATTGCGCGGACGAAGTCTATCAGCATGTGCTATGGATATAACTCAGCCATGGGCGAACAGAGAGGGAGGAGAGGGAGGGCGCACGGCAGTGATGAGGACAAAAATGACTGTCGCCGTTGCAGCGAGGAAGCACATGTTGCGGCCCGCGCGTCGGCGGGCATGTAGGACTTGGAGGCACTCCACAAAGACAATGAGATATGCTCCTAGATAGCCACAGGTTAGCACACGGCTTGTGCCCAAGAGAGTCGACTACGCACCAAACCCGGCGGTCTCGAGCAAAGTGCCTATGAGCTCGGCCTTTGGGAGCGGGAGGACCATGAGCTGATTATCATGCGGAATGAACGCTAGTGCTGCTGGTCGCAGGCGGTACCGGGGGCAGCGGGAGGGCGATAAATTTGCTGCGCACACATATGTAGAACAAGCGGGAAGACAGTTTACGTGTTTGGGACCAGGAACGGGTGCGTGCTCTGGCCGAATCCATGCGTGGTTGCGAAGGAAGGGCGAAGCCACTGCTCGTTCTGGGAGCGGCAGGCGCACACGGCGGACTCGAGGTCGCGGGCATGATGCCTCTTCTGGCAAGCGACGCCAAACAAACGCGCACCGGTACCGCGGTGGATCGCGGCAGAGAGAACGCTAAGGACCATATGCTAGCATATTGCATCACCCTCATGGGGACTAGAGCAACGTCCGTGACAGAGGCAAGCTGAGCGTCATCAAGTCGGTCTAACAACTTACATAATATCTTGCAGCTTGTTATCCGCAGGAACACACTGGGGCAGGGAGTCAACAAAGTGCAATCAAAAACATATTGTAGCTCGCCCGACGTTTTGATGCGCCTGATGCGCCTCGGCATATCCCGTTCCCGATCAAAATCCCTCCGTTCCTCTCGTACACTTCATCCGTTCCTTGCCCTTGCTCGCGCACTACGTTCAGCTACCATCACAGCCAGACATTTCGAGTGTGCCATCTCTTGGACGGGCAGCAGCAGTGCAGTCACTGTTCTATATTGGCGCCTCTTCTCAAACTCCGGCGACGCCGGGAGTCCAAACGGAATACCATATGGCGCAATATGTATATCCCCCCGCTCTGAAACCTGGATGATCCGCAGCAGAGGGATGCGACGCCGTCGTCGGGTGCGCTGGCAAGCTGTCCTCTGCCTCCTACCGTGCCCCAGAGAGAGATCGGCCGCCTCGACAATAGCCGAAGGCGATCTACTTACTGTGCGCGTGCGTCGTGCTCTCCTCGTGTTCGCGGCACGCCGGTCATTAATAATATTCCCCAACGACACAGACACGCTAGAAGCCCGCCATGGTCTCCACCTCCGCGTCCGCGGGCGCAAAGCAGCTCGTATGGTATATCACCGGCACGTCCTCAGGCTTCGGCGCTCGCCTCGTGCGCCTCCTACTCGAGCGAGGCGACAAGGTCATCGCAACCGCTCGCTTGCTTGCGCAACTTGACCTTCCCCCGCACGAGAACTTACGTCTGCAGCAGTGCGACGTCACGATTGGACTCGCGAAGCTCAAGGAGAAAGCTGCCGAGGCGGTCGCGTTTTTCGGGAGAGTGGATGTTCTGGTCAACAACGCTGGTGTGGGATTTAAGGGTATCTTGGAGGAGGCCGGGTGAGTGCTAGTCTGATTTGGTTCTGTCGTATGAGAAGGGACTGATGAAGATCAGGTCAGAGGAACTGAGGAAGCAATATGATGTGAACTTTTTCGGACAGGTTGATGTCACGAACGCATTCCTGCCGTATATGCGTGGATGCCGCTCTGGGACGGTCATTCTCATGGGGAGTAGGTCAAGCTGGTTTCCTGAGAATCCGGTAAGAGCATATTCTCTTTTCTCCGAAATCAAGCTGACTGGTCGTGCAGACAGGAGGTCCTTATGCATCGTCGAAAGCCGCCCTCCGAGGCACGTCCTGTCTTTTTCCTTGAGCTTTCTCACAGCTGATACATTGCACCAGTGATGGGCGAGACTCTCGCCGTCGAGCTCGCGCCTTTCAACGTACGCGTACTCATCACAGAGCCCGGCGCGTTTCGTACAGAGAAGATGCTTAGTCAGCCGATATACGAAGGCAACCGGATTGCAGACTACGGCGCCGTGCGCGAAGAAATGAAGAAGCGCTGGAAGCAGATCGATGGGCATCAGCCAAACGACCCTGTGAAGGCCATGCGCGTTATCATCGACGTCGTTCGCGGGGAGGGCGTCGCTGAGGGGAAGGACTGGCCGCTGTACCTGCCACTTGGGCCGGAAACAGAGGTAGCGATTCGGGACAAATGCGAGAAAATCACGAACGTTCTGAATGTATGGAGAGAAGTGGTCCGGGACACGCGACTTTGACAACCCGTAGGCTGTTCCCGGTGCTCGCGACGTCGCAGGCGTAGCAGGAACGTGTCACAGAACAGTATCACCACTTTTGCGTCTACTCAATGTATATGTACACCAAGGTCAACTAAAGGCAGTAACTCATCCTTGTACAAGCCAGTCTGGTGGGGATCGGTCTCCGGACTACTGCCCCCGCGGCTAGCCGGGGTCGATTTGCCGTCGTAGCTCTGGTGGATATCGAAACTTCGTGTAAGTTCGTGTACGCTGAACTCGATGGCGTCGTCGTTCGAATATAAATGCCACGCCGTGTACAACACGTGCGACTGGCTTTGGCGTTATCAGGCGAAGCCTCACATATACACAGCTTGTACGATGCCTGGCAGTACTTGGGATGACTATAACAAGCACAGCATCCTAGGGCCAGCCTATCATTAGCTTTGAGAACGCCACGCTAGTAGCGTACGAGCAAATCATTCCGAAAGGTCCGATCCTGGACACTTTTGGTCGGTTTGTACCCGCGCACTTTTGCCCGGTCTTATACCCGAACACGGATCGCATTTTCTAAAAGGGCCTAGTTTGTACCCAATCAGCTATTGAGAAAAGAGACAGACATTAACATAAAAAATAAAAAGGAAACATTGCAGTGGCATCCCTTGGCGATGGCTTTCGGACAGAATTTAGGCCAACTCGAGCACATGCGGGGCTAAAACAGATGATACGCCCCCCCCCCCCGCCTGAATATCTGCTACAAATTATCCGTTATTTTCACCATGGTCTGACACTATTTCGTTGTGCATGTTTGGTTAGTTTTTGGTTAGACTGACTTCTGGCGATGAGTTGATGCCTCATTTCTTCGCTTTCTCCTTGCTCGATGCCGTCCCGGTTTCTTGTGGACCGGTGACTCGTACGTCGTGTGCCCGGTGTTCGCAACGTCGTGAGCGTAGCGGGAGCGCGTCTTGGGACTGTTTTGTTATTGTTCCGTTATACGACACTACTAGATGTACATAGATATCAAGTTCAATTACAATTGATGGTCCGTTCCTACACAAGCTGGTCCAGTGGGTACCGGCCGACACTCTCCAGGCTGCTGCCCGCGCGGCCGGCCGATGCTGGCTTGCCGTTGTAGCTCCGGTGGAAGTTAAATGTTTGGTGTACGCGAAGTTCGATAGCGTCGCCGGACGAATGCTGCGCCGTACTGCTCGCCCCGCCACCACCGCTGAACGCAATACTTGAGCGCTTGGTCCAGGAGACGCTTAATATGGCCGCGGTCTTGGTCGTCTGCTCCGAGGAGAGGCCCAGACCGACGTGGATGATGATTAGCGTCGACGCGATGCCCTGTCACACACGTCAGCCCTCCGGGGCGCTGAATAGCGCAGAGCACAGAGGGGACGCACGTAGGTCTGCACGGCGATGGCAATCATGACGTCCGCGCTGGGATCGTTGAGGCCATAGACGACGACGAAGACAAGCTGGACGAGGAAGTAGAGCGCACCGCTCTCAATGATGACGTGCATCGCCTTGCGCGTCGCACCCCCGCCGCTTAGCGCGTACATGCGCCCGCCGCGGCCCATCCACCACACACGTGCCACGATTAGGCCCGTCGCGAGCACATTCGTGCACAGCGGGAGCACGAAGCTCGCGAGCCCCAGGGGCACGATCGCAGGCGAGACCGTCGCACCCGTCGTGCCCCACACGAGGTGACCCACGACGGCGGAACAGACTGTGGGATGCAAGTCAGTGGACGTGGTATGAATGAGAGGAGCGTGATGCGTACTGAGGCCGCCCACGGAGGAGAGCAAGGGGAGGACGGTGATCCAGTAGTTACCACTCCAGATAATCCAGCACCTGTATATTAGTATCAGGTCTCCGAGGAAGTCCGCGACCGAGACAGTGCAGTCCGCGATAAACGTATGGTAGTCCTCGTCGCCGAAGCCGTTAACGCCGTTTGCGCTCTGCGAGCTGTCAGCTTATTGGCAAACACCAGCGAACGACACACGTACCAGGTAAGTATAAAAATGATTGTACTCGAGCGCAAAGTGCAGAGTGCACGCGACAAAGAGTAGGCAGTGGAGCACAAGGATCGTTGTGTTGAAGCCGCGGGACCTCCACATCCAAAAAAGGACGTACAGGGACGTGAGGAACAGTACGCAGTACGCGCCTGTGCACTACACGATTGGTATTTCTTATGCCACGAGATTAGCGCGTAGCATGGACATACCATAGAGCAGCGCTTCGCACGCAAAGCCGATGAGCACCAGCAAGTCGACGCTCACGGCCATCTTGATCGCTTCGAAGAGAGTAGTGAGTGTGGAGATCTACCGTGAATCCTATGCCTTTATAACAGACAATAATCAGCAAGACAAGACGAAGAATTTCCAGGCACGGACGAATCTATGGTGTGGCCGGCAGCGGGCGAGCAAGCGACAGTCTCAGGCAGCGCGACAGCATCGAGAAGGATACGTGACATCGCGGCGTTGCCAATCTACCAGGGCCATCACGCCATCCTGCGGCTGGCCTGGAGATAACCGCGGCGTTTAATCGCGCCCAATATGACGGTCGTGCCCGTGCGAGCGGCGAGGTGAGTCTGGGGAAAATATTCAGCACATTTAAGGCGCGATGATCCTTCTTTATTAGCGAGTAAGCATGAGAGAGCCGACCTCAACGCGGTAGTCCACGCATATACGTGAGAAAATGCAAGAGGAGTCGGTGACAGAGACAATGAGCTTGCCCTCAGTAGGTCCTGGCGCCCCGAACAAGAAAGGATGATGTTTGCACTGCATCGCCCTTTGAAGCTTGAAAACTGTAGGACCTTGTCGCGCTGCCCACTCAAAATGCAACCTTACTCAAGAGTAGCACTCCCAGCCCTCCGTATGGATAGAGCAAATTGAGTTGGCGGTGAACTCCATCCACTTGAAAGTCTTGGGATCTCTGAGAAATTGGCACGGAACGCTTGCATGCCAGACTCACAAGATCCGAGTCCGAGGTATATGTAGCGATTTCAATACAAAAAATGATGTCTATAGATATACTCAGTGCACGGATCCAGTACATGAACAAGTAAGACTACCCTACCACCGCTCTGAACTTGATGGTTGTCACTTTAAATTCAGGAGAGGAAAAAAAAAGAACTTGATGGTTGAGGACGCGGGCCCGAAGGACCCCCGGCACTCCTTTCCCTCCGCCGTTCCCACAGCCCGGCGCTCCGGCCGTTACCTGGTGGGATCGTAGCTTGCCGTCCGCCGCGACGACGGCTGTTTGCAAAGATGTGAAGGCATTGAGGCAGGTCAAGTGGGCTGCCTTCGCCGTGTGTTGGCACCTGTATTTGTCTCCGCTTGTGAGTATTGCAGATACAATACGAAGCCTAGAGCTGGCTCACGTTAACGTTCACTTCATCATCAGCGGTCGAAGCGAGATCAACTATCTGACATCAATCTCTTCAAACGATGCTCCAGAGAGATTACCATGATACAGTTCAATCTGCCACAGGGAGGGCTGCCTCCTCTCCCTCTCGGGCAGCAATAATCAGGAGCTCAGATCCATGCCAGCCCAGTTTGTGGATATCGGCGAATTCCTTGGATTCACCTGCGAGGCTGTCCTTTATGGCGAGCGGTCTGCATTCAATGTACCCTGCTACTGCTGACCGTTTCTCCATCCAGGTATCAACATCATCGCGTACTTCGTTCTAAACGTCGCAGAAGCAATCGAGATGTCTTTGGTTTGAGCGTGCTGTCGTTCCTGAGCTGCGCAGCACAATCTGCCCTTGAGTTCAATCAATGCCACCCAGCGGCCCCAGTGCCGCGGTCTGAGTCTGCTTCAAAAAAACGACAGGCGTCGATGGCTTCGCTGACAAGACAAACGTCTACTTTGCTGACCTATTCATATCTATCACCGATTTCTTCGGCGACTTGATTTTGACCTATCGTTGCTGGTTGATCTGGAGCGGCGAGAATTACGCGTGCATCTTACCGGCGCTGACATCTGTCGGAGGCCTTGGTGAGTAGACCGCTTGGTAAGCCGTGGACGAAACTGACAGCGGCATCTTCCCAGTCTGCGCCGCTATCGTTGGACACTTGGAACATAGTCACCACGGAGCCACGCCCCCTTTACCCAATGCCGTTGGGCCTTGCCAACTTCTCGCTTCCATTCTGCATAAACGTGAGGTGCACTCTACTTACCGTCGGCCGTATCTGGCACATGTTGAGAACGATGCAAGCATATGCGCTCTCAAGTGCTCGGAATGTTGCGACCATCATGCTCGAGAGCGGGATGCTCTACTCCCTCGCGCAGCTCGTTCTCCTCACACTATACGGCATCATGATGGACCATCCCGGAGAGAAGGTCACCATTCCCATGGCCGTCCGTGTTTACGTGAGTGACGTCCGCCGCTTCCATGGCGAAGGCCCTGCTCCAATAGATGACCGCTTTGAAGGGCGTAGCCTCATTACTCATTGCCATCTAAGCAGGCCTAGGCTTCTCTATAGAAGTCCGTGACAAGGGCCTCGGCGATGTCGCTTCAGGCACTACACGAAGACACTTGCTTCTGAGCCATCTCCTTCCGACACACATGACCTCGAAGGGAAACATGGGCGGCACATCCAAGGGCGTGCACGGAGAAGTATTTGAACTACATTCTCGAAGGGACTTTGAGTTTACGGAACCTGTGCAAAGCACTCCGGACATCGGCTCGGTGTAAGGTCCGCAATGCATTGCGAGTATTCCAGGGCATTTGCAAGGTTTACGTTCCCTCACCCGTACAGGCAGGCATTGCACCGGATGACGCTGCATCTTCACTCTAGACATGCTACGACACAAACACCCCACGTACGAGTCATCACAATCCTCAATAGACTATCGACTATAGGCAATATTAGTACGAGACCGAAGTTACAAGCTATCGTACTGCCATACATCGTTTCATCCACTTACTTGACGATTGTTTCGGCAGAGCTCGGCATTGTTTCTCTTCCCCGGCACCTGTCTAATTAACTATCCGCCTAGATCCGCGACCCTGAGAAAAGCCTACCTTTACTGAAGCTTAGAGGACATGTTCTCGGGGTCGACCGGCCCCGTTCTTACTTGCTCAACATTTACTTACCTGGAGCGGTGCACCGATAAGCAATGTCAAGTCTTCTGGCCCTTTGAGGAAATCTAAGCTTTGCCTTGTGACGATCTCGCTCAGTGAAGGGTGAAGCCATTAATTGAGTAATTCATTCGGTGAGTCCGGGTAGCCAGGAAGTGGGAGAACGTAGTGCTGAGTTGCGGACGTCCGAGTGGTAGTAGAACACGAGCTCTCAGACGAACACCGGCCGCACGACGAGTTTCGAGGTATCAAAGCACCCGCGACCGTGTGCGTCTCAGGGGGGAAACAATCGGAGATAGTGCGCTATGTCCTGCCAGGGCTCGCCAAACCTCGATCATCAAGTCTACCACGGGTGCATGAGAAGGTCTTCGATTATTCCGGGTAGGTGACAGCTCTGTATTCTGTGCCCATATGCTCATGGCGACATTCAGGTACGACTGTCTAGAGGCTTGAAAAGATAGCCGTCCCACAGTAGGATCTGCGACTCGCGTGCCTCACGCCAGCAGTCCATTCTTCATAAGAGAACCATGTCGGGATTACACACTCAGAGGTCTAGCATCTCGTCAGTCAATATTCCGGCATATCCTTACGGCGGTGCCGCTGAGACAAGTATGCCCAAAGTAAGACTCGAGACCCGGCGAAGTATACGCTGGTAACGGAGGCGCGATGCGAGCCTCCAAGTCCGGAGGAATGGACAAGAGCTTATTAGTCGGGTTGCGCGGCCCGATCTACGAGCTCCGGGTAGAACGCCCCCTGCCCGTGTACAGAAACAGTACAGGTACGGTGAATGCCGTGAGTGGCAAATGCTTCTTGCATTATGGAGGCATTGGCTGAGGACAGCCATGTGTCACAATGTTCCGCACATTTGACGCAAAGCCTTGCGCTCGTGGTCCAAGGGTCGTATGACGGATCCTGCCCATTGTGTCAGGAACTTACGGTAAGTCTACCACCACTGTTTCTCGTCCTGAGGACGAGATCCTTTGCAAATGGTCACATAACCAGCTAAGGCTTAGATCTTCCCCGGAGACACGCGAGGAGTGCATACCATGCGTTCCATTATCGCCTTTTCCCATCCGTCCACATTCTGACCGCCACCGCTACCCCGTTTGGTAAGTGATGTTGAACCCCGAGGCAGTCTGTGGTCAGCGGTAGACCAAAGGTGGTGCTCCAGACCCTTTAGTCACGGCGTGCACTGTTCGCCGATAGCGACATGACCTACAAGTGGGTGTTCATCCCGGGACGTGATAGAGAGCCGGGAATAAGGTAAGTAGTACGTTCCCAAGTGAACAATGTGTGATCTTCATCACAGCGCTTCGGGCTCTGCATATCTGAGAGTACAATCCGGCCTAGTCCATGCCTTCGCTGACACAGATCATCATCTGTATCGCCTTTGGATGATGCGTACAGGTATATAATGATGAGCCTTGTTGTCAGACCTCCTAAGCCGCCGGAGCGCACACTATGCGGAGCACCCTCAGTGTCGTCTTACTTCTTGTCGTCCCGTTGGCACTCGTTGCTGCGGCACCGCCGCCGCTGCGTAAGTCTCCAGCCAGTCATATTAGCTTCCTACAGCTGATGTTAAACAGTGCCCTGCGAGGCTTCTACGGAGGACGCGGTAGCACAACACGGTGGCCTCGATAGTATGCCCGACGTTTTCAAACTGGCAATGCGAATACTAACCTCCCTTCAGAACGGAACCCTGCAGCGACTATTTGGGGCATTACAAACATGTGTGTAGCTGGTGGGCGCACTGCACATGTCACTATCGAGGATGTCGAGAACCGGGCGCGACAGTGATGATGAGGATGTGCGAGAGTATCCTGGACGAAGTTATTTAACACTTGTATTGGAACGAGACGGAATGGTATCGGCTTAGTAGTGGAGATTTCGGTAGCCTGTAGTGTCAAAGCAGACTGTCTCGGACGAAGTCCGGTAAGGTCGACGCCGCTGGACAGGACGGCCTAGACGGTGAGACGGACTGTCTCGGACGCAACGGCTCTTGATAGTACTGTGGGGTCAATCGCTCACAAAGAGGATCATCCAGCTGCATATCAAGATTGACAAGCTGTCAGTCGAGTCATTTTGGCTCGTGTTTCAGAAGACCGCGTGTGATACTCGGACGAAAGCGCGGTTAAGCGCATCTCCCCAAGCGAGCGCTTAATCACGTGCAATTTTACAGCCACAAAGGACGCCACGAAGCCGTCGGCCTCGTCGAAGTGGAGGCTCGAGAATGCTATCAGGTTCGACAATATACCGCATGTCATAGTACAAGGACGAGAAGGACATAAAGAACTTGCACAGGAACGCTGGGAATTCAGGTGCCCGGCGCACCACTTCCATCACGCTTCCATCTTCCCAGGACAAAGTGGGTCAGCATGCGGACTCCCTCGCTTCGGAACATCTTGCCATAATACCTGTCTGCATTATCAGCGGCCTTCGCACTTCAAAGTTCCTATTTCACATGCAGTCTCGCAACATCCCGCGAAACCTCCCACATCCGCTGAGCTCCGTGCTCTTTTTGTGCGGGGTATCCATATCCGCCCAGAATTATATCCGAACACGTCCACAGCATCCCGCTCATCATGATCACACGGGCGGTGTACCGGGGTGACAGATGAGTGGCGGGACCGGTACCGGACCTTGGGATAGTATTAAGGAGCACGGCGTAGGACGCACCGACGAGGATCGTAGCCTCTCTCACTCGCATCATGCTACTGAAACACTCACGTCACTCCTCAAATCACCCACCACTGTGGCTCACCGTCGTCGTCGCAGCTTCTGTGGCCTTTACCATCGGCAATGTGCTCGTAACGTTACGTAACCTCTCGAGGCTGAACGAGCTCTTACCAAGCTCTATGGCGAAAGAATACAGTGCGTCGCCTGACAGCCTTCATCGACATTTTAGTCGTGTTCACCAGCGCATTCAGCATGGGCTGGCGGTGACGTACCGATGGAGCTACCTGTTCCATACGAGCACGCTATGGTCACTTTTGAAGACCCCGGAGAGCGCTTCGGTCTCTACAACGATTCCGAGTGGGGCACGCTCTTCCCTACCGATGGCTCTATCAAGGGAGGTCAAGATAATCGCACCTTCCTTGTTTCAATGGTACATCAACTTCATTGCTTGGACGTCATACGCGTCGGCTACGTAACGAACGCCAGTGACTTCCGCGGGCACGTTGAGCACTGCCTGCAGTACCTCATCCAAACGATCCAGTGCTTCGCGGACACGACGCTCGAAGAAGACGAGATGGTTTTAGTGGACGGCGAGTGGTTCCATGCGGTGTATGTGTGGGGCACGCAGCACAAGTGTAGAGATCGTACGGCGTTAACCAGGTACATGATCGAGAACCAAGATGTTCCGCATATACCAGATGATCCGACTGCCCTCGACTTGTAATGGTAACGATTAGATTTTTTGTAACAGCCGTTTTATCCACATAATCACTGCGTAAAATTATCCAGAACGGGTGGGCCCACGGAGGTGTTGATTCCCCGGTGGTTTCATTAAAACGGAGAGGACGCGGCGCTACCCAAGCGAACACTGCCTCACAATAGCATATGGAGGGGCGATATTTGCTCTGCGTCATTCCGCAGTATTCGGCTATCGAATAATCAGCGGTGCATCGTTATGTAGTGGACAATTAGACAAAATAACCTGCAAGAGAAGGCGCTGCGTCATGCAATATCGAGGCAGCGAATGTATCAGTTTATCGAGAGCACTATTTGAATGAACCATCCCATGAAGGCCAACTTCCACCGCATCAAACAGCCCTCGGCTTGTGATGACCGCTGCTGCACCAAAACGAGCTCCATGCAACGATACTGTTGCGTCGGGTCCATTGAACCTGACGTTCGGGCGGGGTGACGGTTCAGTGACATTGGTCAATCGGAGGGGTCGTGCGCCCTCCAAGGGTGCACTAGACAAAGAAAGAAAAGGTTGATAAATTGAAATGCATTGCCATATTACTTCGCTAATAATATCACTCAAATCGCCGAAGACGCTGACCGCAGCCTTGCCCATGTAAAACCGCCATGTCCAACACTGTACGTCAACTGCGTGATATAACCCGAATCGTATCGACCAGCGGGTCCGCTTCCTCCGCAGTGTATGTCTCGCGTCTTTCAAAATCCCCCAACGTCCGAAATCTTGACGTGCGCTGCATTTCCAGGGGCACATTCAGTGCTGGCTTTGCCCCATATCGTAGGATCAGACGCGGCGCGTTCTGAAGTAGAGGTCAAGTCGGATGTCTCGGTATGAGCATAAACGACGGCGCTGTCAACAAAGAAAGGCTTACTCCCTAGCGTTGAAATCCCGCTCGTCGCGGCTGGCACACAGCCAGACGACGTCGACGTACCTATGCATTATCAGACACGTTTGAAAGTGTTATTAAAGCATAGATGACTCACCTGCCGGGGCAGCGCAGGCCAGAGTTGCGGCGAAGAGGGCGATGATACAAGAAGAGGAGAAACGCATTGTTGGATGGAGGTCTCATGGCGGTTCATTGGCTATGCTTATATATGCGAGGGTCGGCTTACTGAAGTCAAATAGCTGCGAGAATGACCGGTGTACATAATGGGCTGTAACTTTGCAATGATGAAAGACAAAAAAGTTGTGACAAACATAGCAAGGCACACCAGGAGCTTCGGGAAGGTCGAATGACTATGCTCGGGTCTTGTTCGTGTGCTTGATCCGCTGGCCAGATGCCGCGCCAAAGCTGGTCCTTTGCTCCGATGCTGAAAGGTCGCACGGACCGTGTCATATCTGTCCTGTTCCCGAGCGCATCATGAGAGCCTGGCTGTGTAGCACCGGCTCAAAAGGCTCTAGAGCATACGGTCATGCGAACACCGCGTAGAGAGATAGCGTCAGTGCAGCGGAATGGACGAGTTGAACAATAATGCTACGTGCCTGTAGTTGTCGACAGCACACGGAGATGATATGTGCTTTCCGAAACTTGTTCACAATCCATCATAAGATCTTATTCTACGGAATTTGACATCACCCTAATCCGCGGTTCACTGCTATAGGAAACCGATCCTGCAGCTGTAGCAATCAGATCAGATCCAGCTTGTGGCAACGTTTCAGTAGCGCTTTCTATCATCCTACGTGAAGTATGTCAGCGTGCACAATCCTAGCACTTGATTGCGGCGTACCGAGTAGTCAAGCTGCTACTTTAGCCTTTCGTGCGGACAAGCTAGAGTTTACTAAGCATCCGTCGGAGACGGGAGGATGTGCGGAGAAAGCCGGTAAATTGGCGCTCCGCGGCTCCAGGTACATGCGATGCATCGGGCGCATCAGAGTGGAGTCAGAGCGGCACTGCGCCCGCTCAACTGTGTCGGCGACATGCGCCTCACAACGATTCACAGGTTGCACTCTGCTCCCAGATATCTCATCGGGAGATACTGATTATTCTTTGCATTTAAATTCCCGCGAAGCGTCTGGGTGTCGCTGCAAGGTACCACCTGGCGCGATAATCGGAAGTCGTAACCAACGTAAACCGGATTCTGGGCCATCTGTCTATGATTTACATACTGTATAGCAGATGATGCTATTGGCGCAAGATGCTCTCGCCTCTCGAAGATTCTTCGCACGGTGAAGACCACCCGCATGGCGACGACGGATGCCGACACTTTCGGCTAGCCAAGCGCCACTACGGGCTCAACCTCAATTACTGAAGATGCCCACGATTGTCATCCGCTAAGGTATATAGCTGTGTCATCGGCAAAGGTATTGGCGTTAGCCTCGGCCCAGTAGCATCTCCCACCAGCAAGAGCTCAAGACTCTTTCGTCAGGCGTAGTTCGCCATGGCTCTCCCACTGTCGAAAGCGGATTTCTTAGGCACGCTGATGGAAATACTTTGTTACGGCGAGTAGCTCATGCTCAGCAGCACCGTCGAGTACAAGCTTATTACGTGCTTCAGGGATGTACCTTATGATCTTTCTTGAATTCCTCAACGTGCTCTACGTAAGACATCGGGCGGGCAAGCCGACACTACTCTTCTTCACTGTTGGCCTGATAATATTTTCTTTGGTCACCGCGGTATGTACGGTTCGCTTTGCGACTATGGAATTGAACATGCACTGACAATGCGAGTAGCACGTCTCATTACAGATCAATCGCGTAATCCGGGGGTTCACAGATCACAGGAACGTGGCGAATGGCCCAATAATATACTACCAAACCCTTAGCAAGTCGTCGACGGAGACGAAGATTTTCATCTTTATGACGTTGTCCCTTGTTTGCGATACTCTTCTGGTACGTTGGATGTAAGATGAGGTGTCCCTCGCTCACATAGGTTGCACCTAGGTATGTCGGGTATTCGTAATATGCGACCGCAAGTACTATGCAGTAGCCCTCCCGTCTATACTATTGTTAGTCGATACCGGTGCGTTATCCCGAGGAAAGTGTGTGATTTGCAATTGACACAACAAATAGTGCTGTCCGCGTGGTACATATGGACCCTCTCGCAGATTGGTTTAGTACGACCTTTGAAGGGAGTGGTAGTCACACGAATCAACTACGTCTATGTCGTCACTCTGGCGCTGAACCTGGTTTGCACAGGTGAGTAGTTTGAGCAGTGAATTCTTTTGTACACTGATAGCTATCTTCGCTAGCCATGATCTCATGGAAAATCTGGGCCACTCGCAAGAAGCTACCTGGACCTGCTGTGGCAGGAATCGGTATTACAGGCGTCATTGCTGTTGCCGCCGAGTCAGGTAAGCTCTCATCGCGTGCTATATTGGAAGAAGCTGACACTCACTTGGCTTGGGCAATACGTAGCGGCTATATATCCCTTCATCCTCATCGCAGTCCTCGTGACAAGCCTCTTAGGCACAACTAGACTGTGGATAATCTTTGACCCCGTACGTTCAAGGCTCATTTTGCGCCACCTTTCTTCCCTAACGTGAGCTCTAATGGTATAGATGTGTCCCATCCTCGTGAGTATTGGTGCAGTTCCGCAGCAATATCGTTCGTACACTTATTAGGAGCAGGGTATTATATTTTCAGCTGTGATGATGCCTACGTCCGAGGATCGTTTTTCTAACACCTTCGCCGTCGGAGATTTGTCCCTCCGGACACCCTCTCAAATGGAACTATCACGCTCAAAACACCAACGAGCTGTAGCGGCAAACCGGAGAAGTCTTCCCGCTTCCAGCCGGACCTCAGTGCCGGGGAGAACGCAGAGCTCACGCGAGCTCTCGATCAACTCCTCTCAGGACGAACCGCTTGCTGTCAGCACGTCCGACAACTTGACAACGTCCCAGGCGTCGTGCCAAGGATCGGAGGTATAGCCAATACGCTGGATGGCCTTAGGCTAGGATCTTCTTTTTTGAAGCTGTGTGTGCAGCTTATGCTCCTGTTTATTTGCGACTGTCATCGTACTCGCTGCAGTCTGTTGTGTGGGTGGCTCGCGGGCTATTTCTGCGGCTTTACGTGTGTCCTAATGTACTGGCGCTTAACCATTGATGGTTTCCTGCTATATGGAGGCTTTTTCCCGTTAGTTGTATCTCGAAGACAGCCTTGACATTCTTCTATCGTGAGCAGATAGTTTTGCTGCTAAGACTCATTTTAGCTACTTCTGACGAGTCGCTGCGCCCAGAACTCAAGAAAGAACTCTTTCGCGCGGCTGGCGTCGACTTAGGGCGGGCTCAATGATCACTGGCTTATTACTACTGCGTCTCTCCCAATCTGGCGATGCTCATCCACGACGGCCTGCAGTTTTTCGCGTTTAGGAAGTCTGCAACTGACGCGTAAGAGCAACACCGAGCTTTATAGCGGTTATTGTCACCAGAGCCTCGATCTTACCACACTCACTGCCGCGAGAGGTGCGCCTCGACTACTCACTATCCCCAGCAGCAATGCAGTCGCAGCACTCAACAGTTACGGCCGTAGTGCTACGCAGCAAGTCACGGGTGATGCTTCCAGCTTAAAGTGAGGCTGCAACTTCAGCCAGTTTGTCGCGCTAGCATCATGACCGGTAGTGGCATCACATGTACCGAAACATGTATTTTCCTGGTTGAAGGTGCTGCGGCATATTGGGCGACCCCGACCCCGACATCGTTAGCCGAAGGCTCCACAGTTAACCCGACAATCATTTTGCTTTCGCAATCGACGTCCGAGTCGCTGTTAATGGTGATTTCGTCAGTCTTGGTCGAGATGAACCTCGAATGCTCGATTTAATGCTGATTACTAAGTGGTTCGTACTTTATGAACGGGTGCGCGCTGACGTTTGTACGAGACGTTACCATGCTTCGCGTCTCTGGCGTTGCCACAACATAGCTCAGCCATCGTTCTGACCACATGATCGGATTGCCTCAAATACAGATGACTCAAACCGGACGACATATAGGGCACGTCACACAATATCCTACCGGGGCCAGACGACTCGTTCGAGATGCTCGAGGCAAATCCATATCCACGCTCGGTGCTTCATATCTGCTGACGTCTTGTTGCAGCGCCGGTTGAAGCGTCTTCAGGTTATCAAGGCCATGCAGTCAGTATCTGGCCACTGTCGATAGATCGTTGAACGCTCATCTTGGTGGCGATTTATGTTCGAGAATTGACACGGACGTCTCGCCGATAGTGTGCCGGCATACATGCGCTTGCGAGTGCGTAGCTTCCGGAGATGTCAGGAGGCGTGGAAAAAGCCGAAAAACCAGTGCTCCGTGGCTCTAGGCCCATGGCGTACATTGAGCGCATCAAGATGGACAGGGAAGCGGAAATTGATGGCCAACCAAAAAATGATGGACGTTTCGTGAGTACGCTCGTTTAGCGGCGGCGGCGTATGCCTCGCGGCGATTTAGAGGTGAGCTCTGCTCCTAGATATCTCGTCGGGAAGGGTTATACTTGCCGACTATTCTCTGTATCTCATTGATGATGAGATTTCTCAGGGTTGCTTCTATAGTAACACCCGATAACTCAAGTAGTCGTAACCAGTGGCGGCCGAGCTTCGTGCCATCTGTCCATGATCTGCACGCTGTACAGCCCGTAATACCCCTGGTGTGGGATATTTCCGCATTTTGGGTATTGCTCGCAGGGCGAACACCACTCGCATAGCGACGACGGATACTGATACTTCCGGTTAGCGAAGCGCCACTGTGGTGTCCGCCTCAGTTGCTGAGGATACCCCGGACTGTCATTCGCTAAGGTATATAGCTGCGCCTTCAAGAAAGATGTTGGCTCTAGCTTCGACTCAGCAGAGTACCCCGCTTCCAAGAGCTCGAGTTTTTTTTAGGTCCCCGGCCTCCACTTGGTAGCGACTTCCACGGCCGGAAGCTCAGCATTTTGTTTCGTCAGACTTCAAGTCAGTTTGCCATGGCTCTTCCGCTGGCGAAATCAGATTTTGTGGGCACATTAATGGAGATACTGTTTTACGGTGGGTGGTTTATGTCTAGTATCTCTATCGAAGATGAATTTATTGCGCGCTGTAGGGATGTACTTCATGATCTTTACAGAGCTTCTCCGTATACTGTACGTAAGACATCAAGCAGGTCGACCAACACCACTCCTCCTCGTCATTACGCTGGTTATTTTTTCGCTTGTTACCGCGGTACGTATGATGCTCTTTGCATCAAACATACATTGAACGCGAGTAGCACCTAGCATTGCAGATTAATCGCATAATACGGGCATTCACGGATCACAGGGACGTGGCGAATGCCCCGGTATTATATTATAACGCGCTTAGCAAACAATGGACTGAGACGAAGATTTTCCTTTATATGACCCTGGCCCTTGTTTGCGACGCCCTTTTGGTATGTTGAATTTTAAATGAGGATGTCTTCGGCTCACATGGACTTTGCTCAGATATATCGAGTGTTCTTAGTATGCGACCGCAAGTACCGCACAATAGTCGTCCCTTCAATAGTGTTATTAGCCGATGCGGGTGCGTGCGTTAACTTAAACAAGGCATGTGATTTAGGGTTGACAGTAAATAGTACTATCCGCGTGGTACATATGGTCTCTTGCGCAGGTTCATTCAATACAGCCTGTGAAGGGTGCAGTGACATCAATTAAGTACTTTTTTGTCGTTACTCTTACACTAAATATGCTGTGTACATGTGAGTGATCTGAGCAGTAAATCTTCGGTGCTTATAGCTATCGTCGCCAGCGATGATTTCGTGTAAAATTTGGGCTGGTCGCAAGGGGCTACCAGGGCCCGCCGTGGCGGGAATCCGTATCAGGGGCTTCGCTTCTGTCGTCATCGAATCGGGTGAGCTTTCATCGCGTGCAATTTGGCCAGAAGCTGAAGCTCACTTGATTTGGGCGGTGCGCAGCGGCTACATACCCCTTCATTCTCGTCGCTGTCCTTGTGACAAGTGGTATGCGCACAAGTGGGCTATGGATAATCTTAGACTCTGTACGTCAAAAATTTGCTCTGCGCCGCCGTTCATCTCTAACGTATGCTCCGATGGTATAGATGTCCCCCATCACCGTAAGTGCTAGCTCAGCTTCACGGTATCATAGCTCGTATACTTACCGAGAGCAGGGTATGATCTTCTCAGCCGTAGTAGTGCGCGTGTCCAAAGAGTACCACACCGACACCTTCACGAAGGGAGGCCTGTTCCTCCCGGCGCTCTCCCAAGCGGCACAGTCGCACCCAGACCACCGGCAGGCCGAAGCGATAAACCTGGAGTGTCCCTCCGCTTCCAGCCAGATGTTGGTGCCGGGGAGGAATCGAGGCTCACGCGAGTTCTCGATTACCGCTTCTCCAGCTGAGTCACTTGCAATGATCACGTTCGACAAGAACTCCTCAACACCGTCATTGGGAGAGGAGGGGATTAGCTAATACGCAAGACAGCCTTAGGCCCGAGTAATCTTGCTTAGGATCTGTGCGAGCGATTTCTGCTCCTCCTTACTGCAATTGCCACTATCTTCGCCGTGTTCCAGACTCCAGTGGCTCGCGGATGGTTTTTGATTTATGCAGTGCCTAGCATAGCTGGCACCGAAAAGCTGTCGTATTTGCCCAGTGCTGGCCTTGGGCGAGTTCATCCTGGTCAAGACGACATATTTACTACTTCTACTCATCTACCAAGTAACGGCATATGTGTTTACACGGATATATGGGATCGATGTGGCATAGTGCTCATTCAGGGTAATGCACTGGACGAGTGGTAGTTCACTATATCTCATCCAACTCTATAATATCTGCGTTGCAGATCCTCCGTTTGCTGCTACTTTATGCTGGAGAGCAGTCTAAAAGACGAGTAGGAAACCAGAGCTTCGACCCTAACGCACCTGTCATCAGCAGCGATGCAACCGCATATATTGATGCTGCGGTTGTAGTGCCTGTGTTGTAAGTCGTTCTTGCGCCTGAACTCGAGCCAGCG